TTTCTTTGAACCTATCAACGTGACTTTACCGAAAGACCCAATAATATGATTTCATTTGTGTTTAATAGTTATTGCCTTCTGGCTTATGACAAATTGATACTACAATGTCTATTTGTCACCTAATTGAGGTTGCATCAATAGGTGCGTTTACTGGCCGTATGCTTGAGCAGATAAACGAAGCTCACACGCTATAATTAATTGTGTTTTTAGTTACTATCATACCAGGGCATACAATGTATAGCACCATGACCTCAATAGTTCAGACACAATCATGCATTAATGTATTTCGTTAAACATATTAATGGTGCATTTTCCCTCTTGGACCTCCAAGTGTATTATATACGGTATACAGTAACAAGTGATTTTCCAGATAAACACACGCACACAAGAGCTTGGGTGATCAGAGGAGCCCTTGCGTTATTTCCTAAAGCCCAGCAACAAGATGCATCGGAAACCAGCGGTAATGTACAGAATCTTGATAGTTTTCCTAAGATGCAACCCATAGTCCTGTCCTTTTGAGAATAAGTCTCGGGACTGGTAGACGTGCCAGACCCGTTTATCTAATCAGAATTAATGGTAGAAGTGTCCCAAACCATTTAATCATCATTATCATTAGCCATGATACACTATTGGATGAAGGCGTTCCCATAAGGCATTACCATCTCTAATGATATTGCAATGCAGGAATCCATCTCTCTCTTGCACATGAGCTGAATCCAACGCTCGATATCAATAGACACATAGACAATATTAAGCTGGAGGAACCCGATGAGCTATGAAGCTCTTTTAACGTGGAATGTGGCAGAGTAAGTTACATAACTGGAAGGAAGTTACAAATGTGACGCTCCATCTCCCATGATCTCTTGGTCTTGTTCGCTCCTTTGGCTGTCACTCTTGTCGTACTCACTCACTGGCCAGTGTGTCTTCTCGTGACGTGTCCTGCCCAAGCCCACTAATCCCAACAGTCAATATTACGTCTCTAATACGACGTGTCCTGTCCAATTTGGGCCTTAGAAATTATGTATAAGACCCAGTAAGCTGCTGTTAACCGATGCAGCTCACGAGCAACCAATGCGGTGAATTCCAAGTTATCTCTACCCCGGGGCATTATTAATGTCATAATTATTTCAATAATAATATTGATATCACGAAGCCTAAATGCTCTTGTAGAACGACCCTGATAGGGAACATTTGACCAAATTAACTATTCCAGCATGTTTGCTGTGTGTGGGACGAAACAGGATTTCCCAGGAAAAAAAAACCCCAACACGCATGACCAGGTCTACTTGCTGTACTCCCGTCCATAAACCACCTCGTTTTCAGGTAAACCCAGGTTCACACTATAAAATTAACAATGTACAGCCTTGTTTTGTTCACTGCTGGATGAAGGCCAAATTATATCACTCCCTATATGTTAGCCATGGGTGGGCCCGTCCACAGCGCACGCGGTGCGCTAACGGCTGCGCTCCTGCCTCTCCCCAATGGCATCTTTCCCTGAATCATAAACAAAGGCCACCGGTCCGCTCTCGCGAAAACACAACACGTGTCGCCTAATGAGCGAGTCATGCCGCCTCCTGCAGCAGCAGCGGCGGCGGGGGCCTCTTGGCGATACAGAGAGCTTCGTATCCGGCATTTCGCTGTTGGACGCAAACAGTTGCGAACCAGTGGATGTGATCATGATTTGAAATGAGTTGGGGGGCTACCGATTACCTAGCTCTTAATTTGCCCGCTTGAGTACAGCGTTGCGGCTCAAATTATGCCCCCTGTGTTGGTACCGATTTCAGTTCTGGCCCATTTACGAGATGGTGGTGGTGGTGCAGTGATATGTCATCGGACGTGTTTGGTGGGTTGCGAGCCCCGTTGCTGAGACCACACGCTACAAAGGAATGCATTACGTCCCAGCGGAATAGCCGTGGGTGGTAGCGTAGACACGCACACGCGCGTAGTTTACAGGATCTGTAAATGACGCCTATTTTAAGGCGAGAGAGGATTAAACACAAGACGTGTCTCATCTCTTTATTTCATGCTGTCGAACAGACTATTTTGTTCCCATTACATTTCCAATGGACAGGCTTGATGCGAATACAAAAAAACAGTGGTTTCCTGTTCAAACGAGTACAGCTGTCACTCAACTCCACTCTGAGGCCATTGGTGGCAATTAATAGTCACGACGTTGGGGGCAAATCCATCCATAGGAAATCCACCGTCTCAGCACGACATCGCATATATTTGCATTAATCTTACATGAATTATAATTTTGCGTGTAAAAAACTAAAATATCATTTTCTTGATGTTTTATGTATCATACACGGGCGGGGGGGGGGTGTGGGTCAAACACATTGACCCCTCCCTTGCAATTCCGATATCATAACTTGATGCAAGAATGACCTCTTGATTGTAACACTGTGCTGACTCCAGCAGCCTCTCTCTCTCTCGTCACTGCGGGGATCACGTAAACCCATTGCGTAAAACATTCAGCGTCTGTGACGTCTCCACGGCGACTGTGCCAGGCTAGGTGCACTTAGAGGTGCACTTTAACAAATGGACATATATATACACACACACACGGTAATATATAAGTTAAATTGTACAGATCCCATCAGCCACTGAGCCTTCGGGGAGTTCATCATATCAGCAGCATTGGTTCAATGCAAGCAAACTGGTCCGGTTTCGATACTAAGTGTCTCACCGATTACTAAGTGTCTCACCGATTAACTTGCAGATGTTAAAAGGCAACGACACCCCCACTCTCCCTGTAATATATGGCTCCTAATTCGACACAAAATTACATTACACACGGCGTTGCTTCTCAAGACAACAGAGGCAATCGTATTGCGTTTCAATCGAAAGGTGACGGTGAATAAAAATAAATTGCAAACGCATTCAAACTCTTTGGTTCTTTCGGTAAAGTCACGTAGGTAAAATAATAATAAAATTAAATTAAATAAAACAAAAATGAAAACAACTAAATTAAATCACGACGTTTCGGAGGCAAACACAAGCTTCCTTCATCAGGTGTAAAAAAAGCACAGTGAAATTACTGTAGAGAGAGCTATTTGTGATGAGAGATTGTTATATAGGGTAAGAGGAGGGGGGAGGAGCCAGGGAAGAGGAGGGGGGAGGAGCCAGGGAAGACGAAAGCAGGGTGGGGGCAGGAAGGTAAAGCTGCTCCTACTAAACCTCCTGTGCCACGGATGGGGGGGGGGCGCATTGCTTACAAAAGTAATCCACCCCAATGTCACTAATTGCCTAGCTTCAGATCAATTGTTATACATGTGTGTGCTGCAACACCACCTATGTCTTCACGTCTGCATGCAGGGCCACACATGCATTGCAGATACAAATCACTTTATTTTTTTTAAACATGAATGCCACAACAACAAACGCAGCGCTGAAATTTGTTCGGTTCGTAAATTAGGGTGTAATGACCGCCTTCTTCGGAATTATTTTTGACCCAACTTGCTTAAACGTAAGATATTTTTTATTCCATCAAAATAATAACACGTTCAAAAATTGATTGATCGAAAGAGTTTTTGACTTAACCAGGATCTCAAGTGTGCTGAGTTGATGAACTCAGCCCGGTCGCCAATGACTGTACAAGCAACCCCAACACATAAATTTTTGCTTCTTGAATTAATTTGGCTTAATTGCTTTGCCCGTCATGACAAACATCACTCTCATATTTCAGGGCTGGTGGAAAAGTGATGCCCCCCGTCTATTGAATGGACTTAGTGACTTGAAGGTAACTCAGAGGTAGCTCTGCAGTGTCCGCTTGCGTGGGCCATTCTCGATCACGAAGGGCTTGCACTGCTGCGTGAGATTCATGGTCTCATCACGTGACACCCATAGCCCATCGATTGAACACAATATTTGCAGAACAGAACACCGGTACAGATCCGTCTCGCTGGGGCATATAAGCAGATAAGAGGTCGGATAAGTGAACATCAATGGAAAACGTCAGTTGCACCGTGCAACACAAATGGGTGACTGGACTAAAGTGAAGAGCAAAAACTTCCTTGGACGGGGCAAAAGGCTGGACTGTTCTTCGGAAGGGAATGAACGTGCCATTAAGTACGTGACATTAAGTACGTGACTGATCTATGGAAATCTGCAGAGAATTAGCTTGGTGTATTAAGTTTTTGGAACCAGCTGGCCAGTATTGGGCAAAACTTATCACGCAACTTTTCACCCAGGCAACTGGGGAGCACAGACGAAGTGTTTCTAACCTAACATTACAAACAACAATCATATTTAATAATCAATCACTTGCAACGTGCACAAATACTACATTTTGTATTCACCCCGATCACACGTACTTAATATAACGGCGAGGGCGTACACGCAGCTGCCAGTCAGCAGCAGCTCTCTGCCCTGCATAGCAATGTCACCACGGCGCGCTTGTGCCAGGCTAGGTGCACCTTGAGGCCACGTGAACTGTCGAAGGCTCACTGACAGGAGCGTCACGGAACAGACCCAGGTGCCCATGGGTTGACTGACCGAGATGTACGCGCGCCGAACTTCTTTCGCGCCGTACGTAGCCAACCGCGCGCCAATAGGAGGTGCGAAATGATGACGACCGGCAGGGAGGCACCAGGTCCACTCCCCACCACCGTGCCCACTCGCGCTCCGCTCGTTGTTGTGTGCACAACCGCCCCACACAGCCACGTGGACCAGCTCATGCAGGCGGCTACCTCCGCCCCCACCACCAGCCCTCCTTGTCCCCGTGTGTGCGATTGTCGAGCAGTCCCCCACGAGCCTGCAACCTCCATGCATCATTTATAAAGGGAGAGTGGTGGGGTGGGGGAGCAGTGGTGGTTGCTAGCCCAGTGGGAGGCCATAAGCAGAAATATTTTTCAGGCCTCTCCTCCATTTCCGTTGATCGCATCCGTCGTGCATGACAGAAGCGATGCAGACAAAAGAGAACGCCCATGCAGGCAGGGGAGAGAGCAGCAGATGATATAACTGCACGGTGGTATGAGAGAAGATACGAGCAGACAAGATCGCGATGAGAGGCATTTATTGGCTTTTTAAAACCATAATCAGCTTACGTTCTTTTTTCGATTTTTAATTATAAACATATGAAGATGAGATAAGGGAGATACAGCCAAGATAGGAATGCGAGATGTGCATTGCTTTTTTTTGCATTTGAATTAACTTCGACATTGATTGGGAATCGAATTCGAGGTGTTCTTTGATGGATCGTTCTTTCTTTATTCGTGAATCCGGGGGCCCCTTGAGCCACTTGGACGGCCAAGCCAATGTTTGCCGCAGTGTTTCCTCAGTGCCGTGCCACCGGTGCGAGTTGCTCCCTCCCAGAGGCGCTGCTGTGCATAGAGATGAGTGCTGGCAACAACAAAAAAACAACTACCACCGAGATGCGCAGACAGACCGAGGGACGCCCACTGTGTGTGTGTCTGTGTTACCGCGCGTTGAACTTCTTTCGCACACCGTAACGTGGCCAAATCGTGCTATCCGGAGGTCTTTCAAAACGGCTGCCGACTGACTTAATTCTGATTCACCGACAAACCGCTGGGTACGGGAACGCTCCTGTGTGATTTTTTTTAAACGTAGAACCCAGGGGGCGGGGGGGGCTTAATTTCAGCTCGAGTTATCTGGGGTTGGTGTCTGGAAAATATCCCATGAAAAACGAATCCCTCGTGCAGCCTCCGTTTCGGGAGGCGAAAACTGTGCACGTGACGTGCCGTCGTTGAACTGAGCACTCAATTTAAGTTACCGCACCATCGGATCTAATTGTTGGATGTAAAAAAAAACAATTTAATCATTGCGGTTGTCAATGTTCGTATTTAATGAATTTTGCTCAAATGTAAATCGTGCTGGGTGGACGGTGTCGGAGGAAATCAAGAATCTTGTCCATATTTTAACGGCTGCAACAGAAGATGGAATTGAACCGGCGTCCTCTGGATTGCAAGTCCACTACGGTGTCCTGACCCATCACACCGCTGTGGCGGCGTCCTGTGTCTGAAATCAATGTATGGACTGTAGATGTGAACAGGGTTGTATAATGTATGTCAATGTAAACAAGGGTGTATAATTTATGTGAGAATGGTTAAAAGCTTGATTTACATCATTGCAGTACTTGAATTCATCATATCCAGTGGACCGGTGCGGTTGCTCATCAGTCAATTACATGTCTCACAAACATATTCAGTGGAATGTAATGTAAACATTTTCCAAGCTGATATCCCTATTGATTTTATTAATCGCAAAAAAAACAAAAATAAAACGTGCATTAAAGGCACTTTGATATTGTTTTCAGCAGCAGTTATTTCTGTTGAGGTTTAACAATCATTTCAAACGCAGTACAACCAAATACAGTGTTGGGGCTTCTGGGATGAATGACATAAGCTACGAATGTAAAGTGAGAATGCTGGCAGACAAGTTGCTGGCTGCAGAGACACCGCTCTGTGTCTCTGCAGGGGAACGGTTAAGTCCGGTGGGCGTAGCGTGGTTGGCACAGGCCCTGGCGCAAGGAATTAAATGCAATGTGGTGCTGCGTCCAATTTTGACCTTCGTAACCCGGCGCCCGGACTCCTCCAGGCCTGGCAGACCCTGGTGCAGTCGCACCGCCCGCGCGCTCGATAGCCGCACCATCGGTTTGCCGCGGCGCCCGTGGGCGTCTCGAGGCTGGACCGGCCTCCTCCCTTTCGACTCGGCTCCGACGAGGCGCTCACCAGTAGGTGAGGAGGGTGAGCGTGCCCGGCGCTTCTGGGGAGGCTATCACCACGGCGGTTTCGCTCACCCACATGCGGTGGAGCAGCGACGGGTTTCTGTGCACCACGTTCAGCAGGCGGCCATTCTGTGAACCGAGACAAGCGGTACGTACGGTGATGATGCAGGTTCCACCAACGTGCGCGATCCACCAAGCCTTGCCTCTCAAGCGCTGGCGAACGGGGCGCTTGCCACCGTGTCTGGCTCAAATGCAAAGATACTCAGTTCATCCCCGAAAGCGCTCACTGTGGGCACCCATGAAATATAGCCTCGAACAAGAGGGGTGGGAATGCAGTGTGGTGCAGCCTGGTTGTGTGGGTGTTGTTATGGGTGTTAGTGCAAGGACAGCGATGAGGTCTCCGTGTCCATTAGCCCCTCTCTGTAGCCCGGTGGCCTGACCCCTCCAGCCCGTGGCCGCCGGAGCAGTTGCACTGCCTGCACACTCGATAGTGCCCCTGAGAAATATTGTTTCAGGGCACTTTATGAATGTAAATTATGAAATTATTATAATTCAAATTAGTCATTATTGCAACACTACTGGAGACATGGGCATTTCCATGAAATTAGGATGATAAAAACGCCTCACGCCACATCTCGTCTCAACCATTACAACCACCCTGCTGCAGAGTAGCCGAGGGGACCCCGAGTGGCAGCTGTCCCAGTGTGGCACAGGTTGTACACAGGTTGTACACAGGTTGTACGCAGCACCGGTCTGTCAGTATGAATCTACGTTGCTATTTTTTTTATATTGCCAATGAAGTAATTTGCGAGTAATTTATCAAAATGTCACGACCAACGTGGTGAACCATAACGCCCTGCACGAATGGCCTAGCCGTGGTATCTCGTGGGATCTTTAACGTCCACCATGTCCCCCTTCACTTGGCCGTGTCGCATCGAACTCGCGCGGCTGTTTGCGGAATGTATGTTCCCCCGCTCGTTCGGTAAACCAGCGCTTTGTATCAGACTCTTGTTGAAGTGTAATAACATTTTTTTAAAATATCCACTATGAAGCAGACGTGGCATAGTATTTGACAGTTAATACGCACGCGCAGCATCAACTCGGGCAGCCGCTGAACCTCTTGCAACAAGCGGCGAACGCGCCACCGCTCGGATCGCGTGACGCGGCTCTAACCTTCACGTCCCACACGACGATTTTCTTGCGGTTGCCGCCGCTGACGAGCCGGTCGCGGAGGAGGTGCAGGCACAACACCACCCCCACGTGCTCGTGCAGAGTGAAGAGGCAGCGCCCTGCACGCAGACGTGTCGCGTGCCCGGTTGTCACGCTCACGCTCGTCAGCCATAGGCACGGCAGCACGAGCACCAATACCAGACAGCGGCAGTAACGTCGCCAGCGATACCGACAGCAGCGGCGGCACCAGAAATGCCAACAGCAGCAGCGACAAGAATAATACCAGAATAATAATAATAATACCAGCAGCAACAACAATAATACCAGAATAATAATAACACCAGCAGCAACAAGAATAATACCAGAATAATAATAACACCAGCAGCAACAACAATAATACCAGAATAATAACAATAATAACACCAGCAGCGACAAGAATAATACCAGAATAATAATAATAATACCAGCAGCGACAAGAATAATATCAGAATAATAATACCAGCAGCGGCAAGATCACCGGCAATATCAGCCAGTGGCTGACTATTAAATTTGTCTCATTAGTGTCATGCTATGAAACAAATGTACTGTGTTTCTGTTATGAACCCTCACGGCGAGCAGTGCACCACCCTGTGTTGGAGCACAACTCCGGTGTATGAGATAAGAAGGCTCCTTCTGAAGTCTCTTTCATTGACCTCTGAATCCCTCTTTATCGTCACGTGCCAGTGAAGCCAACATTTTCAATTCTCATAGCTTGTCCCAGCCGAAATTAAGTCCAACATCACGTATAACATGACGGATACTTTTTTATAATTCATCGGTGACCATGCTGAGACTGTTAGCTCACCCCACGTGAGAACTTGATTTCATTGTAGGCGGCTGCCAGGATTTTGACCCAGGAACCTAGCGGTGCCAGCTCGGTGCTCTGACGTGCCCGACTCACATGACTGCCTCCTGTGAGTGGGGTTCCCAATGGGTATGGCCACCTTCTGCTAGAAATAAAATAAAAATACTCTCGAAATAGCCAGATTTGACATCTACCTGGCACATTTCTTCATGTTTCCAGACGTGATTATCGTAAATTTGGCGCGCCGAGTACACACGTTGCGTGTCTGCCAGCTATCTCATTCAGTTAACCCAGGGGTCCGGTAACCGAAATATTTCAAGAGCCGCAATGAATATGAATACGAAACGGTGGTCGTTCATAAATAACCTCACCAAGAAGTCCTTAAAGAGCCGCTTGTGGGGCTGGGGCCGTGGGTTGGCGACGACCTCTGAGCTAACTCAAAAAACACGTGGGTCTGCCTAAGAGCCTCCTGCCAGCCGGTCTTCAACATTTCACGTGGCCTCAAAGCGTGCCGAGCCTGGGGGAGGCGCTGCGGTGTTGTCACCGCTACTTAAGTGGCGAACGGCGACGGCGATCATTGGAAACGCGTTCGTGGCTTTGCTGCAGGCAACAAGGTGGTGACGCCACGCGCTATCGAGCCTCGCGCGGGTAAATCCCAGCACGTCCGTGTTCACAGTGGCTCCACCTGAAAAAAGACCACCCCCGGTGGTGGTGGTGGTACCCCCATTAAAACAAAAACCCAAATCCTGTTGAGATGAGAGAAGACAAACTGATAGTGGAGATGGAGACCAATAAATTATGATAGATATGAAGTGACTCGTTATATGCTAATAAGATTCGTGTTTTAGAAGACATTAATTTTAGATTATAATTATCACGATTATTTATAAGGACTCTGGGTGCCACTTTGCACTACCTGGGGCCCCATGCCCAGCACCTCCCGTGCTCTCCATCCACCACATTGGTTATTGAAGAAGCATACTGTAATTAATTCAGCACGTTGCCTATCAATGTCTGCCAGAGAGACTGCTCTTGAGGTCCGTTGGTATTTCTTTTTTTTTCTTCATAAACGAGTTTAATTCCGTCGCTCCCTGTGTTCCGTCTCTCCCAATAAGCACTGATTTAGTGGATTAGCGGTGTTCTCATGGAATAATAATAATGTACAGACCCATCGTCAATCCACTTCTGAATGAAAGCCTCTCCGTGTCATGATGATTATGGGGGTTGTTGACCTATACTTCACTGCGCTGATCAGTGTAAAAAGGAGGCCCAAGACCATATCACTGATACTCGCCTTGGCCGGGTGACAAACTCAGATCACCGATTTTATCACGCAGGATGCATAACCACAATGCCACCGCTCCACTCAAAATGTTTTAAGCAGCTCGATGCATGAAGTAGCTCGTGTATAACACAAATTAATTGTTGTTATTGCCATATACAGCTGGCCACTGGTACTAGGCTCAGTGAGCAAATTGCGATTGGTACAGCAGCATATGGGGCTCAAGTGCAATGTAGTGAGTGATGCTATAGTCGAATGTAATCGTACATGCCTATACTTAAAAGTGTGTGTGCTCCAACCTCTTAAAATACACTCCCACCTCTTCAAACACATCTGGCCACTGTGGAAGAGTAGGCTAAAGTACCCTCTAGACTACATGGAGCTCTCTCTGGAGCTCCCTCTAGTGGAGGCCTTCCGCCAGCAGCGTCGTGAGCCAGACAAATGCAGGGCCGCACCATTCACTTTTTTTTTTATTTACGTCACCATTCTTACACGCCCTATGATTGTGACAATTCATTGAATCGTGAGAGGGATGAATCACGGACGACTACTCGCTGCACGAGGCCCGCCCGCCCGCCTTCTCCTCCGTGCCTCCGTGCCGCGTTGGAAGCGCAAAGATGAGACGTCTGCGCCGTCGACACTTTTGTGGACGTAGCCTTCCACCGTGACGCCTGTTTGATGTCGACCGGCAACCCCTACAGTCGTAGCGGCCGCTGATCAAAAACAGGCAGCGAAGTGGCCAAACGAGCAAAACGCAAAAAAAAGGTCACGGCAAAGAGGCCCCCTCGGTCTTTTCCGTTTCACCGTCTTCGTGATGAGGCTCGTCTGACGAGGTTTGACCGACGCGCATTTCCTTGTTTGGTCCTTTTCATCCAGAGGCGTCCGGTGTGAAATAAAACAGCCGGGTGACTTTTTGTTCTTTCGAATGGAAACAGATGTTGTTGCTGTGGTTAACGCATCGTTATCGCTGCCATCGCCATCATCATAGCGTCGTTTTGCAAACGGATGAAGTGTTAAGGGGCCGTCCATAAATGACGTCACGCGATTTTGGACGATTTTTGACCCCCCCCCCCATCGTCACACGGCGTCACAAAAAGTCAGACCCCCCCTCAAATATGACGTCACAAAGCTCTGCCCCCCCCCAAAACATGCTTCAAATCGCTTTAAACTATTGTCACATTGTAGTGCGTATTTAATGTGGCGCTGCACTCTGATGTTGTAGGAGAAAACATTTATTAAAAAGTCTATTTAATTAAATAGAACGTGTTGTCTATATTTATTTAAAGTTGCGCATTTTGACGTGACGTCACATTTATCACCCCCCCCCCTCGTCACACATCGTCACAAATGTCTGACCCCACCCCTAGGTGCGTGACGTCATTTATGGACGGCCCCTATCTCAAAACAACCGGAAGAGTGGCGATTTGGGCGGCTTTTGTTGACAGCGTGTGCAGGTACAGACCTTGAAAATTCCACACCCGGATGGAACTGTCGGCAGATCCTGAACAGATGACATTTTCATTGTAGGCGAGGCAGTACTGTGAAAACCAAGAGGCACAGGTGACTTTGAAATGTTGATGAAAGTCCAAAAGCACGACTGTGAATTTTGCATGCCTGGCCACCAAAACATTCGGTTCTTTCAAACGGTAATGTCCTCATTTATTCCACCCAATGTTACTGTAAAGGTAAAGGCACAGCCCTGCGAACACTTGTGAGAAGTGGGAGTGCCCACAATATACACCCAATCGGCTGCTAGGCATGTAACGATGTAGTAAATAAAAAACAATATTTTCATGTTCGCGATACATGTACCGAGGTGTGTTCGTGTTCACACTTGATTAACCCAAAATGTACCAATTACATGCCTGCCAGGCACGCAGCAATACATCGGGCTCACCGATTCAATCCTTGCACTCGCCATACATATGCATCAATTTGTTTTCTGGAGAACAAATGATGTTATGATTTACGCCGAATATATGGAAATGAATGCGGAAGAGTAGACCGCGATACGGTATAGAAGGGGCCTTCTCGAGCTCCCTCGAGTGGAGACCCTTCTTCCAGCAGTGGCGTGAGCTTACAGCTGCAGGGATATGATACTCCGCAGGTCTCTCTTGCAGAGCGGCCTATGGCTGAGTGGTACTCAGCCGCGTTTTCAAATAGAAGTGAACTGTTAATCAAATCGCCAGAGAAGGGTGTGTGTGTGAATCAATACAAGTCTGCTTTATGAACTAGCAGCTTTGTATCCATGGCACACACCGCGGGAAGGAAAAGTAAGAGTCAAGGATGGTATGAATGAGCAAAGGGAACGGGAAAAGGAAGAGAGAAGAGAAAGAATGGGAAATGAGATGAAAGGGATGGGAAAAGAACAGAAAAAAAACTGGAGCAAAAGGTCAGAAAATATGGGGACAGGGAGAGGCTGCACAAGGGCCTGGACGCTGCACGGTGCAGCGTCTGTTTTCACAGCGGGCGGTGGGGAGAAGGGAAGGGATTGAGAGTGGGGATAGCCACACAAGTCAGGTGATATACGGGAGGCTTGAGCCGTTTTGGATCAGAAAGATGAGCTCATCCGTGCCACACCGACGCCGCCACTCACCACCTCCTCCGTGTGGCCCGTGCACGTGGCCAGGCGCTCCCCACTCGTGGTGCTCCACACCACGACGAGGCCATCACCCCCGCCGCTCACCACGCGCGCCAGGTCGAACTGGCAGCAGTACACCGCTGCGGACAGGCGCAGCAGCCGCATTCTTTTGATAATGTTCAACACGGAGGCTTTCCCGACCAATATTACCCATAACAAAGGTTTTTTTGGGGGTTAGATTGCGTAAATATGAATATGTCCTTAAACCTGCCACCGCCCGACACAGCCAAAACAAATAGCTTTTTATTATGGATTTTTGGAAAAATTTTACTTAAAACTTTCGTGACTGCAGGAATTCATATTCTATGTTTTTTTCGGTAAAGTCACGTAGATAAAAAATAAAATAAAAAATAATTAAGAAATAATTTTAAAAAACTCACGACGTTTCGATACTGTTTGGCCCCTATTCCCGGTCCCCTGGATGTCCCAGGCGTGTTGGCCCTGACTTAAGCGAGCCGGCTCAACGAAGCCACGCTTAACCTTGAGCCGGCTCTGAGCATGGTCCCCCAGCCAGGCTCAGGATTTCCGTGAGCTGAGAGTGAGCAGAGCCGTGGCTGAGCCGCCGCTCGCTCACGCATCTCTGAAAGCAACCGAGTGGCTCAGTACTGAGCCGAGCCAGAGCCAAGCCACGACTGAGAATATGGCCCTGTTAGAGCCGACCTACAGGGTGCAGTTTTGCTCTCGATGAAGACTAAACCCTCTTGTTTACATTTAGTGTCTGCAGCACTAAGAGGGCTTCTACCGTATTTTATTTTTTTGGCACTAGCCTACTCATGATATATCATGGGATCTGAGCAGACAAGGTGCAATTCATGGTGAAGACACCCACAACACTGATGCCTCATCATGCTGTGTCAATCAAGGGGGTGTGTTGACCATATTTCACCATGTGGTTTGAAGAGGGTGCTCAGGAAGGGTTAAAGTATCACTCGCCACTGATGTTCGCCATGGCCAGGAATTGAACTCGGGGTAGCAGGTTCAAAGCACAATGCGCGAAGCACTGCGCCCCCACTTTCCCAAGATAGCCATGACATATACACTGCACACAACGTGAGACGTGTCATCTGCAGCAGAGTGGCCACACTATTTAATTCTGGTATGATAGCTTTGAGAAAAGGAACTCGTGTGGATCCTATTGACAATGTCTCACTGGAGTCATATACAGAGTGGTCTTGGTACCGAAGCCCAATGTTTAATATTTAACATCGCCCTGCTGTCATTTATTTAGCATTTTTTTGAAGTGGCAATTTTCTCCGACTCATATTATCAGGCTTAACGGAGGGGTTTCTGGCTCTGTGCCGTGCAAGATGACGTCAATGCTTTTTAACACCTGGGTTAGATGTGATCACATTCGGCCAAGAACTGCTACCCTGGGGATTGAATTTGAAATGCGCAGTTGGTGAGCCGAATTGTAATTGAGCTCAAAGGTATTATAAAACCCAGAATGTTTTTTTTCTTGTTCTTGTTGGGGTATTCTCTGGCGATTTAAATTAGCTACAACACAATGCGTGCGGGTCTATCCACTGCTGGATGAGCCCCCCCCCCCCCCCCCCCCCCCACGCCGTACGGGTCGTGGTAATTAATGCGACCATACTTCAGGGCGAGCTGGGGAACGTGGATATTCGTATGCTCATATTGGCGGCACACCGGTGGTTCACGGTGTATATATATATTTTAAAAAGCTAAATTTTCGCACTCAATTATTTATTTTCCCGCAATTTGCAACCCCGGTAAGAACATCTTCAGGGGTGGTGGTGCGAGTCAAAATCAGTTCTCGTGATGTGAAAGCAGCCGGAAGACAAATCTTTATATGAGCGGCTGAACACGAAGAAGCTTCACAGTCTGTTGCCGTATAGCAGCACCCAGCCTGATGACGATTGGCTGGCTCCGTGTTCCAAAGGCAGATTTTATTCTTCATGCCTTAAACTTGGACGAACGGTTCCTCCATTCAACGGACCCAAATCAACGGCCAATATTGACCCTTTCTTCGCAAGTCTCAGTAGACTGAATAAACCTTTAAATCGAGTCAAACCTGTGGACAGGGTCAATTAAAGACTGACAAACAGATGTGCTGATTCAAATTTATATTTTAGACTGTTTTATGAGGACTGGTGTGTTATGCTGCACCGGTGTACCACCAATACGTCCATATATACGGGAGCATTGAATTACAGTACAACGATGGATTTTTCTGCAAGGCCCTTTGTTGATGTCACATTGCAACAGTCCCGCAGCAGTGCATGCCAACCTGGCGTGGATGGTGGTCACCCAGCCTCATAACATTCTGGCTGGCTTACGCAACATGTAAATACATCATTACACGAATTACGAAAATGACTTGAATGATATAAACAGACATGCCTTCACTTCCTCCGGGAAATGTTGCAAAGCACGGCTTTAATGATGGACATTAGCGATTTATCGATCACTTAAATTGTTGAGTGTGTTATTTCAATAATATTTTGTCAAGAAGTTAATCAATTGTATCGAATGAGCAACGATAATAACGATAAAAAAATAATATTCAGTAAAATTGGACGTTTCGATTTATCGTGGAAGCCATATCATACGACGTATCGTCGTCGTGGATGCATTATTGTCCTTCCCCGGCACCTCCGATTAGCACGGTTGGCTGCGTACGGTGCAAAAGAAGTCCAACATACACGCATATCGCGGCGAGCCTAGCAGGTACACACACTCCAGTTGATGGCATACCTTCGGAGTGACCCCTGAGGATGGTCTGGCACACGCCGCGCTCCGTGTCCCACAGTCGCAGGCTGCAGTCCCAGGACGCGCTGAGGGCCAGCAGTCCACACTGCTGAAGGGCCTGCCAGTGACGGGGCAGTGGGCAAGAAACACGAGGCACTGGCAGTGAAGCTCAGAGTTGTTCAGCCCAAGCAGCGTCCTCCCACACATTTGACCTTTCTCGTATTGTTTTCACGTATGCTATTGCATTGTGAGCGTGAACCCGCGATGACACTACGCTCAATCATTTTCTACGGCCAAACTCGCTGCAGTTCGTTCACAGCCCCGTCTCTCTTCTATTGCCAACTGTATGGCCATTGGTCTCAGGTTGAGTCTCCTTCTGAATTTTAAGTAGGCAACTAATTGACTCACTGCCAGATACATTTGTGCAATGCAGGGCCACGATTCGACGCAAGAAGCCATCTCGGTGTTTATCTACTCGTCTGTATTGTTTGTTGTTTTGTCTTGCTTGCGTATTTTTGTTCACTCCATTAGCCTATATGGAGCATTAGGATACAATTTACATGTAATTTTAATCAAACGATTGTTATGGTCGTGTTGTCCTCATTGCAACGGGGTTACCCAGAATGCAATGTGCCAGAAATATTTTGTAATTTTAGTTTTCGTACAAATGACTTCACAGGCAGTCCTCGACTTACCGACTTACGAGCACCCCCACTTACAAAGCAGGTTCCAATTTGTTTTTTTACATTGACTTAAAACACGACCTCGCACTTGCAAACTGAACCATGGAATTATTTTGTTCAATGGAGCGATCCTCCGCGAGATGTAATGAGTCAGCCTCGTGCTGCGAGTGAGTGTTTGTGTGCATGTGAAAGTGAGTGTGTGTGGAGCGGTTGTGTCGCGGTTAGCGCTACCCTGCGCTACGAAAGTGGGGACCCAAGTTCGATTCCCACTCACGGCCAACACCGGTGACGATTATCTGAACCGGTCCTGGGCCTGCCCTAAGGTTGACTCAGCCTCAAATGAGTACCTGGTGTGGTGTGTAAACATCACCACTGATGAGATAAAGATGGCTGTGCGTGGTGTTGGCCTATTGGCTTTCGAGGCCAGTATGGGATGGTATGAGTTGGCCCCCACCTGTATCTCGTCTTCATGCCCACGGAGAATGTGCAAGCACTTGCCGCCTTTGACCGCCCACACGCGCACGGTCCTACATGCACACATGCGCACACATGCACGCTCTGTGTGTGTGTGTGGGGGTACTTTTGTTAGTAGGGGAGCAGTAGTGTAACTGTGAGCGTGCTGCGCTACGAGCCCGGGGACCAGAGTTCAATTCCCGCTCATTGTCAACACCAGTGACGATTATCTGAACCGGTCCTGGGCCTCCCCTAGCTCGACTCAGCCTCAAACGAGTACCCGGTGTGCTGTGTAAACATCTCCACTAGAAAGACAAAGGCGTGGTGCTGGCCACCCACCCCCTCGTGTGTCGTGCTGGCCTTCATAGGTGCTCGCGAGCAGCCCTTGCCCCAACAGTCCCGTTAAGCCTATATTGGGCATCTTTGTATTTGTGTACCATCATTAATGTACGTGTGTCATCGCTAATGGTTATCGAGCGAGATGTATAGTCGATTCCCAGGTTCGTGGTGGCTTTGGGGAGGCATTCATCCAGCAGTGGATTAATGTTAGCTGACAATTTTTTTATGGGAAAATACAAAGATTCCCCTTTGTAGCGATCACCAGACTCATTATTTAAGTAAACAGCGGTGCAGAGGTTGTACACAACATTATGAACCCGGCTAACATCGAGTGGTGACATAGTTTTACATCTGAGCCGACCCTGGGCATCATCCAGAGCGACACAGCCTTAAATTAGTATCCGGTGTTTGTAAGCATCGAAACCGGGGAGACAAAGGCGGCTGGGCATGCATGGTCCTGACCGCACCACGCCCTCATGCGCCGTGCCAGCCTATGCATAGGTGGTTGCTAACAGCACTTGCCCCAATAGTCTGTGTAGGCTACACCAGGATCTTTGTCTTTTTGTTTTTTTATCCCATCATTAACCGAAGCCTTAATGCAGCGAACGGCTAAAACTTTTGTTGTTGTCGAGGCTGATTTTCAATTTGTACTATCGCGTGGAAACAAAGCTTCCTTCAGTAATTATTAGGAAATATTCACGGAGGAATCAGTGCCGTAGCGTTTCCAGCCTCAGCCTACCGGCAAGATAATGTCTGAAGGAACGGATACACTTTTAACTCTATATCATCGACAACGATAACGCTCTACAACTTTGCGATGTTAGAAACGGCCCCCCCCCCCCCCCCCCCCCCCCATAAAAGCGTCCGTCCATTCTCCCCGGTCTCCCCTGACACCACTCTGCAGCACCACCTTGACAGCGGCCGCATCTTCGCTCGCTCCGACACAAAGTTCCCCGTCCTCCACTCTCAGCGCGGAACTTTCCAGGCACTTTCACGTCTCCTCCGAGGACCTCCGCAATCGGAAATACCGTCCCTTTAACGCTCGGAAATATCCCACTCACACCCGAGTGCCCACCCTTACAACATTCATCGTTCAATAATTGTTTTAGACTCAGAGAGACTTCCTGAATATTAATGGTCAAGGAATCTCTCCTTCAGGTCATGATGCCATCTAAACTGCCCATCCTCTCCTCGTCAAAAAAAAACAAAGGTGGTCACCGCCTCGCGCGCTTTCAGATGCACTTCTGCGGCCGTCTGGAATGCTCTTCTTTCCGATATTAGGAAGCCACTGGAGCTGTGCACTTTTAAATCATCATCTAGAACTGCTTTTTGTGTTTAGTTTGTTGTCATTACCCCGCACCTCCAATGAGCGCGGTTGGCTGCGTACGGTGCGAAAGAAATTGAACATACTTACATCCATACATTGCTGGTGCCTCTTTGTTCACCAGATAAACCCGTCCCGTTATCGTGGATCCCACAGTCTGCCCACCTGCCTTCACCCTGCCACGCCCTCAGTGGGCCCTGCTTGGGCAGGTTCCGGACACAGGGCGAGGAGGTCTCTGCGAGGCGAACCTCCACCCCTTGGGGTCTTCGTGACAAACTACACTGCTGCTGTGGCACTGTGCAAAAAACATTTTCGCGCATCGTCGTCGTCGATTGATGATGACTGTCCACTGATTCGGTTCAGCGGAGGTCTGCGGCGATTTCACGTAGCCGACGGGGACGCCATCGCATGGCTCGGCGATTTACGCACGCGCTGAATGAACCACGACTCGAACGTTGCGAAGCTAACTGCATTTGGCGAAGTTTCGCGGAATGTCCCTTCGTAGCAGACAGATTTGACCCACCGAGCTGTACCGAGAGTGGCTCGTCCCGGCCCGGGGTTTATTTTCCAACAGCCGTGGAAACGCTGCATCAGGCCATCGGCAGTGCCGGCACGGTGCTTTGCAAATACGCGTCGCGTTCCCTTTAAAGCCAACTTGCTGCGTGCATCAAAAGCGAATGTTTCTTTTGTGATTTTGACAGCTAAAACTTTGATGTTCAAGCGCAATTGCACTCGTCTGCCGAGTCTATCGTAGTCCCTGAGCAGCAGGGCAGGGAATTTGCCAGGCGAGTGAGTTTCAGTATCTTCATGCTGCGATGTACTCACGCCACGCTTCAGACTTTTTTGTATTGCACCTATTTTAGGATGCATCTATTTTTAAACACGTGGCACATTGTCTGTTTTTGCTCAAAGAAAACATGGTGTTTTGTTTTTTTATAACGTGTACAATATAACCGAAAACACATCGGAGAGCTGTGAACAACGCTAGTGAGAGTGAAATGCCCTTTTAGGCCATTTTACTTCGGAACATATAATATGGGTCTATATAGTGTGTAATTGCAGTGGCATCTCAGGAATGAGGAATATTTTGAACGTCCTTTCCAATAGATTGTGTTTGTTTTGCAGTCTTTCCCAAAAGCATACAGAGATATGGCCAATTGTTTTGCCTGAACTGTGGTAAGTTTCATAGCAACTGGGTTATCGGTAGTTTTTGAGTTGTTGTGAATATGAGATGGGACAGACGGATGGACAGAGAGACATAATAGTTCATGGGCATATCATCCAGTAATAAACACGGAGAAATGCATGCTTGAAGAGAAACATTGGTAATTGAGAACGTACGCAGGTAGGTGTATGACATCATTCAAATTCTTAAGAAAAGATAGGCGGGCTTGGGCAGGACACGTGAGACGGAAGAAATTAATCTTACACTCAAGGATCATGACGGAGGAGCAGCAATTGAATAGCGGAACGTGTGTACGTCCACCGGGGAGACGGAGCAACTAAATCAGTTTGTGGGCAGGTGCTGGCTGGATTATTACATCGGAGGATTTAGATGGCGGCGACTTGGCGAGGCCTTCATCCAGCAGTGGATTGAACAAGGCTGCTGCTGTTACTGCTGATGATTACATTGATGATACAGGCCATCAGTGCTGGTGAGATGTTAACTACCCTGCCCGGTATACAGGAGGTTGTGGGTTCGATCGCCACCCGGATGCCTGTATATATTTGGTTTTGGCATGTTCTGCCCATGGTCGCGTGGATTTTTTCCGGGTCCTCCGGTATTTTCTCTCCACATTCAGAATCATGCGTTTAGAGCATTTGACTGCTACTATCAATTTCCGCGTGATAAGCCACTTCGTTGACCTATAATTTGTGGCCAGGTCGCTTCTGAAAAAGAGCTACATAGCTCAGTGGATCATAGATGGTAAAATGAAAAAAAAATGGTTTAAGTTTACTGGTGCGTGTGCTTCACCTGTCCGCACTCGCGCTCAGAAGCCTCGCTCCGTCGTAGCAGAGGTGATCGACGGCGGCCGAGTGGCCCATGAGGGCACGTGTGCACTCGCCCGTCGCTGCATTGAAGACGCGGATGAGGGAGTCGGAACAGCCCGTGAGCACCACCCCGGCCTGCACACGCGACACGCACGCGTCACCGTACGTGCCAGGCCGGCGTTGGGGGCGCACGCCTGTCGTGCGATCGAGGATCACACCACCACCGCCACCATCCCAGCCACCGAGAAGCAGTCACCTTCCTTACAACTGGAAAATAAAAAAAAAGAATCTCCGAATGCAACAAACGGTGGGACGACATCGTGCCTGGCAGGGCAACCCGGATGCGAAGCCAATATTTTCAGGCGTGCCAGCTCAACGCTCTGGCGACCTCTGAACCACGTGGCCACGCACCTCTCTGTTCCCACTGTTCTTATTAGCGATAGAGAGTACCGTCAAATCTTATTTATCTGAGCTAATGGGAGGAAGCGGTGGGTGGGTAAGGCGGGTGGGAGTGGATGGCACAGATGACACCAGACCACTGACGATGCAAATGCACGCCTCGTGTGTATTTGACCGAGGGCGCAGCAGCGCTTACCCTGACCCGCACGGCGTTGACGGCGTCCGTGTGCCGGGCGAGCACGTGCGCGCACTCCGAGGTGGCCACGCGCCACACGCGCGCCGTGCCGTCCACGCTGCCGCTCACCAGCCACTTGCCTGTGGGCCAACGCGGAGCGGCGGGCCACCAAGTACCCTCGTCGTCATCGTCATCATCGTCGTCATCATCGTCGTCGTCATAATCGGAGGCGCACTTTTAAATCATCTAGAACTGCTGTTGGTCTTTAGTTTGTTGTCCTTCCCCGATTATCATGGTTGGCTATGTAAGGTGCGAAAGAAGTTCAAAACACATACATATATACATAGCAAGTACCGTCGTCGGCATCATCATCGTCGTCATCATAACTAGAGGCGCACAGGGGAAGGGGGGGAATGGGCGATTGCCTCCCCTACACCCACCCCTTCCGCCCCCCCCATCCACCCCGCCCGCGAAAAATATATTTAGACAGCCATCACATGTCATACTCATTTTTTTTCGAATAAAATTACTGATGAGTCTTGGCGTACATTTTATTTTAGATACACTTAACATTCAAGAAAGTGCTCTTAGTAGGACACCTAGTGTATTAAGTCAGCCGATGGCGCATGTGTGAGTGGTTTTGTTCATCGCTCCCGTCACTTAGATATCCGTGTTTGTTTTATATCAAACTGCTTGAGTGTATTATTTTAGGCTGAGTTGACCTCGGGCAAAACCAGGCCACAGTCAGATATCAATTGCCACTGGTGTTGGCCATGGCTAGACATTAGTCGGATCACATTACAAACAGTCCCTTATGAAAAAGCTCCCATAAATCATGTAAAAACAATAAATGCGTGGAAACGTTTGCGTTAGTTGTGTAAGCGCAAGTAGTGCAGCACGTGGAGGTTGCGGATGAATACCGTGGAGCCTTACGCCTCACTCTAGCTTCACTAGGACGAAGGTAAATGGAATTCATCTTGATTTTAGGAGGACAATTGTTCAGTTTCCGACATACGGAAAATTCGGGTTACGCATCGTTCTTGGGAACCTAACCCGTCCGTAACCCGGGGACTGTCTTTATAGTCTGGGTTGGCCACCTGGAAAATGTGTGTGCGCACGGTACACAACATCCAGTATATCTCTCGTTATGGCTGTGGCTACGAGTCACGTGCCTCCCCCCAATCTATAAGCGCGACCAAGAAAATGTCTGGTGAGAAATTAAGTGTGGAGAGTGCACTTATAATCGCTTACGAATTCACACATTTTCTATTTCCGAAGCTCAGACCTGCAGCCAGCCACACACAATAATAAAATGCGATTTGAATTGACATAGCGGCTAATGCATCTCAAGACACTTACAAATCCCTGGTGAGCAAATTAAATGTTCAATTTCATGCATACAATAATAGTAAAAAAAAAATCTTCCCCTTTCTATAATCAGCCTCATACATGTATTCTTTGCAAAGTCAACTTAGAGTCAATTCCTGCTCCAATTAGCATTGAGGCAGTGCTCATCTCCCGTTTACAGCCCTGAGTCAGTGGGCGAAATTCCACATTCCTATGGCTGGGGGGGGGGGGCAGGAGCTTATCCAGAACACAATCACTTGACTTCCTCACATTTTATATGAACTAGCCCCCCAATCTCCAACCTACACGATATTAGCTCGCACCCTTCTGATTGTGAGCTGCTCGCTCTACCGCTGAGCTCGCGGACCTGCTCCGGCTCCGCTCTATTTGCAGAGACCTCGCTCAATATGCACTCGCACCCCAGCCTAGCAGCTGACAAACTCTCATCGTCATTTTCTCTCTCTCCCTTTATGTTTGATTAATTTGTGTGGAACCGAAATAACAGCCTCTGCCGAGTGAAAACTGCACTCCTCCTCCCCTTGCAGAGATGACAGCCCCAACGACCCTCACCGCAAGTTCACAAAGTGTACCCCAAAAACAATCATTGTGGGATCATTTTACAAAAGGGAAAAAAAAACAAGGAAGAAAAATCACGTGTGCATGGATTTTATGATACTACCTAATGTGTGCTTGTCTTCGGATGTGTTTCGTTTTGTTAGAGAACATACACAGGGTAATGACATTATTAAACATGTTCATTAAAGTATTATGCTGAACTTATTTTGCCCCGCACGTAGCCAAGCGTGCGCACGTGGCGTTGGGCAGGACATGCCGCTATAAGTGACGATGGTAACATTGACAGTGATGGCCGGTGGTCAGGACTCACGTCGGGAGTGGAAGCCAAAACTAGTTCTAATATCACTTGTCACCGATCTTAGCCATGACCGAGACTCAAACTCTGGTCACACGAGTAACTGTACCATGATATTTACTGTAATGTTTGATTTATATACATAGATTCATACAGTCCCGGTATTGAACCTATTTGTCCCTAAGCCCACGTTAACTATCATTCCCCCTCTGTGCAAACGTAGCAGGACTGGAATCGGGGACCGTTCTGATATAGTTATGCACGCAGTGCTCTTAGTGCACCGTGATTTCTCTTATCCGGTCCGTTTGCCGATTAGCCTCGGGACTCAGGCTGACGCCTCAACGCTCGTTTCACTCTCACAACTCACGCTTGCAATGCCTGAATTTAGCAGCTGCATCGCACCCATTCCCGCATGCGCCCTGGATAAATGAGCATTACCACAGCTCGGGTTGCCTCCCCTTAAGGTACAAAAAAACTAAAAACAACGACATATCATGGGCAGAAGAATAATGTCTAACAATTGCGGAAGAGGGAAGAATTACATATAAATGGTATTGTCATTAGCAGTGTATTATTACACAACTGACAAACACCAGGAATTGTAATGACCTGGGAAAACGTAGATCACTTCCCAGGACAGCTACACTCAAAAAGGGGATGATCCTGTGGAAACCAGGGTAAGTGTCAACCTTATCCACAACGCAATCAATAATGCTTGTACGCATGTCGTTTCTCTCTTCACTTTTCAAGGATTTTTTTCCGCCAGGAATTTTAGCTGTGTGCTTGATCCGACAGATGGCGTGCCATTTGAATCTCATTATGGGGCCGTTCGGGTTGTGACGTTGCTATTTCCGTTCATCGTGATGACGCTTTGCTTAAGAGTTTTATCAACTTGTTTTCCTGCCAATTATATTTAATTGATAAGTTGGCATCTTGCCATGACTTTAAAAAAATCACCATTTGGCAGTGCATCGCCCTGTGTCAGAGAATGCCCCCCTCAGAAGATGACCTCCTGGAACTATTTCTAAAACAACAATATTGTCTATGCACACTATAATAACATTACCTTATTACACACTCAGTATCCGCTTACGCTCGAAGAAACAGCATGACTCAGAGGCACGAGGAGGAACCACAGATAAGCTGGAAGGAAGCCATGTGGTCAGCCGGTGCCAATGATTGCCCAAGCTTTGTGGCCCTCCACGGTTATATATGAAGGTGTCATTGGCCAATTATTCAGTGTTTATATGTAGGTGAAAAACGGGGAACCCAGAGAAAGCCAATGCGTGTGATGGGACAACACTCTATCCCATACAGACTTAACAGGCGAGGTCCACATTTGCTGTGCTGCCTTTTCCTCGCGAGCCTCATCGACGCCCACGGGATGTGAATTTCAAAAACATTTGTGTGATCCGCCAACCCTCGCTGCCTCCACAGTGCTGGATTACAGGTCGCGTGCGTAGCCACCACCACCCGGTTAAATGAAACTAACATACATGATAGCTCAACGAAGTGGCTTATCATGTGCAAATTTATTTCAGCCAAATACTCTAAACGCATGTTTCTAAAGGTGAGGGGAAAAACCGGAGGACCCGGAGAAAACCCACGTGACCACAGGGAGAACATGCAAACTCCAAATATACAGGCGTCAAGGTTGGGATCGAACCCACGGCCTCCTGTATACCAGGCGAGGCAGGCAGGAATGTGCCAGGATGAGGTGTGCATTGCGAGTGACTGCCTAGTCGGGGGACTGCAGGCAGCGGCGATTTTGAGACGAGTTCAAGGGTTCGCGGGCATCTCACCATCGCAGTCGAGGCACGTGACGCGGTCGCCGTGCCCTCGGAGTGCGCGCTCCACCGCGTACCGCCCACGCGCCCAATTGGCGCTCAGGTGAGTGGCGCGCGCGTGGACGCGCTTCCAGTGGCACGTGGGCGCGAGCGAGCGCCCCCCCCGTGTCGCGGATGCTGTGGTCTGTGTACGTGGGGCTGGTGCGGGCTGCAGAGTCACCACCACCACCACCACAACCAGGGATTCAATTCAACCGCGCCTGTCCGGGGTTGGCGACTCGGACATTATTTATGCACCCCTGCGCACCACGTCTAGTATACTACTCGCTACGGCTGATCATCGTCTGATTATTATCATCATCTGTTCATCATCCGTTCACAATTTGAAGGTACATTTTCTCTGCATATAAAACAAATATTTTAATTTAAGTCCATAATCATGTCTTCTGGAATAATATCCTTGATTCTTTCGGTAAAGTCACGTATAAGGGAAGCAAAAAAATAATAAAATTATAAAACAATAAAATTCTCACGACGTTTCGACTGCAACACAATCAACCATCATCAGGTGTGAAAACCACAGCAAGAAAATTTGAAAAAAAAGTGGCGGTTATTTTATCAAAAATAACCGGCACTTCATTCAAATTTTATTGTTTAATATTTTTATTATTTTATTCTTTCCCTTAGACGTGACTTTACCGAAAGAATCAAGAATATGAATCCCTGCAGTAACGAAAGCTTTAAATCAAAATTCTGGAATAATGTCACCAGCGCAATCAGGGATTAATTTCACCCAGCTTTGTGCGGTTTGGTGACCCATAACATATTTTTCATCTGGCGAACCACAGCCAGTATATACCTCTCACTGTGGTTGTGACTGCCAGTTGAGAGGCCTATTGGAGTCGCCAAATGACTGGGTGGGAAATTAAACCCTGACCACAACCATTGTCATGCATCATTAATCGTCAGTGTTGCCAGTGTCATTGTGACAGCCCTCTGTCAGTTTGTCAATACGCCCATCCGATCATCATCATTGCCCTTCCCCCGCACCTCCGATTAGCATGGTTGGCTACGTACGGTGCGAAAAAAGTTCATCATAAATGCATCATATGTTTATCATTTTAACATTCATTAAACAGATTTACATTTATCTCTGCACGTCAAAATCATAAATGACTTTAGTCCATCAGCCAATGTGCCTTTCGGACTAGGCGAGGATTGGCGACCAGATGGTATTTCAAGAAACGGCCCTGTTCAACGCAAAAGCAATGTGCATGTACACATAGAGCCCTTTGTCAATCCATTGCTGGATGAGGGTCTCCCCTCACCATGTGGGTCAAACTTTACCACGCTGGTTTGTGCCGGTTGGTTAAGGCAGGGAACGTTGACACGGGGACATAGAATCACGGTTCAACAATGTATCGCTGCCCCACGCTGCCCATAAAATGGCTAGCGTGTGATTACTCACTGTTGCCGTTTTTATTCCGTAGGGCTCATGGAGGCTCTGGATGTGTCTATGTGCAGGGGCGGAGCCAGGATTTCAGGCCGGGGTGACATTCAACAAATTTTAATTTCAAGAATGATTAGAGAGTCAGGCTGTTGAACTAGACGCCATCGGTTAGCGACACACTCTGACAATACAGTTGCACGGAGTCCGCCCGACCGAGTGTCGTACACTCATACGCAGAATGTCACCCCTGTCACCCGCCCTGGCTCCGCCCCTGTCTATGTGTACCTGTAGCTGAGCAGTGGGAGCGTTGGGTCTCAACGAGGAGTTGATCCGTGCCAAGGTGGAGCCATCCCCGTGCCGCACACAGCCTCTTCCTGTGTGGAGCAACACAGTAACACGGATGTGGGAGTGCGAAAGCACCCTACAACAATGGATTTTGCGACACCGAATTCTGCTGGTGGAAATCCATCCCACGACTGTCCAGAATGAATCCTGTTTAGCTACCGAGATATGATGAGATCAAGTGCATTCCATGTGATTCAGCCGTTGGTAGACGTCACAATAGCTGTTAATAATTCATCCATCCTGCCCTTCAGCATCACATTGGATGCCCATCACATTCGAGATCCACGGTAAGATGGAGCCTCCCAACCCAACTCAAACATATATTATATAGAATTAACAACATGGGCAGGATGTATATGTACAACATAGATTAACAGCAGGGTTGGGCTAGATCGCCTAGCAAATGGGCACACACTCGGCACAGCTTATATGGCCCCTCCAATCGGCCAGAAAATTATTTAAGTTGAGTGTATAGTGGCCCTATTCTCGATTTGGGTTCGAATAGGAGTGTCACCTGACATTGATTAAACTGACTTTTTAAGTGGAGCAAGTTTATGGTCTCAGCCCAGTAACCAATGACTGCACAAAAACTAATTATCTTCAATTTGGCGTTTCACTCCATTCCAGCTGTGAGAATTCAACAATTTTGTTTGACTGCTAAGCAACAAACGTGTCCTGCAGCAGGCTTTGTGAGATCTGGAGTTGTGGAACTGGCTGCATCTCAAAGTCTCGCTCTTCACCTGGGAAGGGTGGTGGATGGTGGATGGGGGGGGAGTGTAGAACCCACCAGAGAACGTCGCTGTTGGCCCGCTCTCTCCACACGCGGCTGCAGAGGGCCACGTGGCACAGATCGGCGGGTCCCAGGAGCGCCAGAACCCGCTCGGCCAGCTCGGCGGGCAGCGAGCGGACGGGGTCGACCAGGAGCAGCAGTCGGAGCGAAGCAAACGCCTCCCGCAGCTGCTGCGGCTAAGCGGGGGCAGAGACACGTGGCCTCCGCATCGCTGGATATGATCGTGATGGTGATGATGATGACGACGATGTAATAATAATTATGGTAGGAGGATAGAGTCAAGGTGAATGGAGCAATGCTTGTGCGATAGGGGTGACAGTCGTTCGCTAATCCGCGTAGTTGTGTTTATTAGGATTTGAATTCGAGATGATATGTTAGTACACCCTTGTCAATTAATTATCTCGGGGCCCTGTTGAGCTACATGGGGCTTCTAGGCTTTTGCTTGCTTCGCTTATAAGTTTAACATATACAGGCGTCAGGGTCGAACCCACCAGGCAAGGTAGTCAAAATCTCGCCACTGTACACGTACATAATAAACACATCTATTTAGAACTGCTTTTTGTGTTTAGTTGCCCTTCCCCCGCACCTCCGATTAGCGCGTGGTTGGCCACGTTACGGTGCGAAAGAAGTTCAACAAACAACAACCGCCGCTCGCCACTAAGTGGCGGTGACGTCCCCGCGGCGTCTGTGCCAGGCTAGGTGCACCACTTTAAGGCCACGTGGAGTGTCGAACGCCCGCTGGCAGGAGGTCACGGGGCAGACCCAGCACGTGCCATGGGTCGACTGACTGAGATGACTGCTGGCCTACGCACCCTATGCGGGCCCTCTATTACTGTGCAACACAAAGACAACAGTCCCCCCCCTACTACACACTGTCGGGGCAAGTGCTGTTAGCGGGCACCTATGAAGGCCGGCACGGCACGCGAGGGGGTCGGTGGCCAACACCACGCCCGGCCGCCTTTGTCTCCTCAGTGGCGATGTTTACACATCGCACCAGGTACTCATTTGAGGATGAGTCGACCTAGGGGAGGCCCAGGACCGGTTCAGATAATCGCCACTGATGTTGGCTGCGAGAGGGAATCGAAATCAGGTCGCCAGGTTTGTAGCGCTAACCGCTGCACCTACAACTCTCCAACACACAGATATACATACAGATATACATACACACATACATACAGACATACATACAGACATACACATAGACACATATACATACACACAGATATGCATACACAGATATACATACACACATACATACAGATATACATACACACATACATACACACAGATATACATACACATACAAAATGACATACCTACATACAGACAGACATACACACAGACACATATACATAGATATACATATACACAGATATACATACACACATACATACAGATATACATACACACATACAAACAGATATACTTACATACAGACAGACATACACACAAACACATATACATAATACAGATATACATACACACATACATACACACAGATATACATACATACAGATATACATACACACAGACAGACATACACACAGACACATATACATACACACATATACATACACACATACAGACACAGACAGACATACACACAGACACATACATACACACAGATATACATACACACATACAGATATACATACACACATAAATACACACATACAAACAGATATACCTACATACAGACAGACATACACACAGACACATATACATACATACACACTTACATACAGATGTACATACACACATACATACACACAGATATACATACACACGTACAGATATACATACATACAGACACACACACCCCTAGGGCCGATACGTCTCACCTGGCAGGTGTAATAGAGGCGCGTGAGAGCGTCTCTATCTCACCTGGCAGGTGTGATAGAGGCACGTGAGAGCGTCTCTATCTCACCTGGCAGGTGTGATAGAGGCGCGTGAGAGCGTCTCTATCTCACCTGGCAGGTGTGATAGAGGCGTGTGAGAGCGTCTCTATCTCACCTGGCAGGTGTGATAGAGGCGCGTGAGAGCGTCTCTATCTCACCTGGCAGGTGTGATAGAGGCGCGTGAGAGCGTCTCTATCTCACCTGACAGGTGTGATAGAGGCGTGTGAGAGCGTCTCTATCTCACCTGGCAGGTGTGATAGAGGCGCGTGAGAGCGTCTCTATCTCACCTGGCAGGTGTGATAGAGGCGTGTGAGAGCGTCTCTATCTCACCTGGCAGGTGTGATAGAGGCGCGTGAGAGCGTCTCTATCTCACCTGGCAGGTGTGATAGAGGCGCGTGAGGGCGTCTCCCTGCCGCTTGGCAGGCAGCGAGGAGAAGAGCGTCACGATGGCGAGCAGAGTCTCGTCCTGCTGCTGCTGCTGCTCATGGGTCGTCGTCATCTCTCGCTCGGGACTCCTTCCCCCCTGGAGCACGGGCAACAGAGAGTTTGGCACAGGGCAGCGAGCACACCACCACCAACAACCACCACCAACAACAACCAACAACCACCACCACCACCTCCTCCCGTGAGCGTCTCGATTCGCGTTGCCACGGTGACCCTGTGTGTGTGTGTAAGCCCTCGCTCCCCGCCTCGCCACCCGTCTCGCACTGAACGACGCTCGCCTAATAAGTGCCGCACTGTGGCCCAAACGGTCTGGTCCAAAGGCGATGTAGCCACAATATCGGTTGTTGTGGGGGGAGGTGGGGGTGTTAGATCGCGTTAATATGAATGTGTCGTGAAACCCGCCACCACCCGACACAGTAAGGTTCGTCACGTAAACCCGAATGTGCCAATTAACGCGTTACCAGTACAGCAACACCGGTGTGTTGGAGAGCAAAGAAAGCCACAACATTTACAATCTGAAGTAACACGTCGTGTGGCGGTCGTTTGACCATACTTCACCGCGCTGGTCAGTGCGTGAGATCGTTGAAGGCTGAGTTGATTTTGACCAGGTGAGAACTGACGAGACCAAGGACCAAGATGGGTCTCGTTTGCAAGAGTCACTTGGGTCTCACAACAATGCCAAAAAAAGCAAAAAAAATAAGGAAAAACATAAACAACTACCACACGACAAATATAAATTATACGCGATGGCGCTCTCACTACACATCAATGTAAAATAAAAGTTAAATCAGACGCACAGTAAACCGGTTCGGACATTATTTTTGTACTTACCATTGCACGATTTCAAAATTAAAGTACAGCACAGAACACACGAGAACCGATATGTGTCTCATTTGCGAGAGTGATGGTAACATCACCACGGGGTTAGTTCGTTCTCTTCTGCCTTCTGCCGAAAACATTATAAATAACATGCCACATTTAGAACAAGAATAACAAACATTATCTTTGGCAAAATCGACAGCGATTGTAAATGCTAGCAACAATAGCATCCTCTACTCGCCTCCCATCATAGTCAAGTGCGCACACAGAGCAATTTATCATTGCTATTTAATTGCTCAGACAAGCGTGCAATGAATGCATTTGTGTGTTGTCTCTGAAATATGATGCTATGTACACCGCACGACTACTGTTGCTGGAAGTATCCGTGATATGTTGGGGAAACACCGTATTCTCTAGATTATAAGACGTTCTGGAAAGTAAGAATAGCACGCACTAAACTGTGTCATGTCAAAATGAGTTCTTATTTCAATTTTGGACAATTTGATTTTGCATTATGTCATTATGGTGATCTCCAGGTCATTCTTGCAAATGTGATTTATCCCGGGATTCTTGAGTTGTTTATTCCTGTTTAAAACAAAATAGGACTTCCGAGAGTTGTTCAAATCTGGTTACACGCACCTACCTAATTATATGACGCACCCTCAACTTTTTTCTCTAAATTACAAAGGCAAACGAGTGCGTCTTTTAATCCGGAGGGTACGGTAATCGTTCAGAAGATTCAACTCATCATGCTCGACACGTGGAGAAAGAAATGATCTGACAAGAGGGATCTTGGAATACGTGATCACTGTTTAAAAGCATCTGCATTATACTGATAAGTTGCGTCATTTCATTAATTTAATGTATACTTCTTCGATTTGACTGCCGTTTTAAAATTGATGACCACAACGTAGAAGTGTCGTATGATGTAGACAAATAATATTTGATGTACGGTGGGACCTCTGGAATTATAACGATACATTGATGATTGTCAGCCCCTGTTGGTGATGAACGTTGATCGAGGAAACTTCGCCACGTCCGGCCAGCGCGGGTTGATGATTCTGGTGGAGGCGGTGCCGCACCTCGGATGAGCACGGTTGGTTACGTACGGTGCGAAAGAAGTCCAGCATAAAGTACACGCATACTGTGCCAGGACGAGCTCAAGTGTTATCGCTCGCCACTGATGTTAGCCGTGCGTGGCCGGGAATCGAATTCAGGTGGGACGACTTCGTGGTACGCGGTGATTGGCACCGCTCGCTCCTCCAGCCCAGTGGCTGAGTCACTCCTCCGGTTGAGGAGTGTGTGCTTGTGTTGAATCAATGCTGCTGAAACGACGCACTCACAAGATTGCGGTGTGGCTTATTGGAGATGTGTTTAAAATGTATATTTATACGTTTCCATTGATTTTTTTTTTACGTGGAGATACAAATATGGGAAGGATGCGTATTTATTGTCCCATGTATATTGTTAGGGGTGCCGCGGTGGCAAGGAGATGTTAACGACCTCGCCTGGTATACAGGAGGTCGTGGGTTCGATCCTGATCCTGACGCCTGCTGCTGTGTATTTGGAGTTTGTGGTGTGTCTCTCTCATCATCATCACCACGGTGGCTAGGAGATGTTGACTACCTCGCCTGGTATACAGGAGGTCGTAGGTTCGATCCTGATCCTGACGCCTGCTGCTGTGTATTTGGAGTTTGCGGTGTATCTCTCTCTCCGTGGTCGCGTGAATTTTTCTCTGGGTCCTTCGGGTTTTCCCCTCCACATTTCGAATCAACATCACCACGCGTTTTAGAATATTTGGCTGCTTTGCATTTCCACATTGGGCTATCATTTGTGGCCAGGTCGCTTCTGAAAAAAAAGCTACATAGCTCTGTGAGCCTTACCTGGTAGAATGAAGAAAACAAATCTTAATATTTTAATAAATTTAAGAGTTAGACATTATTTATGAGCAAGTCACACATCCTATTTTATAACCGCGTCTGCAGGGACCCCTGGTGGACACGTCCCGTTAAAGCCACCACGCTGGTGTAACATCCTGGGCATTGACCCAGGATGTTGATTCCGTGCCTGCGGAGGACTCTGGGATGGTATCATTGAAACGCGCAGCCGACCCGTACACACACACACGCATGCTGTTTGGGCAACCACTAGCAGTTAGCGAGCACCTATTAAGGAGATCGAAACGGAGCACGAGGGAGTCTGGTGTGGCCAGCACCAAGCCCGGCAGCCTTGGTGATACGTTGACCTGGATTGGAACCCAGGTCACGTCAGCCGCGTGTGAAAAGCGCAATGCCCCTGGCTGATCCAGCCGTGAATTATGGATAACTTCAGTGGGCCGTGATTGACAACGCTGCGGTTTGGGCTGTAGTGAGTGCCAGCCCATTCATCTTCACCGCCCTAAGCCAATGTCTATCCACTGCTGGATGAATGCCCCCCTCACTGGCTCGTGCTGCCTGCCCTCCATCTCAACTCCTGCACGCGGACCGATCCGATCGCTCCATCTCCGCTTCCGTGGTCCCTTAGCTCCTGGATGCGTTGGTGATATCAACGCAAACTCCCGAAACTGAACCCGGTACGGTACTGTAGAATAAAACGTTACTAACCGTTACGGAATAAGGTAGTCTGTGCACGTTGGGTAATTGCATAATAACTCTGCAAATCCACTGCTGGATGGAGACCTCCCCCCACGCCACAGTGTTCGAGGTCAGTGTGAGTTTTGTCCATCACCGCTGGTCAGTGTTTATATAATTTGGATTGCCCTGGACTGGTTCGGATATCGCTCGCCACTGATGTGAGCCGTGAACAGGAATCGAACCGAGTTGCCCACGGGGGTCATAGCGCATTGTGCAAGTAACGGTAGACATGTCCACAGTACTCTAACAGTGTTTACGTGATGATTAAACCGACTGATAAACTGAGGCCGATTTCGACTCGGCACTTTGTAAACATTGCCTCTGGCCCCTATATATGGTCACACGAGTCTTGCCTTATTATAGACACACACACACACCACCACCTACAACCGGGAGGATAGTCGCATTAGTGTTGTGCGAAGGCATGCCACGGGCAATTTATAAGTTGGGTATGAAAATGTAAAAATTGCATGAATGTTGGCACCTCTTAGTCCTCTCTCTCCCTGTGGCTGTCGTCAAATTCTCTCCAGAGTTGGACTCCTGGATGATGGACAGGAGGTCGTTAATACCACCGCTGCTCTGCTGTTTGCTGTCCGTGGTGGTGGTGTATCGTGAGTATCTCTTGGACACGCTGAGACTAGGAGGTGGGTGAACGTGATTGGGGAGTGTGCGCACGTTTGATGATACTTAAATGTGGGGTTTTACTTCGGTACGATGGGGGCAGATATGGGCGGAAAGCCGTTTGCTGTATTATGTATGTTGGACTTCTTTCGCACCGTACGTAGCCAAGCTTGCGAATCGGACGTGCTGTTTCCAAGCTAGGATTCCCTTGAAAAAAGATACTCTGAGGCTGTGGTCTCATTAGGTGCTTAGCTGGACGTGAAGCAGCATGGTTTATCCTTGCATGGGTGACCAAGCAGGGCTTGCCAGGTGTTATTGGCATGGGGCTGCGATGTGGCAGGGAGATAGTAATACTGAGTGTCACCTTATTTGGTTCTTTCGGTAAAGTCACGTAGAATGAGAATAAAATAATAAATTAATAAAATAACACAATAAAATTCTCACGACGTTTCGGCCACAACATAAGTGGCCTTCATCAGGTGAAGGGACGAGACTGTCTGGTGGGTTTTCTCTGGGTTGTCTCATTTTAAATGGTAATTATTTACCTATAAGGTACTCGTGAATTTAGCCGCTGCTGTCTTTCATTATGGATTAATTATTTTAAATTCTCAAAGTCTTCATTTCTTTGCCCAGACTCATTACAGTTATGCACAATGATTGGTTGTATGGGTTGTTACTCATTGTGTTTAGGTCTGTGGTCATTACAGAAATGCAGCTGAGTGTCTTTCGCTTTTAATACAATTCCATGCGATTCTGAAATATTATCGCCAGCCAATATCTCGCCACTGCCGTATGAAGGTTTTTTCCCAGACATTTTTTTTGGCTGCCATTACATGACCCGTCCCATCTGTTGACTCCCACCCCTTCCAATGATGTGTCCTGCATGTACGTACCTACGCATGTTGAACTTCTTTCGTACCGTACGTAGTCCTGCCCAAGCCAAATTGCAATTCTTCACAGTGAATATGACATCTCTGATTTGTGTTTGTCTCACGTGCACCTCTGTCTTATTGTGATGCCAAGTGTGCAAATATTTATCCGTGGCTCTTTGCTTACTTTTCAAGTTATTATTTTTCTCTGTCATTGTCCATGTTCCTGACCCATATGCCGTAGCTGGCATTATGCACCGATTGAAAATATTATTGTTTTCGATCATTCTCTTGTTCACCTCTGATGTTTCATTGTGGTTTCAAACCACATTCAATGTTTGCCCTGGCACTGGATACACATTCTCCTGTGTTTTCCACTTGCGTCCCTCCAATAATTATTTTATGTTGTTGGGCAAACTTTTTCGACCATGACTTTTATTTTGCCCGTATTGATCTTGAACCCAAAATGTGGTCTCTTTTTGTTGAGCTCGTCAATCATTTCCTGTAATTCCTTGTTCCTCATCCGTTGAGGACGGTTATGTCATCGGCAGATCTGACATGGAGTATCTTAAACATTAAAAAACACTTTTAAAGTGATTCCCAAGTTGTTGTATATGCATTGTTTCGCTATTTTATACAGGGTCGCTGATGTTGAACTGGAATTTTCCAACTTAACATCGCGTTTACGGAACTTGTGTTGAATTATGCCTTGCCAATTGAGGTGACACGTTAACGTTTGGATAATATATGCCGCTGACTTATTTGTATACACTGCACTGTACATACACTTGTGCATAAATGGCCAGTGCATGCCTGCTGCTCACCTCATAAAAAAATGTCTGCGGACGTAACGGTAGCATAGCAGGTTTATATATTTGATGGTTATAGTTTGTGTCACTTAGGATAACGATCAGCGAGGTGTTGTGATTAATTTGTGGCGAGCACTTTGTGTGTGTGATGATGAATATTGTACGATATATTGTAGTATCCCCATATCGAGGCAAAGCCAGGCCTCAAGCGGTATTTACGCCGACTGACGGACGAGTGGTGCAGGATCACGAGCGGGATCGGTGGCGGTTGGTCGCTACGAGCTGGTGGTCGCCATCCTCTCCGCGAGGGGCAACTGGGTGCTCAGGCAGGCTGTGCGTGACTCCTGGCTGCAGGCCGTGACGGCCAGCCCCTCACTGAGGAAGCGGTGAGTGTGGCCATCTCCTTTTCAATTGCCGTGGGTCAGAAGGCAGTAAAGTCGGTGCAGGTGGCTGGGTTTAAGTTTCAGCTTATTTTGATTTGTTACATGGATGATCGCGTTTTGCAGAGTTGCCCGGCTGTTATACAAATCTGGAAAATGTGTACGCACTACAGGCAAAGGAATAATAACAATATTATTAAGAATTGTGTTGTCACATCTGTTTCTAGACAAGAGGCAAAGCAGTGGCAGCAGCAGCAGTGCTAGAGGTGCGGTAGTCATGTGGTTGTGTGCGGTAGGGTCCTGCCGAGGTTTGTGGTCGGAAGCCGCGCATGTGACATTCACCCTGAAGACAGAGAGGACCCATACTCCTGCTCTTTTCTCAACATCACTCTGCCTGGTGAGCTACGACAAACTTACATCGCTCCGACAAACTCACATCGTTCCGCCAAACTTACAACGCTCTGACAAACTTACATCGCTCTGACAAACTTACATCACTCTGACAAACTTACATCGCTCTGACACACTTACATCGCTCTGACAAACTTACATCACTCTGACAAACTTACATCGCTCTGACACACTTACATCGCTCTGACACACTTACATCGCTCTGACAAACTTACATCGCTCTGACAAACTTACATCGCTCCGACAAACTTACATCGCTCCAACAAACTTACATCGCTCTGACAAACTTACATCGCTCTGACAAACTTACATGGCTCTGACAAACTCACATCGCTCTGACAAACTCACATCGCTCTGACAAACTCACATCGCTCTGACACACTCACATCGCTCTGACAAACTTACATCGCTCTGACAAACTTACATCACTGCAACAAACTTACATCGCTCTGACAAACTTACATCGCTCTAACAAACTCACATCGCTCTGACACACTTACATCGCTCCAACACACTCACATCGCTCTGACAAACTCACATCGCTCTGACAAACTTACATCGCTCTGACAAACTCACATCGCTCTGACAAACTCACATCGCTCTGACAAACTCACATCGCTCTGACAAACTCACATCGCTCTGACACACTTACATCGCTCTGACAAACTCACATCGCTCTGACAAACTCACATCGCTCTGACAAACTTACATCGCTCTGACACACTCACATCGCTCTGACACACTTACATCGCTCTGACAAACTCACATCGCTCTGACAAACTCACATCGCTCTAACAAACTCACATCGCTCTGACACACTTACATCGCTCTGACAAACTCACATCGCTCTGACAAACTCACATCGCTCTGACAAACTTACATCGCTCTGACACACTCACATCGCTCTAACAAACTCACATCGCTCTGACACACTTACATCGCTCTGACAAACTTACATCGCTCTGACAAACTTACATCGCTCTGACAAACTTAGATCGCTCTGACAAACTTACATCGTTCCGACAAACTCACATCACTCTGACAAACTTACATCGCTCTGACAAACTCACATCGCTCTGACAAACTCACATCGCTCTGACAAACTCACATCGCTCTGACACACTTACATCGCTCTGACACACTTAGATCGCTCTGACAAACTTACATCACTCTGACAAACTTACATCGCTCTGACAAACTTAGATCGTTCCGACAAACTCACATCGCTCTGACAAACTCACATCACTCTGACAAACTCACATCGCTCTGACAAACTCACATCGCTCTGACAAACTTAGATCGCTCTGACAAACTTACATCGTTCCGACAAACTCACATCGCTCTGACAAACTTACATCGCTCTGACAAACTCACATCGCTCTGACACACTTACATCGCTCTGACACACTTACATCGCTCTGACACACTCACATCGCTCTGACAAACTTACATCGCTCTGACAAACTTTCATCGCTCTGACAAACTCACATCGCTCTGACAAACTTACATCGCTCTGACACACTTACATCGCTCTGACACACTTACATCGCTCTGACACACTTACATCGCTCTGACACACTTACATCGCTCTGACACACTTACATCGCTCTGACACACTTACATCGCTCTGACAAACTTACATCGCTCTGACACACTTACATCGCTCTGACAAACTTACATCGCTCTGACACACTCACATCGCTCTGACAAACTTACATCGCTCTGACAAACTTACATCGCTCTGACAAACTTACGTCGCTCTGACAAACTCACATCGCTCTGACACACTTACATCGCTCTGACAAACTTACATCGCTCTGACAAACTTACATCGCTCTGACAAACTCACATCGCTCTGACAAACTTACATCGCTCTGACAAACTCACATCGCTCTGACAAAGTTACATCGCTCTGACAAACTCACATCGCTCTGACAAACTCACATCGCTCTGACAAACTCACATCGCTCTGACAAACTTACATCCGCTCCACTTAAAAGTCAAAAGTTTGTTTGCTGGAGGCCACCAGGTGGCCCAGAGGTCAAGGCCTTGAACTTGCACCTCTGAGATCCTGGCTTTAAAATCCAGCCAGTCGCTTGTGATTAAAACTGCCTTCTCAAATCTAGTGAGTTGATGGTGTCAGCTTGGTCATGTATTACTGCACGAAATAAGCCACCGTGTTCGAGCAGCACGTTAAATGCGACAAGCGTTACCCACGGTGTTCAGAGCGGGTAGGCAAGTGCTGCCCCTTTCTGTGTGGACCAGGGGAATTCAGAGGTAGCTCTTTGGTATCTTTGTTTGTTGGGCCATTCTCCAACACCAATGATTGCACTACTCTACGAAAGATGCGAATGCATTCCTTCATCTCATTACATCGATAGCACAATAATAATACAATTGGGAAAAAATACAATTATTATAATGCGCGTTTTATTGCTTTAGACAATGGGTTCTATCATTCTAATGTTGTTTTGCTTGTTTTTTTTTCCTCTCACGCCTACTGTCTTCATTGTACTTGTTTTACGTGATTGCTTTTGTCATATTTGCGACGCAGGTCACTCTTTTAAATGAGACTACCCTGGTCTCTTGATGTCTCAGCAGATTGAACAACAAAAACTGTATATCCCACATTTGTGTATGGTTGCTGCTGCGGATGTGTTGACCATAGAATATGCGCCGTCGCCTTCACAGTGGATAGTACATGTCCCCTGGCATCTTTCGAAATGAGAAGGCCATTGTGTGCTGGCGTCATGGTCTGCAATTGCTGACTTAAAAAAACAACTCCCCCGCAAATGGCCCAGTTGGGGTTACACACGCAGCAGAAATGTATCGCCCCCCCCCCCTATCAGCAGAGTAATGCCCATTTGCGGAGCAGATGCTGAGTCACCTTGCTGCCACTGAGGGTGCCCTTTCCATAGTTTTAATAAGTATTTTCATCGTTAAAATTTGTTGAGATGAGATTTGATGTAAGTTGCATATAACGTGTACAATGCCTTGAGGTGCCCCGGTGTAAAGGGCACAACAGAAAAACAAAACCACGATTATAATTGCTATTATTATAATTGCTATTATTAATATTCACGTTTTCAACGTGTGTTTTTTTCGCCCCAGCGAGCGAGCGGGAAATCGAGGCGGTGACTTGGCTGGAACCGGGGTCGCCAGGGACCGGGCCCCGGACTCGCGTGGCGCGGCCAACGTTGCTGGGGCTCGACTTCCGGGTTCGCCACCCAGTGGTGGTGACGGCGCTCGGTGTGTTCGCCTGGGACGGCACCGTCCCCAACGTCACCGTGCGGCTCCACAACGCGGCCACCAGGGTGACTGCTGCCACTGCCATCACCGCCACCACCACCACCACATCCATCACTGCCACCATTGCCACCACCACCGCCACCTCCGCCACCACTACCGCCGCCGCCACCACCGTAAGCTTAATTTGGACTGGAAGTACAGAAAAGCACGAAGGTAATTCAGTACGAATCTTACATCGGCGTCAACCGTCATATCGTGAATATTTATATTGTATTTTGAAATATGAAATCGTTGAAGTTGTTGTGGTGACAGCCACCTAGTAAACGTACAACATTCGGCCAACGTTCGCATGTGGTCGGAACCGTTTGACCAACGTTTGCCCAAGGGTTCCATGTTTACTAGGCAGTCAATTTTTTGTTCCTTGTCGAAATTACAGATCAAAGTATTCTTTACCCAAACGTTTTTTTTTCCAGTCGGCAATGACCTCGAGCGGACGACGACCCATCATGGAGGCCGACGATGGCCACGGCTGCTTGCCCCGCCGTCACAGATCAAAGCGCGACTGCTGACTGCGTGACAAAGACGGGATCAACGGGCCTCGGTGAAAGGCGCAGTCGCAGGCCAACGGTCGTGTCCGTCTGTTCTCAGGTGGTGCTGGCCGTGGCTCACTTCGGAGCCCTGAGCCCCGGCGTGCGCGTGCGTGCCTGCAGGTACAAGCCCGTGCAGCAGTTCGTGCTCCCCAAGGTGAACGTCATTACACTCGTTCAGCCTAGCGACTTGTGTCTTTTTTGCAGAGTCGGGGGGAGGGGGGGCGGGGGGCAGTTGTTGCTGTGTATGATCCCCAATTGAGTAATTTTTGGATAGGTTTTTAAAAAAATATATATATAGACTGTGACGCCGACACACAATGGCCTGCTCCTTTGAACGACGTCACGGGATGTTTAACGTCCGCTGTGGAGCAGACGCCACGGCTAACACGCCCGCAGTAGTAACCAGATACAAATGTATCAGTTTTTTTAAATTGTTTTAATCAGCTGAGATCTCAAGAGACGACGGATAGTCCCATTTACAAGATTGACCTGTGTCACACATGTGACAAAAGCAATAGCATAAAAAAGTACACTGAAGCAAACACAAGCAAAACTAATATTAGTATGGTAGAACCTAAAGGAATATAACGTGCATTAAAATAATTGTCCTTTTCCCCAATTTTATTTCGATTGTGCTGTCGGTGTCATGTAATCAGATAAAGAATTCATTTACATCTTTCATAGAGCTGTGCAACCTTCGGCGATGGAGAATGGCACAGTAATGACCAGGACTGCCACTGATTTTGAACAGGATAATAATAATTGTTAGAAGTACTTAAGAGTCTAAATAAATTAGCATTTCAAGCACGAATTTGTAATCCACCGCTGCGAAGGCAAGGTTTAGGGGATCAAACTAATGTGAAGCGTCAATTTTCTGTGGGTATTGAGGTGCCGCTCCCTGGACTAATTTCCATCTGTTCCATCTGTACGGGATAGTGTTGCCCCCTTACATGCATGGGTTTTCTCTGGTGCACCCAAATGTCAAAAAAAAAAACTCAATAATTGGCTAAAAAATATTTTAACATATATAGAGGACTTCAGAGCTTGGGCATTAAGCCTTGCTGCCTTCCCGCTTGCCTGTGACCACGTGTGATGTGCAGGGCTTCGAGGGCACCGTGGTGTGGGACGGGGTCACCCCGGCGGACATGGTGCTCTCTGACCCCGGCGACTACACGCTGGACGCGGGAGGGGGCGTTCTGAAATTCGCAGCGGTGCGCTCGCGCGGTCCCCCGCTCCCGATGTAACACCGCCCGGCTCGTTCATCTCAACCCGCGTGGCTATCTTGTGATGTCGAGAGCGCCGCGCCCATGCATCGTCGCAATAGATTGTGTCCGCGAAGGCACAGGACCGGGGAAGATTGTGGCTGCGTTATCTCGTGTGCACGGCCAGATCGACTCGACCGCGTTAGACAAAGCGTGACCACCGATAACGCCGTGTTGCTGCATATATTTATAAGGGGCCAGCTTTAATGAACTCGGGAGGAGCTTCTTAATCAAGTGCCCACTTTGTTCAATGTGTTTACGCTGGGTAACGAGCAGACTGCGCAAAGCCGCCGTGTTTATCTTGGGCCACCCGATATTGAGTGGACGGATCGATAGATCGGCGAATTAATTAATTAATTAACGAGTGGGTGTATTTACGAATGTGCTGTTCAGACGGGGCGGTACGGAGAGGTGGGGGACGAGTTCCCAGAGTTCAGACAGGAGCGGGTGGCACTTGCGGGGTCCTTCACCTTCGCCGTTCAAGGTTAGCGGCAGAGACGCCGTTGGGGGGGGTGTGGGGGGAGAGGCGGGGGGAGGTGTGGGGGGAGAGGCGGGGGTGGTGTGGGGGGAGAGGCGGGGGGGGGGTGTGGGGGGAGAGGCGGGGGGGGGTGTGGGGGGAGAGGCGGGGGGGGTGTGGGGGGAGAGGCGGGGGGGGTGTGGGGGGAGAGGCGGGGGGGGTGTGGGGGGAGAGGCGGGGGGGGTGTGGGGGGAGAGGTGGGGGGGGGGTGTGGGGGGAGAGGCGGGGGGGGGTGTGGGGGGAGAGGCGGGGGGGGGGTGTGGGGGGAGAGGCGGGGGGTGTGGGGGGAGAGGCGGGGGGGGGTGTTAAGGAAGAGGCGGGGTTTTTTTCGATAAAATATGACGTTTATAAATGTTTCTTTATTAAAAATGTTATCCTTTAAATTTTACAAGTAATCTTTTGTTAAATAAACGGCAATTATATATACATATTTTTTATCAACCTTCGCAGTTGATAAAAAAAAAAAACCAAAAAAACTTTTCACACGGTAAAACAGTGGTCACCTACACATGGACTGCGCTCCACTTTGGGAACGTGGAATTTCCGCCACTGGCTCAGTGCAGCCAGCGAGTTCGAGCGCAGCCCCATCGCCCGATCGAGCGAGGCGCCACTCAGAACTCTCATCATTCGCCATTTCTCTCCGCGTGCCGCACTTCGCCGGCTTGCACGCCCAACTCTCCCGCCCTCACCCGGCCCCTCGTCCAGACGGCGGCTCGCTCACCGCCCACGCCTCCGGCCGGGCACGCCGGAGCGCCGAGTGGGCCGAGACGACGCGCCGGGAGGCCGCCGTCCTGCGCGTCGAGTCGGCGCGTCACGGCGACCTCGTCCTGGTGAACGTCACCGACGTTTACCGCAGCCTGCCCAGCAAGATGCTGCTCTTCTCCCGCTGGTGGGCGGTGCGCGCCGCTCATCCGTCATCGCTCACGTTGAATGGATTGACCATGGCTGATGCTGATGATAATGATGATGATGATGATTTATTGTTTCATTATTACTTCTCTTTCAGGAGGGTCCTGCCAAGGTTTTACATGGGGGTGTGGGGGGTGGATGGGGCGGGGGGGGGGCATGTTGCCGTGTGTGATCCCAATTGAGTAATTTGCAGGTACTTTTTCAACCCATTGGGATGTTTGGCCAATACCAGTCACAATGTGTGATTGACGCGATGGCAGCAGCAACACAAGTGGAATGTCGTTGCTTGCGTTAAAGACTCTTGTTGCCCATTGCACACAGCGCTAGCATGAGTGACCTCTTATAACTCCACACGTGGTTCTCGTTGTTCCAGGGCAGCAGTATCTCTGGACTTCAGGCTGCTGCTGAAGACGGATGACGACAGCTTTGTGGACGTGGCGGAGGTGCTGAGGAGCGCGGTGCTTCAGGGCTACGACCAGACCCCGGGCCTCTGGTGGGGCAGGTAATGGCAGCTCACCCCACCACCCAACTCAGCTCACCCCACCACCCAACTCAGCTCACCCCACCACCCAACTCCTGCGGTGACAGCGCTAACTTGCTGGGCTCCCTTCGAGGTACATACGCGATGAGTTATTCATTAATTGACATTTTTAATTAATGACGAATCTAAAAGATAGTTTTATGATATCACGGCCAACTAAAATTGGAGGAGGCAACTGCTCCATATAACTAACCCCCCTCTGTATGTAAACCCATTGAATAGTTTATTTTATGAATGTAGAACCCTATTTAGAAATCTTCACGTATCAGGATCCCCCGCCTCCCAGGGAAGCTTCTCGATCCACCTCTGCCCCATGCACCTCTGCTCTGATTGCCTGCAACCAGAACTGCCAATGCCACACCGTCCGGCGGTCGCACCGGCGACTTTACAACGACGACGACGATGACGACGACTACGACTGTGACGTCGACGAGAGTGTTCGCTCTGGACGATCGCTCACTCGCTCGGTCGCTCGCTCACTCACTCACTCGCTCGGTCCGCCACACGCTCGGCAGCTTCCGTCGGAACTGGGCGGTCGACCATGCGGGGAAGTGGGCCGAGCTGAGCTACCCGGGCCCGGCGTACCCGGCCTTCGCGTGCGGCGCGGCGTACGTGCTGTCCGCCGACCTCGTGCGGTGGCTGTCCTCCAACTCCGACGTCCTCGCCGCCTACCAGGTGTGCGCTACCACCCCCTTCCCCCGTCTATGACTGCTAGAAATTTCCACGTGATAGGCCTCTTCATTGAGTTGTATGTCTGTCGAACTTCTTTCGCACCGCACGTAGCCCAAGAGCTATCGTTTGCGATAGCCAGGTCGCTTCTGAAAAAAAGAGCTACACAGCTCAGTGGGCCTCACCTGGTAAAATAAAATTAAGAGTAGCTTTAGTTGACGTCGATTCTAAATGTGGACAAAACCGGAGAACCCGGAGAAAATTCCACGCGACCACGAGGAGAACACGCAAACTCCAAATATACAGGTGTCAGGGTCGGGAGGGAACCCACGACCTCCTGCATAGCAGACGAGGTAGTTAACATCATGCCACCGTGGCGTCTTGCGGAGGGCCCACTGTTCCGCCGAGTATGATGGCCTCGGCGCCGGGCAATCCGGAGCTCTGGTGAACGCTACCAAACGTCCCAGTCTGGTCAGGAGAGTCCCGGTTGGTTTCAGAAAGTCTGTCCCGGTGTACCCCTTAATCGTTTGCGAAAATCTGGATTTTATCCGGGTTTAAGCGTTCCTGGCCTCATGCTCGACTCATGATAATGGATGGCGTTGGCAGAGGAGTAGACGGTGGCCTATGAGCAGTAAGCGTATAACGTATGGAAACCTATAATCCTAATGTAACAGATATGACTTTGCTGATGAGACTCCGAAAGTCGAAACCAGCCCCAGGTTTGTCTTATTTAAACAAATTCTGCTGGAAGACGTTCGTCCGGAAGTCCCATGATAGGCTGATTAAGTTATTTTATTTGAATGTGCAGAAACATGGTCATTGTCTCTGTATTATCAAACATGATAAGCCAAAGTTGAAAATAAAGTGCATTAGTTGTGAATGATACCCGATGCATTTTGTTGAGCCTTATAGTGTTGTGTAATATACAAGCACAAGAACAACAAAAGCAAGCTGCTTCTTGAAAAAAAAATGAAATTTCAAGTTGGACACATTCAAGGTCAAGAGGTCATTATGGCCAATGCCAAATGATGCCACCTCACCTCGCCATCGGTTCCGTTTGCTGGATGCCATATTTCTCGGGAAGTCGACACCCCAACCTTCAAGTCCTTCTCCCCGACAGTCTCCCAACGGGTGGTCTCAGCTCTTCCCCGTGATCAGTGACCCGTGGGTGCTTCTCCAATGGCCGTCACAGTAACCTGCCCTCCAAAGACAAAGATCCCCCGTATAGCCCGAACAGACTGCTGGGGCAAGTGCCGTTAACGAGTACCTATGAAGGTCGGCACGGCGCACGAGGGGGTGGGTGGCCAGCACCTCGCCCGGCCGCCTTTGTCTTCCCAGTGGTGATTTACACACATTGCACCAGGTACTTATTTGAGGCTGAGTCGACCTTGAGCAGGAATCGAACTCGGGTGGCCGGGTTCGTAGTGCAGCGTGATAACCGCTACACTACACTGTCCTCCTCCACCCTGCACAGTGTCCCACCCATCACAACCCCTTTTCCTGATTACGTCTACAGCACTTTCCACATTCTCATTATGAACTTCCAAGTTGCTTTACCCAAGCCTTTCCATGGAATTCCTGTTTTCAAATTCTAAAGGTTAATTTTCTGCTTGTGTTCTTAATGCATTAGCAGCTAAGCGATGACGAGTACATTGTGTTAATTGGGTGAATGGCGTGTGCACGTACAGGGTGAAGATGTTTCCATGGGCGTATGGATGGCAGCTTTGGCACCAACTAGGATACAGGTAAATGGTGTTCACATAGAGAGTTTACAAGTAAATGGACAGAATTATCTCGTGCCACTAACATCGCCATCTGTCCCAGGTTTGCCAGGATCATCTTCGTGTAAAGGTAGCTGCCATGGGAATTCTGAGTCTTCCCGGGATATTATAAAAGTCCCGGATTTTGTCAGCTGCGTAATAACACCACCTCTAAAGACAATGACTTGACATGCAGTTCTCCTCTCTTCTGATATTGAGATATTTTTCCCCGATATGTCTGAATTGTTTGTGCTACAAAGGTAGCAGCGCTATATGTCACTTATTGTAAGAAAAGATATATGTGAAAGCGTCTGTGTTAACATAGTCCTCCCCCCGCACCTCCGATTAGCACGGTTGGTTGCGTATGGTGTGAAAGAAGTTCAACACACATACATGAGAACCAAAAAACATCCTGATAGAGGTGTATTGCAAATGATAATGGATCCATTGTCTTTTGAAAATGTTTATTAAAGTTAAATATTTTCTTTGCAAAAGTATCATAGCATGCACACGAATGTATGTAAAGTTTGGTTTAAAGCATTGCGCTGCCAAGTTATTACAAAATGAAGTAAGTTATGGATTCTGATGATTAATGCGAGGATTGCGTGACAAAACTAGACGAGACTCAACGTGAAGGACACGTCCAAACAAATCGGCAACAGTGTGGAACTCATCCCTGTAGGTAGCCCCGAGTCCACGGTGGAAATTCCTCTTTGCATTCTCACCGCAGGACAACCACCGCCGACGTTCAACAAATAAATTCCCGCTCGTTGTCGTGCTGCCCTGCAGGACGACCGCTGGTGGTGCGACGCGGCCTGCGAGCGCGGTGCCCTCGCCTCCTCGCAGCACTCGCCAGCACGGCTCGCCACCATGTGGGCGGGAAAGCAGCGCTGCGGTGACGCGTGCACGCCGTGCGACGCGCCGGGCGTCTAGGACGGCGGGCGCTCGCTTACCCCCCCCCTCGCTCACCCTCCCTCGCTCTCGCTCGCTCACCCCCCCTCGCTCACCCTCCCTCGCTCTCGCTCGCTCACCCTCCCTCCCGTCGCTCGCCCTCGCTCGACCGGGCCCACTCGTACGGGACTCCCGCCAGCGTCTCTGCAACTCGCACGCGTTCGTGCAGCGTCCGATTGTGACTGCTGTTCAGAACTGTGGGCTGGGACGGGACCTGGGCAGGACGCGCCGCTTGAAGGGGGCGATGGTCCGAGGTCGACAATAATCACCGAGCGGCAGACGGAGGTGGGGAAAGCGCCCGAGAGGACGTGGAACCGCGGAGGCGGGGCGACGGGACCGCCTCCTCAGAGTGCAGGCGCCAGGCGGATTGTTGCATCGCGGCACCGTAAAGAATGACGGCGACTTGCGGAGGCCGTTATCCAGCAGCGGGTCGATTACAGCCCGGTGATGATGATAGTGAATGCGACTGCATCTCTGCATGTTGCTGTGCAAATTATGTGCAACGTGTGAAGAAAGTAGATCGGCAAAAAAGTATTTTTAGAAGATACGGTTAAGAAGCAGACAGCAGGGCAGGGAAGTGAGATGATGGCACGCTGGAGTGCGAATGAAGACACTTCTTGATTTAAAGCTTTCGTGACTGCAGGGATTCATATTCTTGGTTCTTTCGGTAAAGTCACGTAGAAGGGAAACAATAAAATAATTAAAATATAAAACAATTAAATTCTCACGACGTTTCGACTGCAACACAAGCAATCATCATCAGGTGTGAAAACCACAGCAAGAAAATTTGAAAAAAGTGGCGTTTTTTTTACGTTAGTACCACGGAGAGCGATTTGGCAGTTATTCAGATGGACGAGTCCATCTATGTTTGGAAGAGGGGGGAGACGAAAATAATGGATGCGGTCTGAAAGCCACCGTAAGTGTGGACAAACAATTAAGACCTGAAATGGTTTATTGAATCCTTCCAATGATTACAAGCACAGAGACAATTTCAACCGAGAAGATGGATTCTGGCTTAGCAATCATTGGAAGGATTTGATAAACCATTTTGGGTCTTAATTGATTGTTCACGCTTACGGTGGCTTTCAGACCGCATCCATTATTTTCGTCTCCCCCCTCCTCTTCTCCGAACATAGATGGACTCGTCCATCTGAATAACTGCTAAATCGCTCTCCGTGGTGCTAACGTTAAAAAAAACGCCACTTATTTAAAATTCTCAACACCATGGTTACGCAGCATCAATGTTATTGTTTCCCTTTTACGTGACTTTACCGAAAGAACCAAGAATATGAAGACACTACATCGAGAAGAAACGGATGCTCGTGGGCTGTACAGGAAAGGGAAATGTGAAGTCCGGATGCGAACAAGGAAAGGATCTTGGCAGTGTGAATTATTTGAGCAAGAGATTTCCAGACCATGAAGAAAGCTGTGGAAAAGGAGTGATCTCCCATTGAGCGGTTGACTGCAAGCTGATGCGTCCGTCTAGATTGCACGCTCGCATGGAACGCCTTATGTGGAGCTTCAACACCATGGTTACACAGCATCAACTTCACAAAAAATATCATGGCCTTTACACCTGAACTGTGCACTTGTGTGTGTATGAAGTCACTCAATCAGCCAGAACAGATGTACAAGATGTTAAAGCTCTACAGCCAATCACAGTTTAAGTTTTAGTCCTCGTAATAGCCAATATTTATTTCATAACGTGCCTTTAACAAAAACAAATGTCCCAAAGCACTGTACAATCAACACCAGAATAAAGTTAAGGGAAAATCAACAACTACTGATTGCTTTCAAAAGGCCAGTGAGTCAAAATTGGTTTTAAGATGACCTTCAAAGATACCAGCGGTTTCCGAGTCTCAGCTGTGAGCAAAATCATTCCCCAATCTTGGGAGCAGAGGAACATGTGGAGTGAAGTCTTGGTTTAGGCACCAGCAAGAGTCCAGAGTCTAATGAAGGTCACGTGTGAGTGCGTAGTGGGAAAGCAGATGTCTTAGGTACGATGGAGCCAGGCCATCTTCAAATCAGTAGCTACATTGCACAGGCAACCAATGCAATGTCAGAACAAGAATTATATGATTCAAGGATTGAGTGTTTGCGAACACCCGAGAAAGCCCCGTTCAGAATATCCGACAGGGTAGTTTTAAAGATTAACCATGTTGACTAAAGTAACAGGCTGAGCCTCACTAGAACACATAGCTGCAATAACCTGTGAAAAACTGAGTTGATTTACCTCAATTTATAGGAAATGATAGTGACACTTAAGTGTTAAACAGGAAATGGGGGTTCCAAGTCAACTATGATAGCCACGTGGTCACAAAAAACCTAACTCGGGATATGAAGTAGATAATGACAAGATCTAATGTGACACCAATTATGGGTGGGCACTTTGGCATGTTGAGCGAGCTCAAAGCAATCAAGCAAGGCCAAATAATCTGCTGAAAAGGGACAGTGATGCGGATCAACGTGGATACTAACATCTCCGAAACGTACAATCTTGTCATATCTAGGGCAGAGAAACGACAGAGCAGACAACTCAATTCAAAATGAAGTATTCCAATTTGGGGGTGGGGGTGATTAACAAGAAGCGCAGCTGGAGGCCGAGTAAATAACTTCAAAACAATGTTCTCAAATACCGGGGTAAATCGAGGTCAAGGTTCTATGTCCAAGCTGATGCACAAAAGCCACCCCCCTCCCCCTGTGACCAACAACCCACGGCACGAACGTTTTGTCAAAAGCCAAATCAGACGGAGCCGTCCGATTGAGGAAAAGGCAGTCATTTTGTTGATGCCACGTTTCAGTTGAACATAAAATTCACAGGTGAAGTAAAAAATATATTCGAAAGCAGAGCTTTGGTTGTCAAAGAGCGAGCGTTGAATACGCCCACTTCTGCAAGCTTGGGTGTCGTTAAGAGGTTCAGGCCTTGCCAAACCATGTCATGGACTTCAGAAGCCCGAGCAGGTTACCAACAACCACTGTGGCAACGAGCCGGAGAAATTCACTTTAGAGACCAAGAAGAACTTGTATTGACCTTGGCATGAGCCAAAAATTAATTCCCCGGCCAGAGCACCTAAGCTGTTCTCGATCTTGCCCACGACATACATTACGTAAAATGAATGAAAGGGGAGTACAGCTGATCGCTCTCAAAGTGGCTGTGAGATACGATCCATCACCAACAGCCGAGTAGCAGCATGCAGGCCCAATTCCGCCAGCTTTTCTCTTGGTGATTAAAATAGGTATAAACGTAAAAGACGAATAGCTAATGAAGCAGGACTTTGAAACAGGTTTTTATTGATTAAAACTACAAATATTGGAAGAAAAAAACTATGAAAGTCAAACTGATAAAATAGCTTTGTGTTGCGTAGTGAATGTTGTGTAGTGAGTGCCGCGTGCCACGAGCAGTATTAGTGAGTGGCAGCCGTTGTGTCGTCGGTGTCGTATGATGACAGTGGTTGTGTCGAGCCGTGGCTCTCGGAAGTGTGGTCCCTGGGCCAATGGTGGTCCGCGATGGCTGTGATGCAATTGCACGTTGATCAGAAAATAATAAAAGTCATTTTTCCCATATTTAATTTTAAAATGTAGTTGGGTAAATTACCCTGATTAAACTACCAGAACATCTAAATGCCCCTCCCCCTAAAAAAAACTCCTTATAGCCGGTAATATTAATCATTTAGTATTCGTGGTATTTAGAGAGATAAGTGAAATGCGTTTTGTCACCAGGGGTGCGGGGGGGGGGGCTGGGTGGTGGTCCGTGGAAAAGTTTGCATCGGCTGAGTGTCTCACGGGTGTAGAGCGAGCGTGCGGGAAATGTTTAACGAGTAGCGAGTGTTGTATTGTGTGGAATAAAAATTGTGGGGGGGTGGAGCGGACTAAAGCAGGACTTTCGATTTAAAGCTTTCGTGACTGCAGGGATTCATCTTCTTGGTTCTTTCGGTAAAGTGACTTTACCGAAATAACCAAGAAGATAAAGCAGGAATGTTTAAAACCAAAAACTGACCGAAAAAAAACTTCAAACAAAATCCCGTCAGGTGGCAGCCAAACTGCGCCCAAGTCCTCTTGGGCGACCATAGTCACCTCACTGCAGACCAGTGGGTGCTCGATCAATGAAGTGTTTTTAAGTGCCAAACTCCGCTTAAGGATGGGTGTTCCTAACCAACCAAATGCCTCTTTACATTGTGCATCCTAACGCCCCATCCACCCAAGTCCTCGCGACAATATTTGCATCCTCACCGCACCAGGACAAAAACAAATGTGTTATATCAGCAGAATGATTGCAAAATAAAACACAGGATAATTTAATGTATCCTTTATTTCTCATGCACAAACGTATAAGTTATTTGTAATTTGAGTGTTCACAAGTATTGGCGTCACAGGATTTTATTGTGACATTGTTTACCGACATTTTTTTTCTCAAAGTCTACCACGGTAACCTTGATATTATACGTAATTGTGGTCTAAAGAAAATATTGTCAAGAGAAACGTTGGCATACATCACCTTGAGTGTTACCGAATCGTAGTGTGAAGTTAAGGGTGACGTTTTTGCAACAACAGTTTTAGAATCGAAGCTTTCGTGACTGCAAGGATTCACTCTTTGGCTTTTTCGGTAAAGTCACGTAGGTAAAATAAATGAAAACAACTAAATTAAATCACGACGTTTAGGAGGCAACACAAGCTTCCGTCTTCAGGTGGAACAGCGGACTAAATAGCTATTGCTGTGACTGTTCCACCTGAAGATGGAAGCTTGTGTTGCCTCCGAAACGTCGTGATTTAATTTAGTTGTTTTCATTTATTTTATTTTACCTGCGTAACTTTACCAAAAAAACCAAAGAGTAGTTTTAGAACCATTTAGCAGAACTGATAATAAAGACGATGGGAATATTGAAGACGACTGTTGATGATTTTATCACCGTTACCAGCGGACCACCAGGTTGTCTCCATCCTCGATAGAGTAAAATCTGAGTGGCCGAAGATCGTTGTCCAATTCAAACTCCTGCCCCTCCATCTGAATCCGCGCAGAAAGAACAAACGTTATCATTAAACATTGCCGTAGCTAATATATAAAGCCACTGTCAATTGGACAAAGCCAGGGTACATTCAAACTAACAATTCGTGTCTACAATGTGCACGCGCACGTATAGTCCTTGTGTGATCCACTGCTGGATAAGGGCCTCCACAGACCGTGCAGGTTGTGGGGATGACTAGACCATACTTCACCAAGCTGGTGAGTACGGCTTGGTGAAGGTGGGCAGCATAGACGTGAGCACAGAAGTACAGTACAGCAATGGACTGCCCTGTGCTGCTTGCGACGTAGCTGCGCAGCAGTTTGCGACGCCTGTTTTATCCATCCAGACACTGTCCATGGCTCAGTGGACATCACTGATCTATTCACAATCTCTGTGACCACCATGACCTTCGTGTCAAAACTGTCGCCTTAACTATCGATCACGATAAAAGTAGATTGACAACCCTAATCCGGGCGTAGAGAGCGGTAGGAGAAAGTAGTCACTCACCTTGTGGCTCGTGTATGTCAGCACCAGGTCTGACGCCTGCACCTTCAACAGCCTGCACAGCATTCCCTTAAGCTTCTGTACCGTCATCGAGTCTGCATGGAGTGGTGATCATTGCGCGTTATCATCGTCAGCATCACCAGTGGAATAGTCAAGGCATATAAATAAGGCAATGTATTTATTCCAACGTGGGTTGTTTTGTTTGCAGTGTTTGTTTCGCATTCTTGCATCTGTGCGCTACAATGGGATCCTAGTCTTCTTCGTACGATGGGCAGTTGACCAGCAACATTTGTGTGTTCAAGATGAGGTTGATGAGTGAGCCAGTGGGTGGCTTCAGGAACAGTCTGATGAATATCTGAAACGCTTTCCACATACGATCAAAGCCGGCAGTCGTGTTACTGCACGGTCTATGGTTTGAGATATACTCACATGGAGGTTGACAGATGTATATAGAGACCCATTGACTCACACAGACACAGTAGACTCACTAACCTGATGAACATCTGATATATGCTGCAAAGTGAATCATTCAAGTAGGCAGTTGCTTGTGGTCCACAGTTTGCGATTAGTGATCGCAGTCCCACTGTGGACCATTCTTTTTTTTGTAAAAACAATTTGATTGGTTTTTCAAGAACCCAGAAGACAGTGGGAACATCAAAAGCCACTGGGGACTATTCTTAATTGTTCATCATTGGTGTAATAGATCGCTGCTTCTGCCTTGCCATGTTCTCATGTGATTCAGTAAAAGACCAGAGATTCAAGTAAACTGGATTCACTCGGTCTACTTATCCTAAACAAAGTATCCAGAGAGGACTTTGACTTGGGTCCTGGTCATGATGGTTGACTACTCAAGTCTTATTACTCTTGCATGAAGGTTAAGTAAATAATTCCTGAAAGGTAAACGGTAATTGCACCTCGCATTGTTTTAGTTCACGCATGTTCCAAATACTTAGTCTTCACAGTGATGGCTACGGGAGTGTGTCAGTGGCACTGCATTGCGCAGACACGAGCGGCTACAACACACAAAATCATTTCCGACCCCACAAAGGGCTCGAAAAAAATGGGACCCATACACAAATGCATGAAGGCATCACGTGGGCCTCTGCACCCATCTCATGCACCAAGTGCAAAAAAAATAAAAAAAATCTCCAATTGCAACTGCTGCTCCACGTCACAAACCGAGGACCACGTCCTCAGCCACTGCCACACAACATTATTCAGCGGAGGAGAGGAGCTACACACGGCCTCCATAAATCCCAGGATTTGGCTCAATCGACTGGACCTCGATATCTAAATTGCATTTTGACGATTTACATTCAACCATGCGCGATGAGATTAAGTGGCCGATGTACTTACTTGGAACTTTTTTCTCTACAGTCTTGTGGTCCGCGAGGTCGGGGCATGTGATGTTAATTGCTGCAAATGACAAAACGACAAAGATCCCCGATATAGCCTTCTTAACAGACTGTTGGAGCAAGTGCTATTAGCGAGCACTGATGAAGGTCGGCACTTTTTGAGAGGGAGTGGGTGGCCAAAACCACGCCGGGTCGTCTTTGTCTCCCTAGTGGCGATGTTTACACACCACACCAGGTACTAATTTGAGGCTGAGTCGACCTAGGGGAGGCCTAGGACCAGTTCAAATCATTGTCACTGGTGTTAGCCGTGAGTGGGAATCGAACTCGGTTTGCCAGGTTCGTAGCGCAATGCGCTACCGTTCCTCTTACACACATACACCCGGGCAGTCTACCCACATTGCACAAGTGCATACATATTTTATGTATTCAAATATTAGTACAGACCCCATCTTCTTTGGCTAAAATACTACAAATACTTGGTGAACTAGATGTTGATAAGATATACATAATATACTTGGTGAACTAGATGTTGATAAGATATACATGTTTAATTGTTCTTACATTTTAATAGGATATACAGATCGAATAAAAAAGTATATAGAAGTCAGTTTGCCCACCGACAAGTTTGCTCTTCAAAGTGAAGACTTCCTCCTTTAACTCCGAGTCTTCAGGTGCTCCATGCTCTTAGAAAAAAAGTCAAAGATTTAACAAGGCATAAGCTCACAATGCCATAAATGACCACACACTCTGTGGCCAATGGAGACTGGGCACATTCTTAATAGTTTAATGCACCAAAACTACCGCAATGGAGGCAGTAGAGAAAGCAGGTTCCTGGCAAGTTATCTGTGCGTAACTTGAGTTTCGCCTCTACACGAGTGTGTTTTCTCACGTCCCTCAAGTTTCATGCCACATGCAACAATACTACCTTAGAGATTTTTCTAAATATCCCAAACATTTATCCTGCTACAAAAGTCCATAGATCAGGGCCGTATCCAGCTTGCGACTTCGTTTCATACGGCCCGCTGTCACATGAAGCACACCACTTTGAAATGGCCCGTATACAATATTTATCAATCGCTACAAGCATCAGTCACGCTAATCAGGTACGAGAGGGGAACTTTTTTGACCTGCAAAGGCTACATTTTAAATGTTAGTGTGCTCAGTCACTTCTGCCATACTCAGTCAGCACATGTGTTTGTTTGCTGCCCTGGGATATTAAAAGCTTCACCATATGTTGCGCGCATGCCTTTAGTGTTTGTGCATGGACATACCACATGGTACAGCCTTCACATTTACAGAACAGCGCAAGTAACATATGCATCAACCGAGTTATTATTATTTTTATTTGATAACGCGAAGGTGTGTGTTAACGTGTGGCTTGCCAATGATGTTCAAAAGTCCTATTTGGCTCACAGTAAGGAAAAGGTCTTCCCAGCTTTGGTATGGATTCACAAGATGTTAACTACCTCGCCTGGTATACAGGAGGTCGTGGGTTCGATCCCGACACCAATGCCTGTATATTTGGAGTTTGCATGTTCTCTCTGTGGTCACGTGGATTTTTCTCCGGGTCCTTCGGTTTTTCCCTCCATATTTAGAAACATGCGTGTAGATTATTTGACTGCTATAAATTTACAAGTGATAAGCCACTTATTTGAGCTATCATTTGTGATCGCCAGGTCGCTTTTGAAAAACAGCTATATAGCTCAGTGGGCCTTACACCTGGTAAAATTAAAGTAGTTTGTAATTTAAAAAGTTTAAATTTTGATTTAAAGCTTTCGTGACTGCAGTAATTCATATTCTTAACTCTTTCGGTAAAGTCACGTTGAAGGGAAACAATAAAATTATAAAATATATGTTAAACAATAAAAATTCTCACGACGTTTCGACCATAACACAAACGGTCGTCATCAGGTGTGTCGGTTTGCATTTAAAAAATAAATAAATTAAAAAGTTTACTTTAAAGCTCTCTTGGGTTACAGATGTGTTGTTGTAGAGAGAGTGTGACGGATGTCTCACTGTGTACGAACGACGCGTAGCGTGGGTGAGCTGCCGTGAATTCCGTGCTGGCGATTCCCAGCTCTCCATTCCGGCGGCCACCGGCTTCGAGCCAAGCCAGGCCGTAACGCTTCAAGTAGTCACGCTCTGCTCCGCTCCGTTCGTTATTGCATACCTGAACCCACGTACACATGTACACACGCGCACGCATCAGTTCCAGTGTGTCCTCAAATTATTGCACTAACTCAGAATCAGAATATTTATACTGGAGGAATCCGATGAGCCGTAAAGCACTTTTTCACAGATGTCCAGTAGGGGTGGGTCAGAACGTTATGACGACAAACAGTACAAAAACATGATAGTCGTGCAAAGTACAAGGTAAATAACTCACCCAAACACATACAAATGAAAATAAACATCCCCATTCTACCAGGCAAAGCCCACTGAGGTATTAGCTTATTTTTCAGAAGTGACCTGGCCACAAATGATAGCTCAACAAAGTGGCCCATCATTTGGAAATTTAACACCTAGGCTTTCGCGACCAATATCCACAATATAGTTTTTTTGGGTTAGATCGCGTAAATGTGTCGTTAAACCCGCCATCACCCGACACAGCCAATTAGTAAGGTTTGTCACGTAAACAGAACATGCCAATTCGTTACAAGTACGCGATCTAACCCAAAAAGTCTATATATTATGGATTTGGAAATTTATAGCACCAAAATAATCTCAATGAATGTTTCTAAATGTGGAGGGAAAAAACGGAAGGACCCGGAGAAAAAAACACCACTTTGGAACTTTATCATTACTCATACAAGAATAAAATAAATCAAATAAGAACCTTGGAGTGGTTGAGCACCCGCAGACGTGCGATTTTGGCGATGATGATCTGCCAAACCGTGTTTGGATTTATCTCGGGCGTTTCAAGGAATTCCAGGCTCAGATTCAACACCTCCAGGCTCTGCAGCTTGTCCAGCTCATTTATCGAGCTCCACTGCACAGGGAACGTTGAGAACAGTGGTGGTGGCATGAGGGCATGGGAAGCAGCAGCACACCAGAAGAAGAAGCAGCAGGGAAATCAGGATATTTATTTATACTGCAGAAATCCGATGAGCTATAAAGCCCTTTTTCACAGATGTCCAGTAGTTTTCACAAATGGAGACAGTTGGTGAGAACATTGGCAGGACAACGGGAAAGATGTTGGTAAAAGTGCAGGCCTGCAATTTCTTGTTCATGCCACTGCGAGCAGAAGGGCCTCCACTATCAGGAGCTCCAGAGAGCCCTTCTGGAAGGTATTTTGGACTACTCTTTCAGATGAGGTGAGTTTACCCACATTTTACTCCACCACACGCGACGTGCCAATCGACTAACTGCGGTGTACCCATTTACATTGCTGGGTGGAAGGGGGTGCAGGGGTTGTGGAAGGAGGCTGCGGTGGAGGGGGGGGGGGGGTAATTTAAGAATGTTGCTTCAACTTCTGCACCCACAAGTCCAATGTGCTCACCATTACACCATGGCAGCAATCCCAGGAAAGGAATAGGAGTGCGAAAATGGGTAAGAAATAACATAAAATTCGACATGCGTATCGGTATTTTGAAATGTCTTTTACACGAATTTAATGGAGCTAAAACAATAAAAAGGCACCCCTGTTGAATAATATTCGTGGAAAGCATTGTTTTTATTTGTGATCACATTCATACAAAATCGAAACACAATTGGGCTAAAAAAATTTTTTTAAGTAAACTGTATACAGTGAGGGAACAAAATATTTGATCCCCTGCTGATTTTGTACGTTTGCCCACTGACAAGGAAATGATCAGTCTATAATTTTAATGGTAGGTTTATTTGAACAGTGAGAGACAGAATAACAAAAAGATCCAGAAAAACGCATGTCAAAAATGTTATAAATTGATTTGCATTTTAATGAGGGAAATACGTATTTGACCCCCCTGCAAAACATGACTTAGTACTTGGTGGCAAAACCCTTGTTGGCAATCACAGAGGTCAGACGTTTCTTGTAGTTGGCCACCAGGTTTGCACACATCTCAGGAGGGATTTTGTCCCACTCCTCTTTGCAGATCTTCTCCAAGTCATTAAGGTTTCGAGGCTGACGTTTGGCAACTCGAACCTTCAGCTCCCTCCACAGATTTTCTATGGGATTAAGGTCTGGAGACTGGCTAGGCCACTCCAGGACCTTCATGTGCTTCTTCTTGAGCCATTCCTTTGTTGCCTTGGCCGTGTGTTTTGGGTCATTGTTATGCTGGAATACCCATCCACGACCCATTTTCAATGCCCTGACTGAGGGAAGGAGGTTCTCACCCAAGATTTGACGGTACATGGCCCCATCCATCGTCCCTTTGATGCGGTGAAGTTGTCCTGTCCCCTTAGCAGAAAAACACCCCCAAAGCATAATGTTTCCACCTCCATGTTTGACGGTGGGGATGGTGTTCTTGGGGTCATAGGCAGCATTCCTCCTCCTCCAAACACGGCGAGTTGAGTTGATGACAACGAGCTCCATTTTGGTCTCATCTGACCACAACACTTTCACCCAGTTGTCCTCTGAATCATTCAGATGTTCATTGGCAAACTTCAGACGGGCATGTATATGTGCTTTCTTGAGCAGAGGGACCTTGCGGGCACTGCAGGATTTCAGTCCTTCACAGCGTAATGTTACCAATTGTTTTCTTGGTGACTATGGTCCCAGCTGCCTTGTGATCATTGACAAGATCCTCCCGTGTAGTTCTGGGCTGATTCCTCACCGTTCTCATCATCATTGCAACTCCACGAGGTGACATCATGCATGGAGCCCCAGGCCGAGGGAGATTGACATTTCGATTTAAAGCTTTCGTGACTGCAAGGATTCATTTTCTTTGGTTCTTTCGGTAAAGTCACGTAGAATGAGAATAAAATAATAAATTGATAAAATAAAATAACACAATAATATTCTCACGACGTTTCGGCCACAACACAAGCAGCCTTCATCAGGTGAAGGGGACGAGACTGCCTGTCACTCCAGCGCTGTCCTCCAGACAGTCTCGTCCCCTTCACCTGATGAAGGCCGCTTGTGTTGTGGCCGAAACGTCGTGAGAATATTATTGTTATTTTATTTTATCAATTCATTATTTTATTCTCATTCTACGTGACTTTACCGAAAGAACCAAAGAAGATTGACATTTCTTTTGTGTTTCTTCCATTTGCAAATAATCGCACCAACTGTTGTTACCTTCTCACCAAGCTGCTTGGCAATGGTCTTGTAGCCCATTCCAGCCTTGTGTAGGTCTACAATCTTGTCCCTGACATCCTTGGAGAGCTCTTTGGTCTTGGCCATGGTGGAGAGTTTGGAAATTGATTTATTGCTTCTGTGGACAGGTGTCTTTTATACAGGTAACAAGCTGAGATTAGGAGCACTCCCTTTAAGAGTGTGCTCCCAATCTCAGTTCGTTACCTGTATAAAAGACACCTGGGAGCCAGAAATATTTCTGATTGAGAGGGGGTTAATTACTTATTCCCCTCATTAAAATGCAAATCAATTTATAACATTTTTGACATGCGTTTTTCTGGATTTTGTTGTTATTATTCTGTCTCTCACTGTTCAAATAAACCTACCATTAAAATTATAGACTGATAATTTATTTGTCAGTGGGCAAACGTACAAAATCAGCAGGGGATCAAATACTTTTTTCCCTCACTGTATGTGTACGCACTGCATAGTGTATTATTGCTGTATTAGAATTAATGGAATGTACCTCTGAAATCTTATTGTTGTAGAGTGATAAGAATTTCAGCTTGGGGAACATACTTGTTTGGCAGCCTGGAATGTTAAAGTAACAAAAATCAACGTATACAGAAAAACATGTTATGTGAACACAGTTCATCAACGACAGTAAGGAGGAGCTATTATTTTTATTTTACCAATGAAATAAATTCCAGGTTAAATCTTAACTGAAATTCCACAGGTAGTCGTCATCGAGATTAAAATGCCGACTAAATTATAATCACACGCAGTGGGCGAATTCCACAGTGGAAGTTATATTAGCTTTATTCGGACTCACCGCACTTGACATCGTCAAAGTGAACGCTGGTCAAGCCACACTCATCGAGCCGCAGTGATTCCAGGCTGGAACAGAGGTCAGGCAGAGGTCAACATCGTCATTATTGGGGACCATCGGCAGCACTGTCACCAACATAATTCCACAACGTGCGAAGCACACATCTGCAGTTACTAATCGTCCATAATAGAGGTTTTTTTGGCTTAGATCGCGTCAATATATAAATGTGTCGTTAAACCCGCCACCACCCGACACAGCCAACTAGTAAGGGTTGTCACGTAAACAGAACATGCCAATTCGTCACTAGTACAGCACACCGGAGTGTTGGAGAGCCAAGCCACAACATTTACAATCTGAGTACGACGTTTCGCCAGTAGTTACAACCAGCATCATTAGGCGACAGCCAGATTTGTGGAGAAGTCCACAAATCATCACATCTACGCCTCTATATAAGGAACGAAACAGGTAGGAGCACAAATGATAGCACTCAAGTTATGAACCCTACCATTATTTTCTTCATGTGCACAAAAATAAATCAGCACTTTCATCATGAAAATTACATTTTAAAGATATATAAACTACGAGGGGGTGGGTGGCCAGCACCACGCCCGGCCGCCTTTGTCTCCCCAGTGGCGATGTTCACACACCACACCAGTTACTCGTTTGAGGCTGAGTCGACCTAGGGGAGGTCCAGGACCGGTTAAAATAATCGTTCCCGGTGGTGGCCGTGAGCGGGAATCGAACTCGGGTCGCCGGGTTCGTAGCGCAGCGCGCTAACCGCTACACTACAATGCGTTACGCTTCCACATGCGTGGGTCACGTGACAGATTTGACGTTACAGCTCACTTGCCGTGCAAAAAATACATGCATTATTGAGCTCCCCCCCCCCAAAATGTGTATTTTTATCATTTTTGCATGGTGTACAGTCTGAAAAGTACCCACATGGCAAATTTCCAGTTTGTTGCATGTCGGAAAGTAGGCTAAACATTTTGAACAGACAAACATATTCACAACTTTGCTTTTTATATATATGGAGATGATCATTATTTGGGCACTACTGCCTAAAACAGGAATGCCTTGTGAATGCTGAGATATTTTTTGGTGTACGCCACCCATGGAAATAAATGTTGTTTGGTAATACAGTAGTATCCTGATTCACTTCTTCCCCTTTCATGTCATTTTGCAAATACGTCGTCACTTTATGAATGCCACTGCTTGATCTGCGTCGCCTCAACCTCACACTTATGTAGCTGACAGCGTCGTTCGTCCTTTCTCGTATCCGTAGCCTCTCAGCCTTCGCTACCACCTACAGCCTGTAAATCGCTTTGATTGACGTTTCGATTTTCGTCGTCGCACCTTTCAGAAACGCATCCCCGACGGAAACCGGGGTATTACTGTATACAGATTTTGGCAAAATCCATTATGTCCCGCCTTCAGAGCAAAGAGGAGTTACTGCCAGACATGTTAACTTACAATATATGTATTGGTATAAAGCAGTGTTAATGAATGAAGTGGCAATAAGTTTCGTTTTTTTTATTCTACCTGTACACTACTGCCTCTTCATTTTAAAGATGTACTTTAATTGTCTGGGTTTGAGCCATTCAACATGGGTGTTGCACCTTTCCCCACCTCGGCAACATCGCGATGTGATTGATCTGCTCATTGCCCTCCAAGCTGTTTCCTTCCAAATTCAAGCTGCGCAAGGCCTGCAGCACGCCCACTGGCCTGCAGATCACACAACCATCGTAAAACCAACAAGTTAGATATTGTCAAAACATACGCATGGATTATGTCACGTGTTTATCTGCGGAAGTATTTATTTAGCAGTATGGACACTGACGGGTAGCTGTCAGGGCAAAACACATTTGCAAAGTCCTTTTTTATATGATTTATGTCTCAAAATGTTGAGAAAACCATCCATAAATTTGGTTAGTTTGAAACAGGGTAAGCCCCTTATAGGAATGCAACATTATACCAACGTTTTGTTTATACTCAATCATCTTTAAATTCAATATAGTGCCCTCCTCTCCCCCCCCCCCATTACAGACGGACAGACAGGGATAAAGCATAGACCCTTTCAACCTCAGCTGGAAAGTGTTAGAAATGTATTAGTGTAATATTGGAATGGGTGATTCAGCTTAAACACTGTCCTTCCAATCCTCACGTCTCGAGAGTAGTGATATTGTTCTTCAGCAACTCAAGGTGTTCCACATTTGGCCACATTTCGGCACACACCAGCACCTGCCGACACACACACACAGGAGACAAAGGCATCACATCGCTGGAATTGATGATGTTCCCATCCTCTCTACTGCTTACAGGAACATCCAACAATAATATGGCTAACCCCGTCAGCTGTTTCATTTTGTATGTTGATTAACGGTGAATAACTACATTAACCCCCCTCTGGTCTTCGCACCTGATAGGCTCAAGGTGATGGCATCACCTTTACCCCCTCTATTTAAGAGCAAAACAGGAGGAAGTATCCACAATTCTGGCTATTGCCTGATGAAGCTGGTTGTAATTACCAGCGAAACATCGTACTCGAATTGTTAATGTTGTGGGTTTACTCACCAACACACCGGTTGGTGCTGTACTCATAGCGAATTGGCATGTTTTGTTTATGTGACAAACTTTACTAATTGGCTGTGTCGGGTGGTGACCAGGTTTAATAACGCATTTATATTTACACGATCTAACCCGAAAAAAACCCTCAATTCTTTTTCTTCACTTCACGGTAACGTGATAGCAATGGTGTGTGTGGTGCACATGCAAGTGAATGCGCGCGTATGCACCCACATGCCCACCTGTGACCACGTTAATGAGCAGGAATTGAGGACCAGGACCGTCAGATGGGAGAAGCAGGGGGACAGTGATCTGGGTGTCTCAGGAATGTCGAGACGATTCTTGCTGCATGCCATGCAAATAGAACAAAGACACTTAGTGCTTAGTCCGTTACGTGCAACTGACACGTCGAGCAATCCAACTTGTGGGTGTGCGCCATATAGAGAAAATGGGCTTTGTTAAAATGTCCATTTGGGTAAAGCAAATGTAGGAGCTACCATAAAGAACTTGGCTGTGCTGAAGAAGTTGGCCAAATACCTCACACAGAACCCTCCTGAACAAGTCTTGAGACTCATTGAGGCTTCCCTGGAATAAGTGCTATTACATGTATGTTATATCATTAGCCTGTATGTAATAATATGCATTGCATGTTACAAGCCACATGAACAAAATGACTCATGTAAAATATTGGTTTTATAAAAAAATATATCGGTATGCGAAAGCAATTCTGCGTAGAATGACTTCTTGTTTCGTTTAACAGGGTGATTAGCAACACGATATGTTGCTGTTGGGGTTGGTGAGCCAGTTGTACGTATATTGAACGTCTTTCCTACCATATATAACCAACTGTGCTAATAGGTGCAGGGGAAGGACAAAACAAAAAAAAGTTGAGTGAATGAGCATTCATGACCGCTCGATCTGTAATTCAAGCTCAGCAAAACAATGTAATTACGTTTGATATTCCGAAATTCCAACTGAGTAGATGAATGCATGGAAGTTCACCTGAGGATCAGGATGGACAAGTTGCACAGCTGTTCTGTGATGAGGGCCACCTCTTGCCACGAACACAATAAACTCCGTGAGATGTCGAGATCTCTGATATCTGATCCCATTTCATGAAGGACCAAGAAGATTAGAAGCTTTTACAATCATAGGATGAAGTGTGATATGTGACCCGTTAATGTCATAGCGATTGTGTCACCTGAACTTTTTTTATTATGTTTTCAATGACAATCCGTTTTTATGCATTTATGTAAACTGCAGGACTGAATAAAACAATAGTGATTCGATGCCGAAGCATTCAACTGTGAAACACTATCCTTATCTGACAAAGTTAAAGAGTTAGGAGTGGAGCGGGAGCACAGTAGCCATCGCACCGCGCGATGACCTCGGCGAACTGGGTTCAACTCCTGGCACCAGCTAACATCAGTGGCAAAGCGATACGTACGTATGTTGAACTTGTTTTGCACCATACGTAGCCAACCGTGCTAATCAGAGGTGCGGGAAAGGACAACAAAACTAAACACAAAAAAGCAGTTTGAAAGAAATGAGTTTTCAATCTGGATTTAAAAGTGCTAAACTCAAGGGGCTTCTTAATATTGGAAGAGAGTTCCAGATGGCTGCAGAAGCGCATCTGAAAGTGCGTGATGCGGTAACCGTCTTTGTTCGATGGCTAGCCAAAAGCCGCTGCGAGATGACCAAAGTTTGCGTGATGATTTATACTACTTGACGAAATCAGCAAGGTAGTGCGGTTCAATTGTGGCAAGAACTTTGTGTGTAATGAGTGTGATACCTGCCACCCCGCCCTCTTCAATAACTGCCACTAAACCGTCATGGTGATGTGTGCTCAAACAACCCCCATAACCTGACAGGGCATGGAGAGGCCTTAATCCTGGAGTGGATTGACAATAGGCTGTACATTATTATTATTCTTAATGCGTTAAGCAAAAACTGCATTGATATCCAAGGATACTGGGACATGCTTCTCGGATGGCCTCTGCTGGGCCAGGACTGTTCACCCCGAGTCCAGACAAGGCCACAATCTTCAGACTCTCAAGGCAGCTGCACTGGCACACAATTTACAATGCATTACAATCATCGCATCATCTCCATCATCATTGCCACGTCAGTTGTTACGCTGCTGAATTCAGTGGACAACGGTTTCCTCAGTGCCATCTATTTGGAGCTATGTTTAAACTTCACCTTTGTTTCTGGAAAATCTTCTCCATTCCCACAACCTGCATGGGAATCTTCTGCGATGTGGAGCCCACGGAAGACGTGTACTCCTGAGGGAGTTCTCCCGTGTTGTCCTCTAGCTGTGCGTACTTGTCCCGCACAGCCGATAAAAACGGCACCCCTAGGTCTGCCTTCTTGGGCCGGATGAAGGAGCCCCCCGTCGGGTGTCTGCGAATGATGCACAAGATAACTGTGTGAAGACGCGTTCAATCACCTCTGTTTGTTCTATGCACATCTCAACAAACCTGCATGTTTTGTGGCAAACATTCCTAGTCCCCATTGCTCTTAATGACACCACCAAAATGCACCTTGCAGTCTTTCAATTGCACCCAGTCTTCTCCGCTAGACCACATTTGTTTACACGATGGAAACAAAAATTCAAACGATTTAACAAAAATAGTCATGCAAACCAAGGTGAAATCAATTTCTCAAAGTGTTGCAAATTCTAACTCACCTCAATGATGGTTCTTTGTATTATTATGAAACATTTTGGTCAACAGCGATTTATATATTCTCGTGCACAGTGGGCCACATGAGTGTTGAGCAATGCTGTGATGAATAACAGTGGTGTGGGACTGGGTCCCTCCTCACTGGCAGTGGAAGTAACGAACGCCGCCGTGGCTCCCATCGTGTTTGCCGCGTTCCGGGTCGTCCCACTCCACACCAAACCACAGTCCTGTCCAGCAGCCAATACCAAAGCTCATGAAACATAATTTTCAACCAGCACATGAGAGTATCAATCCATAAACCATCGCAATACTAGTGCATCTCGAGGTGCCATATAAAAATGTGGGAAAAAACCATAGGGGGCAACATTACTGCATGTTCCGGGGCACAACAAGGTCTGGGCACAAGCCAGACCCACGTAGTTAGAACAGGCTGTTGATTGTGCAGATAGTGTAGCTGCACTAAGGGCCCAGTGACCAGATGGGCCTCGGGCAGCAGGTTACAAAGAGGGGGTGAAATTGGACAGGGAGCCCCAGGGCCAGCGGCGATATTACACAAACATCTGCATCAATAGAAACAGCTTTGTACATACAGCCTGTATGCAAAGTCATGCTCAGCTGTATGTTTAGAAGCTACAGGAGTCACCCAATACACATCACTCACAGACGGTCCGCGGTTCATATTTGGCACTGCAGAGGAGGGTGAGTGGAGGGCCGGTGTGGTGAAATCTTCTTTAATGAGGGCTGAAAAGAACTTTCAAATACCTTTGGCGGGCCACACATTTACACCTAAGCATCATTCAAAACTGCAACAAAGTAAAACATTATTAGCCCTTGCATTTACTGAGCATGATAACATAAGAAGCACATTGTTACTTGGTCAAAAATATTCCCATCGAGTACCCCATTAGTGTGGATTCTTGCAGTGACTGATATAATTATTGTCTGCGGGCTGGATCGAAGTGACTGGATTGTCCAGTCCCTTCATCTGATGAAGGCCACTTGTGTTGTGGCCGAAACGTCGTGATTTTTTGTTATTTTATTTTTACCTACGTGACTTTACCGAATAGAACCAAAGAGTATGGATCCTTGCAGTCACGAAAGCTTCAAATCTAGAATGTATCGAAGTGCTCGATGTCATTGGGCCGCGAGCCTTATAAAATGAGGTTGCGGGCTGTGGGTTTCCCCAGCCCTGGGCTAGCGGTAGTGGTATGAGAGATGAAATCCGGGTCGATGGGTAAGGAATGCGGTCAAGGACGCGTACGGGCATGAGACGGGAGACGGCAAAAAGGGTCTTTACCTTGTGTCGGAGGCACCTCGCCTACGAAGCGCACCCTGCCGCACTCTCCATCGCTGAGCACTCGCCTCCCAACCACATCTTCAGGCATCTCGTCCATCGCCCTGGAATGACAGCAGATGTGGATCGTCTTGGGAATTCTTAGATTGTGACCAAAGCACCTTCCGGAATGCACCTGATCTCGTCAAGATCTCAGAGTTGTTATAAGGCTGCTCCCAGGATGCACGCAGTGGTTCCTCGGCAGGGCAATGCAGCAAAATCCATTGCTGTCCTGTGCTCATGTGCTTCTATGCTCCCTACCTTCGACAACCTGGCATTGACCAGCATGGCGAAGTATGGTCAAGTCACCCCCAATGACCTTACAGACACACCGTATGAGGAATCCGTTTATATAGAAGTCGAAATGACATGTGATGAGAGCAGTATGGTTATGCATGCCTTGTGAATCCCAGCATCGAGACTGGACATCTGTGAAAAAGAGCTTCATAGCTCATCGGATTCCTCCAGTCTAAATAAAGATTCTGATTCTGTATTCTCATTCGCACAATGATGCGCGTCCTACTGTTTAGTGGGTCTGCTCTTTGAGTCACTGAAAGACAGGTGAGGCACACGAGGCACCATCATCATCCACGATCACTCCACTGCTGGATGAAGGCCTCCTCCATCAGCCATCGCAGTGTCTCTTGAAGGGACTTTTAAAAAACAATAAACTTGCGAGCCCACGGCATAATCATCATCAGCATCATCGTCAATCGCGATGTTTGTTACGTAATTCAAACAACATAACACGCAGAAAACAATGTATGGAGATCGCCTAGTCGTTCGTGTTGAAGTGTATGCGCCTGAGCTATACGATTACTTGTACACGTTAACCGTTCGCAATAAAATAAATACAATAATTGTGCTGCCCGACTGTCAATCCACTGCTGGATGAAGGCCTCAACCGCGCGATGTCAAGCCAAGCGGAGTCGCTCGACCATACTTCACCACGCCGGTCACGGAGCGCGTTGGCCAAGGCGACCGCTTCAAGGCGTCACTCGCCGCTGACCGAATGTTAACACGAACAAAAGCAATTAAATTGTAACGTAAAAATATTAACATCGGTCGTCTTCGGGCAACGCCACCTTAGTCCGAATACTTAGACGGTGCCTTGATACACGCGTGTATGTGTAACGCACAGATATATATATGATGCGACGTTTATTAATAGTTGTAATTACAAGCGCGGTAATGTGACGATTTGTAATGTAATGTTTTATAATGTAACGTTTTGTAATGTCGTGTTTTAAAATGTAACGTTTTGTAATGTAATGTTGTGTAATGTTCATAACAATGCAGAGCGCACCAGAGAGTCACCGGCGGTTCCGGTCCACAGTTTCCACCCGGAAGGTGCGACGGGCGTGAGGTGAATAGCATAGACCGCATAGGTAGCATCGGCGCGTGAGAGCGTTTGTATTTCATAGACCGGAACGATCTTCCTTCCGATATTCCGGAAGCCACCAGGAGCTGTGGCACTTGCGATTTAACTCGATAGATAACATCGATTGATAACTTGATTATTTAGAACTATATTCTTAGTTTTTTCGGTAAAGTCACGTTGAAGAGAAACAACAAAATAACAAAATATATATATTATTGTTTTTTATATTAAAAAATTTATATTTATATTTTATATTTATATTTTTTATATTTTATATATATTTTGTTATTTTGTTGTTTCTCTTCAACGTGACTTTACCGAAAAAAAAACTAAGAATATGAATTACTGCAGTCACGAAAGCTTTAAATCAAAATTTATTTAGAACTACTTGCTGTGTCTTTAGTTTGTTGTCCTTCGCCCGCGCCTCCCGATTAGCGCAGTTGGCTACGTACGGCGCGAAAGAAGTTACTACACGCTTTTTATTAACTCATTATTACACGCGTTTTATTAACTCATTATTACTACACCTTTTTATTAACTCATTATTACTACACGCGTTTTATTAACTCATTATTACTACACGCGTTTTATTAACTCATTATTACTACACCTTTTTATTAACTCATTATTACTACACGCGTTTTATTAACTCATTATTACTACACGCGTTTTATTAACTCATTATTACTACACGCTTTTTATTAACTCATTATTACTACACGCGTTTTATTAACTCATTATTACTACACGCTTTTTATTAACTCATTATTACTACACGCGTTTTATTAACTCATTACTACACGCTTTTTATTAACTCATTATTACTACACGCGTTTTATTAACTCATTATTACTACACGCTTTTTATTAACTCATTATTACTACACCTTTTTATTAACTCATTATTACTACACGCGTTTTATTAACTCATTATTACTACACCTTTTTATTAACTCATTATTACTACACGCGTTTTATTAACTCATTATTACTACACGCGTTTTATTAACTCATTATTACTACACGCTTTTTATTAACTCATTATTACTACACGCGTTTTATTAACTCATTATTACTACACGCTTTTTATTAACTCATTATTACTACACGCGTTTTATTAACTCATTACTACACGCTTTTTATTAACTCATTATTACTACACGCGTTTTATTAACTCATTATTACTACACGCGTTTTATTAACTCATTATTACTACACGCTTTTTATTAACTCATTATTACTACACGCGTTTTATTAACTCATTACTACACGCTTTTTATTAACTCATTACTACACGCTTTTTATTAACTCATTATTACTACACGCGTTTTATTAACTCATTATTACTACACGCGTTTTATTAACTCATTATTACTACACGCGTTTTATTAACTCATTATTACTACACCTTTTTATTAACTCATTATTACTACACGCTTTTTATTAACTCATTATTACTACACGCTTTTTATTAACTCATTATTACTACACGCGTTTTATTAACTCATTATTACTACACACTTTTTATTAACTCATTATTACACGCTTTTTATTAACTAATTATTACACGCTTTTTATTAACTCATTATTACTACACGCTTTTTATTAACTCATTATTACTACACGCTTTTTATTAAATCATTACTACTACACGCTTTTTATTAACTCATTACTACACGCTTTTTATTAACTCATTATTACTACACGCTTTTTATTAACTCATTATTACTACACGCTTTTTATTAACTCATTACTACTCGCTTTTTATTAACTCATTATTACTACACGCTTTTTATTAACTCATTACTACACGTTTTTTATTAACTCATTATTACTACACGCGTTTTATTAACTCATTATTACTACACGCTTTTTATTAACTCATTATTACTACACGCTATTTATTAACTCATTACTACACGCTTTTTATTAACTCATTATTACTACACGCTTTTTATTAACTCATTATTACTACACGCTTTTTATTAAGTATCCTCAAATCTTGTAACTACATTTGTACCCACTTCCCAATGTGGTATCGACTGCAAACTTGGTATACTTATGTCATACTGGTGACAATACTATCTTCTATCATTACATTTATTTTTTTAAACATTTTTTTATGTTATGTTTCGGCTTGGGTCTATTTGTCCACGGTCAACTCACGTTGGCTGTAAATGACCACGGCCTCTTCCTGGAGTCGTGGAGTTCTTCCATTACTAGTAATTTCATTAAATCGTGTTTACATTTTTTCTTACTTATTACCCAACAGCTGCCACTGGGGGTGCCCGCGATGAGATGTCAACGACCTCTCTGGGAATGCAGGAGGTCGTGGGTTCGAGCCCGACATTATTTTGTAATGTTTCACGTCTCATCTCCCCGTGGATTTTCCCCTCCACGTTCAGAATGAAGGTGTATAAATTAGTTTTTAGTTTAAATATCCGAGATGAGCATGTACAAGGCATACCTGTCAACCCCTTATCAGTGCCTAATTATAGACCAATTCAGACCTTTATTGGTCACCCCGTGTCCTTTTTAAATTTCAACGTTCATCCTAGTCCCATCACAAGGGAGAAACACAAAGACATTTTTTGCCCGTATTGAAACGGATGTACACAGTATAGACCCGAAAACTCAATATCCCTGTACAATACGGGTACACCGTATGGGTTGACAGGTATGTTGTATTAACATTGATGAGGTTTCCCGCACATCCGATTAGCACGTACGATGTGAAAGAAGTTCAACGTGCAAGCAGTCTTCTACTTACGAACGATAGACTTCCTAACGGGTCTCAGGAATGAATTCGTAAACCGAGGACTGCGCGTACATACATGAATGTAACACCTTTCGTGTCTGCAGGAGTCATGCAAACCAATTAAACGTGTACATAAGTATAACATTCCTAGATGCGGTTGTTTGACCATACTTCACCACACTGAAGAGTGTGGGTTGGTAGAGGGGGGCAGAGCCGATTCAGATCCCATTAATCATTGAGGTTAGGCATGGCTGAGAATCAAATTACCTCCATACAATAGATGCATTAAAAATAAACAATTCCATAAAATAACTTATAACCCAAGCAAGATGTGAAAATGCTTCAAATAACTTTTAATATCCATACAGGTAATTCCAAAGGGTACACACAATGCATTGAGGCGTTATTTGCAAACAAAGATACACAAGTGAAAACAAAATCACAAACATTTGTGTACATTGCATTTATCACATTGTATTTCAAAGCGTTTATTTAACTATGTTTGGCATTCAATACAAAAAAGTCGTGTTCCGTGTAGAAAATTTGCACAAGTAAACCATTACACCCCAACACTAAAACGTAATTAAATGAAATATTGCAAAGTTAAACCATACATTTTTCAGTGTAAACAATTGTAAAAAATTCCAAACGTAATTGTTGCACCAGTATTGACAATCACAGACGCCTGTGTGTTTTTATAATTTGCACACAAGGTGTACACTTAACACTTAATTGTGTAAATGTTACATTTACGAGTGTACCAACTTTTCATTTCACTTGAAAATGAGGCGTACTGCACCAAACTTGGGTATGTTTTCATCAGCAACGTTTAGGAACTAGTTCTGGATACAGCAGTCTTAAGTGGTTTTATGAGACTTCTCCAGGCAATGGTGAACCTCATATTAGTATGTGTCAACTCAGAAAAATGCAAATTAAAGTCTGGAAAATGCAAGCAACCTGCATGTGTATAACATCAGTCGTGACAATCTGATATATCATATACCCCATGCAAAATAATGCAATGTTCTTCCTTAGATGTTACATTTTATCTTTTAGAAGGGCGAGACTACCCTTCTGTTCCCGTTTTGCAACTACATCTACTGATACAAGATGGATATTAAGGAAATTTGCTGCACTTCCTCTTAATGTAACACTGATGAAAGGTGCAATTAACATTTGGCTTTCGTGTCACCATTACATTAAAATTGATTTTGCTCAATAATTGTATCGACGTGTGGAGTGGCAGCGCAGCAGTTGGTGGCGGTGCACTATGAACCTGTGAACCCATTTTCAATTCCCAGCCTTGGCTACAATCAGTTATTTTTGTAACTAGTCCTAGGCTTCCTCTTCATCAAGCGACTGACCGGCATAGCAAAGTCTCGTCAAACAAACCCCATGATTGATATGGTGTGGGTTTACCTGCATGCAGCAGTGAATTAACAGGTTGTGTAATTGTATTCATAATTTAGTCGATTGCATTGCGAATTGTCCGCCTCTACTTGACTTTTTCAACTTACATTTTATATTTAAAAAAACATCCACTCATACAATGCCCTGAGGTACTAAACAGAGCATGGTCAGAGCACCAAAGGGCAGAAACACCACTTACATTCGAATAACGTTACCCTCCATCCGTGTTCTGTCCAAGTGCATTCTGCACGATTGCATGTACTACTGCAAGAGCTCGCACAGTGCTGCTTCTTCCGCGATAGCCTTGCGCCACGAGAATGGACGCGAACACCACATGCACTGAATGTACAGTACCGAGGGGTGAGTGCAGCGTTCCCTACTCCTGTGCATTTGGCTCCTGCTGGAAAATCTCCGCAAGGTGTTTGACCAGCGCCTCCAGGAGTGGATTCCCGCCCAGCTCGGCAATCTGCTTGTACGCTTGCTTCTCCAGTTGCAACAAAGTCTGCCTCGTGTACTCGAAGGAGCCCAAGCGCTCCAGATGCTCGACACAGTACCGCTTGACGTCGATGTCTTCTGTCCGCTTCCGCAAGATGCTCAGCACCTATCGGTGACGGAGACAATTGCAGGGTCAGGTTTGTGAAGGCTGAAAAAGTAGGAAGACTAACCGTCAAGACGGGAGATGCAAGCAGAAAAACGAGTAGCTCATGTAGATACATGGCGAGTACACATCCAACGTTTCAATTAGGGCATTTTCCATCTATTAAATTCAATAGTTGGGAAATGTTTCCAAAGAGACAAAAGTAAGACTCTCAATTACCTGTGTGCAATTAGGCTCCGATTGTATGGCGTGGATGAGCGGAAAGGAAAACTTTCCCTCAGTCAGGTCCTCGCAGTAACTTTTGTTCTCCATGTACTTTTGCGAGCGCAGGTTGGCGTAGTCATCCCGAATTTGGAAGAGCATCCCCAGCGTGTCAAGTATTGGCCGCAGGTTGGCTTGGTTCTCGCTGAACAGCTGCATTAGCCCCACCGCAAGTCCAAACAGACCGCCCGTCTTGCGCAGAACCTACCAGGACAGAGAAACGTGTTCAGCATGTCAGGCAACCTGCACTAATACTCTTATCACGGCACACTTCTAAAAGGAAGATGCGGCTAAAAAAATATCAGCTCTTATTTTGTGGATACAAAGCAAGGATGTCAGACACGAGTTTAAACTTTTGTGAATGAGAAAAATAAATACGATAAAATATCGGCAGGCACGCCATTATGGCACTCTAGTGACATCACTCCAATAAATGTTAATGATACACATATTGGCCATCTCCAGTGTGTTTTGTTTTCATTATTTTCAATAACATGTCTAACAATGGACAATCCAGGATGCAGATCCTATATATCTACATTATACTAAAGACATGCTGTCGACTCTCTCTGGTTCTAGTCCTCTCGATCCTCCTTTTTATATTTGCCTATGACTTTCTCTCTACGATATAAATGCTCAGTTTGTGTACAGCATCCTGATTCACTTGCATTAAGATGCTATAGTGATCCAAATTGTATAAGAGTTATTTTTTTTGGCGGGTGGAGGAAGGTTTGTATTCCTACATATAAAGACAATTCTTGTACCATAAAATAAGAACTGGAAGACACAGAAACACAAACCATGCTACACAGGCGTGAGTGTGATGCCCAAGGCAACTTCACCATGCGTATGTAGTCCTCCTCGCTGGGGCAGGTGTAAGAGTCACGCCAGTAGATGTCCATGCCCTGGCCGCGGTGCAGCTCCAGCAGCTGGCTGGTGAACAGGGCGACGGCGTCAGCGTGGCCGAGCGTCAGCACCTTCTCCAGGCCGAGGAAGTAAACGTAGTTGGCGGAGTTGATGACAGAGGGAATGCCGTAGATGCTGTGCGCCACGGGCAGGCCGCGCCGCAACTTCGAGTTGTCCTCGATGTCGTCCACCAACAGACTCGCATTGTGCAGCATTTGCGTCACCTCCATTATAATCTGCGGCGGATGGGCGACGTGAACATGGACGCACGCAAAAGTATGTTATAGCAGCAGACATGTAAAGATTCACTGTGTGGATTTTTGAGGATGTGCTGTATGGCTCTCTGATGTATTTTCAGTTTGTACCGCATGCGTTGTTTGGCACGATGTCCGATGTTTTAAATTCGGTTCCTGAAGATGCTCCCAGCACGTGCAGCCAAATGTGAGACATCATGTCGAACAACACGCGGTACACAACCCGAAAACAAATCACGGAGCTGTGTAGATATTCACCCCTTGGGGGATCAGATGAATTGTCACAATATGCAGTTACAATCTCACTTGTACTGCGTGGCTCGTATCTCATTTGTGCTGTTGTGTATTCTATCTCATTTGTACGGACTCCTTCCTTACATCTCATCTTCTGTCTCATTTGTATGTTCTGCTTTCTAATTTGTACCGTCTACCCCGTAAATTCTCTCATGTTGTCTTGTTTGTTCAGTTTATCCCGTACGTTTTTGTTATTTGTGCTGTCTGTATTTTGTGCCATATGACTTGCTTATTATCTTGTAGATACCATTATTCGCAATGTATATTAGCACACATTTGCATAAATCCTGAATAATAAACTCTTAAGCCTATGATTTAAAACATTTATTTGGAGGTAAGAACCATTGTCAATTGCGGAATTGATGTATCTTTACATGTTTAATAGACAATGTTTGCCAAACTGATAGCGAATATAATGAAATACAAAAATGCATTGAGAATGTAATATAGTAATACAATGGTGGTGGTGTAAGGATTATCAGTGGGGTGGAGCAGTGGCGCAAGAGTTAGCAAACTGTGCTATGATCCCAGCAATCAGTTTTATTCCCGACCCCGGCTTATATCAGTGGTGAGTGATAGCTAACTGGCTCTAGTCCTAGATATCACCTTCACCAACCTGTACTGACCAGCATGGTGAAACATCCCTGTAAAAAAAAAAGGCTTGGGGAGGCCTTCATTCTGCATTTATATAGGGCTGTATGACAAACGACTATCATACTGTGGTTATTTAACTCTTAAAAATGTAACAGACATTGATGTGTCTGCCTACCAGCTGTATCAATATATACATGGACTTTAGACTAATAGGTATGTTTTCGTGATGACATTTTCCACCTGTAATTTGTCTTCAGGGATTTGTAGCCAATAGTTGAAAGCCTTTGAGAGCTTGGTCCTTATTTGCGCACCTGTATAAATGCAGCACATTGTACAATCCCATGCCAACATTCGTTGACAGTACAAGACAGTAATTGTTGAAGTAATATTATATGGTCAATAAACCCCGACAATCCATATGGCACTCATCCAGCAGTGGACTAATACATGACTGTTCATTTACATTCAATATCAAGATGTAATCATGGCCAAAGAGGGTGATGATACTGCACCTTTTCAATGCTTTATACCCTCTGCCAAATCAAACAGCTGCTGCACAGTAGAACTGTGAGTTTAATTATTTCAAGTGTGGCAACTTATACTTTCTCCTCCATGTGAGAAATAACATTACCAACTCAGCTTCACTCACAGTGACATTTAAGGAGCCGTTCCTCTCTCCATTACCAGTTCCCTGGTTTGCCATAATCTTGACTATGCATTGCCACATTTGTTAACGTGAAACCCAGCAATGCCTTCAGGACCAACCTGGCAACTGAAGTAAGTAGTTGTACGGCTCCATGAGGATTCTCTCTGTTTGTTCTTCCTTTCCGCTCTCCGCCATGCTGTTACGTCAGTGACTTAGTTGTGTCCCAACTGCCAATGCTGTAAGTACCAAAGGTTCAAAGCAAATAAAACGCGAGAATAACAGTACTTGGTTACAGGTGAGGAGTAAACAATTGTAAAACATATTCCAGTCCTACCACCTAAACTAATAAAATGGTTAACCAGCACTGAGCACAAAACCCTTTATTATGAATATACAGATTGTACTCAAGACTTAAATCACTGACCACCACTAAGATAATGCCCTACACGGGTTCATGGCCACGGTTAGGATCAGTGGCAAATGATGCCTCAACTGAACGTCAGTATCCAGAACAAAGGCGGCAGCATGAATTTAACATCTTGAGCACATGATTGTTTATGGTTTACGTGAACTTTAAGGAATTCATATTCAAAAGTACTGAGGTTAAACCATTCAACTTGTCCTGGAATAATATACCTATGAATGCAGTACAATAACGGCGAGAGCATTGGTGCAATAGCAGTAGACTTCCCAATGAGAACAGCCACCTAAGTTCGACTCCTAGTCGTGGCAACCAAATAGTGACAAGCGATCTCCAATGTGGCAACGAGGCCACCGTTCACCAGCAAACCCGCACTGAACACTGTGGCGAAGCATGGAGATATCTATGGGACCATTTTTACCGGTATCAAAATGATGGGGGGGGGGGAGTAAGAATAGGCTTTACCCTTTCTGGCAATTGTCAAAGTCTTTTCTTAATGTTGAATTTAGTTTGATCGTGACCACCAGAGACCGGCAACCTGCGGCACCACAGCCGCACGGCTCTTTAAGGGACTGCCTCGTGATCCGCTACTTATTCAACGTTGATATTTTTTTTTAAATTCACCGAATTCTAACCAAAAAAAACCTCCCCGGCTCTTCTTGTTGGTTATTTTTGCTTGCTTGTGACGAGCGACAGCACACGGCATACACCTCCAAAATATTAGCTCGTATCACGCCGCGACCGAGACCAGCCACTCACGACACCACCCCCCTTATAAACACAACAATATATACGCGGCGTGCAACAACTTGCGCCAACGACTTCATTAGCCCAACTGAGATTACCTCAGCCGGGTAAACGAACGTTTATAAATGACCTTAGCCCCCCGAACGACCGCGTCCTCCCGCCTTGTGACCAACAACAACAACAAATTAGAACGTCTCACAACAAAACGCGAGTGTCGGTAACGAGTCCAGTCACAATACCGGCACCGAATTCCATACAACGCATAGGCAGAGTCCACACCCTCCCCCCACACACACACCCCCTGCCCGCAACTCCGATTGGGCCAGAGCCGGCCACGTGGTGCGCCCGGCAAAATAAATTTGCACCAATGAGGCGCGCGCATGGGTCGCCGAGCTGCTTATGCGTGTTGGGAAATGCAACGCGATCGCCGGAACAACAAAAAAACCCCTCTCGCGGCTACCGGGGTTGTTGTTGTTGTTGTTCACTCCGGAGAGGATCTTCTTATTCCTCCTCCGGAAGACACCGCCGCCAGTTGCAATGTTACCGACGGACGTATTCTAGAGCTCCATGGGTTTTGTTTGTGGGTATGTGCGTTAGCTACTTTCACGCGGGGTTCCCCGTTGCGCGAGACGACACCTCGCGTACCCACCACCAACACCACCACCACCCACCAACACCACCACCACCAATCAACACCACCAACACCACCACCCATCAACAACCACCCACCAACACCACCACCCATCAACAACCACCCACCAACACCCATCAACACCACCAACAACCACCCACCAACACCACCACCACCCATCAACAACCACCCACCAACACCACCACCACCACCCATCAACAACCACCCACCAACACCACAACCAACCAACCATCGCCACCACCACCCACCAATACCACCCATCAACAACCACCCATCAACACCACCACCACCCATCAACATCACCAACAACCACCCACCAACACCACCCATCAACAACCACCCACCAACACCACAACCAACCATCGCCACCACCACCCACCAACATCACCCACTAACATCACCCATCAACAACCACCCACCAACACCACCACCCATCAACATCACCAACAACCACCCACCAACACCACTACCCATCAACCACCCACCAACACCACCCATCAACAACCACCCACCAACACCAGCCACCACCAACACCACCCCGCTTTAGACCACTCGGCGGTGTTCAAACTCACGGCAGTTTTCTCTCTCCCGCTCTTGACGTAAACGCGTAAGGGAGAAATAAGACGTCCGACGAGATCGAGAATTGCATGAAACGCAACGAGGACACTTCACCACCCCACCCTCCACTGGCAGTCGTCGCTGGGGGCCCACGACCCCCGAAGGGGTCCCCTGTGGCTGACGCGAGGCCACGAAGGGGTCCCCTGTTGCTGACGCGAGGCCACCAAGGCGTCCCCTGTCGCTGACGCGAGGCCACCAAGGGGTCCCCTGTCGCTGACGCGAGGCCACCAAGGGGTCCCCTGTCGCTGACGCGAGGCCACCAAGGGGTCCCCTGTCGCTGACGCGAGGCCACCAAGGGGTCCCCTGTTTGCTGACGCGAGGCCCCAAAGGGGTCCCCTGTCGCTGACGCGAGGCCACCAAGGGGTCCCCTGTTGCTGACGCGAGGTCCCGAAGGGGTCCCCTGTCGCTGACGCGAGGCCCCGAGGTTGTAAAGTGCGAAGGGGTCGCGCTCAGGACGAAGCCTCCCACGCCATCCGATGTGGGGCTTCGTCGCCAAAGCAAAAGTATCAAAAACCTACCGCGCTCCTCAACAACAACGCCCCGCGTGGCCTGAACTAATAGTTAATACAGTCGTCACGTGGAAGTTTGTGGGGAGTTGGCGATCACTTTATTACATGCGGTAAATATGTTGGGGCATGACTAAGAAAAAAAGTGAAAATGTTTCCCGATCGCGTAGAGGTTGGTTTTAATTCGCGCGAATGGAAGTTACCCGTTTAAAGCCTAATGAGAAATATGTAATAAACGAAGTTTCGGGCAATGGGCCACGTGTATGTGCTGAGGAATCATTGTCCGAAACGTCTCCCATTACTGTATCCTCTATTTACCCCCTCCCTTTAAAGCCACAAACATGCACGGTGTGGTGATACTGTATGTGAGGAACTGTATGCGAGATACAGGTTTCAGTTTATTTATTTTGGTATAGCCCTGTGAGCCATTCGGCTCTTGAATCGGGTGCAAACAAAAACACAAACACGAACAAGAAAAACACTGTGGCAGAGTACTGTATCTCAATACAGCAGTCAATGCAATACTCTATCAACAGTACTTATCTCGATAGAGTGCTTTCAACACAGTACCGTATCTCAATAGAGTACTGTCAATGCAGTACAGTACGTATATGTATACAGTGATGTCAGCACAGTCGCTTTTTTAGCCTTACCCAAGATGGCGGCACCGGCTTCCGGCTAGCGTCACGTGGTGGGCGGGGCTCCACGAGGAAGTGGCGGCGGCGTGGGGTGGGGGGGCGTGGCGTGGTGGGGGGTAGTAGGGGCGGGGTGGCCGTAGCAGGGGCGGGGTATGGGGTTGAGGGGCGGGGTATAGGGTTGGAGGGCGGGGTAAGAGGGGGTTGGAGGGCGGGGTTAGAGGGTTGGGGGCGGGGTTGGAGGGTTGGGGGGCGGGGTGGGGGGGAAGAGGGGCGGGGTGAGGGGGAAGAGGGGCGGGGTGAGGGGGTGTGGTGACGTCACGCGCGTGGTGTTGTCATCACGCCGTTGTTAGTTACTGGGAGCCGCCGTGGCCCCGTCCTCCCGTTCCGCCTTCTGTGTTGCCACTCCGCTCGCTCTCTCCGCTTTAAACCTTCACCACCCCCCCCTCCGCCTCCTCCTCCTCTTAAAACGTTTTGCGTGTTGACGACTTTGCTTCGTGGGGGTTTAACGGGTTTTTTTTAAATATTTACGAAGGCGACGTTGTGCAAATAAATCTAATACACTGTAGTAATCATAATCGAACGCGATTGTTTCTTGCTGCTGCTGCCTGCTGCTGCTGGTGGTGGTGGTAGGTAAATAATTAAATAATCGCGGCCCACGAAGCGGTTTCGGTGAAATTTGTTGAACATTTTTGTTTGCTTTTGCTCGCAATCAGTTATAGTGGGGTGTTTTTTTATTTTTAAATCATCCCTTGTGATGGTCAACGGTTCAGTTTTAAACGACGATTATTTTAAATCGGCACAGCGTTTGCAGAAGTCGTTCGCCTCCGTTACAACGATGTAATTATATAATAAAAACACGATTACACCGCCGTGTGATGTTCTTTAAGCGCCGATAAGTTCACTCCGTATGCATGGAGCCAGGGAAGTGGCTGGCCTGACCACGGGTAATTATTACATGTGTAACTCCACACGAGCCACTCATTCATTCATAAACATCATCACCCATTCATTGTTACAAATTATTATTTTGCAATGTGTTGTCGTCTTGTTGCTATTATAGTTTAAAATATCGTGTTATACCTTCCATTACCATGATTAGAGCAGCACACTACCCCATTAATTCATCACTGATTCATCATTTTAAAAAAAAAAATGCATTGCTGTTAGCCTGTTACATGTCCTAATTGATATGATAGTTTATACCATGCGCGTTCATCCCTTGTCCTCATCACCTCCCTATCCATTCATAATTAAATCTGCCTTGCAGTGGTTTTAGCTATGTGCATGCATGTATGGTCTTTTGTGTTGCGACGCTGTGACTTCATCCAGCAGTGGGATTGGTCGTGGCCGATGATGTTGGCGATGTTCGGATTTGGCGACGTTAAAAAATGTTGTTCCGTAGTGGTTTGGTATCGCTGTGATTTATTGTCAAGCGATAGACTTGGCGGGGCTCTCACTCGGTCCTTCTTTATCTCTGCATCGTTGCTGCTACATTGCTGCTGCTGCTGCTACCACCACCACTACAGTATTATTTCAACGTCTTTTTTTTAAAAAAAGCTAAATGATTATATACATCCATCCATCTTGGTCGGTTCGCAGCAGTTGTGCGTAGCTCGCCTGCGTGCTTTGGACACAAGTCCCTCAGTGGAACGACGAGGTAGGATGCAAGCACTGTACAGTGCCGTGGTAAGTAGTAATGTTATTAATAAGAAGAGTAACGTTCCTTTATTTACCCCGGGGGGGGGGGAGAAAGAAAAAAAAAGCCTCGCCTAGTCTCGGCACTCGTTTACTTTTGAGAGCATTCGGTGGACGCTAAGGCACGGGTTGTTTGGAGAGGAGAAGAACGTGAGGTCGGAAAGGCAGCACGTGTACACAAGCGCCGGTTCACGATCGAAACCTCCACACAGATGGATCGCATCAGCGATCGCTTTACTGCGATGGCCACCTGTGTGTGTTTGTTTGTGTGTCCTACGTTCAGTATTGTTTGTGATAAGCCGTGCGTCCCTGTACGCCTGCGACCCCGTGAGATTGTTCAACGATGCAATGTGCGTGTGTCAAATGAAGCCGCATTAGTAGTATCGTCAATACTATTGCTGCGGTGATATGACACGCACACACGGCTTGTTGTATCGGAGTAAACCGCATATGTAGGGTCGACACACCAAGTGTGGTATGAGAATGAGGCGCAGCATGTGCACACACACACAATGCCTGATTACAAAACAAACAAACCCTAAAAGATATTTGGATATTGACACGTAGTCGGTTGCACACTTACTTGCTCGAGTACTAGCGTGTTGCGGCATCAGGATATGGCACCGGCTCAGGAAGGCCTCATGCAGCAGTGGATTGAGCAAAGCTGACGATGAGATTGCAACACGTACTATAATATAGTATGCACTGTAATATACACGGGATAGTATACTGTGTATTGAGACTATGAGTGCACCGGTGTATTCACCGATATTATAGCATTAGTGCCTTACACTGTCAATGTTTAACCCAACAGTGATTGTATACCAAACATAGGGTGACGTTATATAAAATATATATTTTTAATATTTAATTGTTTCCCTTCTACGTGACTTTACCGAAAGAACCAAGAGTATGAATCCCTGCAGTCACGAAAGCTTTAAATCAAAATAGGATGACGTTGTACGTGGACGCGAGACATTGTATTTATCTCCTAAAGTATATGCTATATACAGCCTTCGTTTGATGTAATGTTTCACTTGCATAGTGTTTCACACATTGTACAACAGTGTAGTGTAACAACCATCCCCCACAATGTTATGGCAACGCATGCATCGGTCATAATGGCACAGGAACACTTGATTAAAAAAAACATGCTGTGAAACATGCATGTTGTATGTTAAATTTGTGCATAGTGACTTTTCGAAGCATTGATATTATCGTGCATGCACAGTCCGTATAAAACACTCATCCACCACTTAGCAAGTGCACTTAAGTCGTTTCAAATGTTTCCCTTTTAATTGTTAGTCCGTTTTTTTTAAATTCTCAATCTCGTCTCGTTTGTAATCCAGGATGTATAATACTTTATTTTTCTGCTGCCATAATGCGTATCACCTTTTAGTATGCAGTGAACATGTGTCGGATAAATCTATGTTTCGGCCAAAAGAAAATGTTTGTCTTATTTTTGTTACATGTGCTTTTGTATTTCGTGGTTGGAGGTGGTTGGAGATATCCGTGTTGAGACCCATCCATCATCTATCTTTTACTTGATAGTGGCTGGTGAAGATTATATTGTTGTTGTAGTCTATTTGGTCGTACCCAATTGTAGGTGCTGGCAATTATCAGAATCTTTTATTATTACTGAAGGGTTTTTGGGTTAGATCACGTAAGTATAAATGTGTCGTAACCCTCCACCACCCGACACAGCTAGTAAGGATTGTCACGTAAACAACGTGCCAATTAGTTTACTGCTTCAGCCCACCGGTGTGTTGGAGAGTAAATCCACAACATTTACTATTTTAATCCTACGTTTCGCTGCTAATTACATCCAGCATCATCGGGTAGTGGAGGGTTTACAACACGTTTATACTTACGCGATTTAACCCAAAAACCTTTAATAATATTGGTCGCGAAAGCCTACGTGTTAAACTCTTTTATTTATCCTGGAGAAATCCGATGAGCTATGAAGCTATTTTTCACATTTGTCCAGTAAGGCAGGTCGGAAAGTTACAGCAACAAACAATTACAAAAACGATTGGATTGCAAAGTATAGGAAAGGTAAGCAAATCACAAAAAAAATAAACACGTCAAATAAATAATATAAGCTTAAATTGCATAAGTACACCAATCCCGCAACTCCGATTAGCACGGGTGCTATGTATGGTGCGATAGAAGTTCTTACATACAATTCCCAAGCTTGGGTAAGGCAGGAAAACAACAGCAAAAACAGTCCCAGACCACACCAAGACAACACAGCCCCGCAATGAAATTGCACATCACAATTTAACTATCGATACTGGTTTTGGGCGTGAGTGGGAGTTGATACATGGATAAGGTTGAATGTTACAAATCACATTTGCAAATGCAGTTGTATCCAGCACTAATATTCTGCTTCAGGATATATTTTTAAAGGAATATTTACGATGTTAAGGGAGGGAAACAAGGTTGTTCCCAAACGTTGGTGCTGTATTGGAAAAGGCTTTGTCAACTTTTCTTGTTCTTAAAACGCAAATAAATGGACGTCTTAGGTTTCTTGGGTTTGACAACGGGGTTCATAAATTAGCTAAGTATAGTTCAGATTTGCAAAGTAAGATTTGATGGATGAACAGGGCCCAGTGTATATTTATTTTTTGCACCACGTGATGTCAGATTGGATTTTAAGTAGAGGTGACAATGGTGGGTCCTGCATGGTACATCCAGTGCAAATCGAAGAGTAGAATTATTTAAGCGGGTTAGTCCGTTTAGTGTTTCAGTAGCTGATCTATAAGCAGTGTCACAGTAGTCCAACAGTTGTAGAATTACGGCTTAAACAATTTGCAGGTGCAATGGAATGAGAAAACAATGTTTTTGTATAAAAACTCTATTTTTTATTTTCTTTTAAGATTTGCTCATTATGGGATTGGAATGTAAGTTTTTAAATCAATCCATAAACCCATTTATATGAAGCACTCTGTTCGTTGATGTTGTTTCTGATATCCATAATAGGTGTAGGCAATTAAACTGGAGTTTTATTTGAAGAAAATAGCATGATCTTCCTTTGGGGATTTAGGAGCAATTTTAGTGATGATGATAGTCATGATACAGCTCGACTTATGTAGAAGGAATTTGAATGATCAAGTGGTTTTCCTGTAAAAGTGGTTGTTTCTGTAGATGCTGGGGTTTTCTTACCACATGTAAAAACATACTAAAGAATAAGTAGGCCAAAGATCAAAAGAAAGACCTCAAAGAAAAAAAGATGCTTGAGTCTCAGTGAGGCTTTCCTGGATAAATGAGAAAATGCACTACACAAAAACGGTCAATGAAATTCTAGAGTTAAGAGCATTGAGAATTTTTAAGCATATGTTTATCAGTTGTTTTTGTAGATGTTTCGAGTTAATTTATTTTAAGTAGGTAAGAGCTCTTTGAAAGGCAGCATCTTATCTTACAAGTTTAAATTGCCCGATGGTACTTATTTTGGCTATTGCCTGTAACATCCAGACAGCACACTGCCAGTTATGTAGTCAATTGTGGCACGCCAATGGCTCGTGGAGTACAAATCCGTGTCACGTTAAATAGGCGAGAGCAGAAGATGTTGACCTTGACGGCATTATCAGCTCAACATTTGATTTTTTTTTACGATGTTTAATGCACAGGTTATGCCGAGTGATGGCACAGTGCGTAGTGTTCTACTATGCTATGATCACGTTAGCCTAAGTTTGAATCCTGGCCACAGCTAACATTATTACCGAGTTATATTTGAACCAATTCTGGCCCCACCCATTCACCATCCTGCACTGACCAGCAAGGTGAAGTATGGTTCAGTAACCTCCGATGACGGAGAGGTCTTCATCTAGCAGTGGATTGACAAAGGGCTGTGAATTATTTCAGGATATGCTGCGTCTGCAATGTTGTATTTAATAGGGGACGGGACACTGCAGTTGTCCGAGGCTGTGAACAGAATTGTTAAAAATTGTGATGGGGATTCTGAGCATGGGGAGAATTGGGTGCTGCCTGTCTGCGCCTTCCTTTAGCCCTGGTTGCCATCACGCCAGGCAGCACATTGTCCACATAGTGTATGTGTGTTTGAGCATTGTGGGTGACGAGTTGTGTGGTCTAAGCAGATGGTGTGCAACATACTCTTGTAGTCATCTGCACACTTGGACACACGTACAACTTTGCTATTTTCCTTTGTTCCTTCTGACCAAGTCTTTTTGTCATTAGGCAAATGTGTTACATACTGTGTGTGTAACATGACAAATATTGACTATTTTTTTAGAGAGATTAAAAAACCCTCAAAATCATAATTAAACCCAATAGAACAACTATCTATTGCAAGGGAGATCCTGGAAAAATTATTATGCCATGATAATGTAAGAGTGAATGATAAGGTGTGTCTGTAATCACGTTTTTTTTATTTTTGCATAAAGGAACGAGAAGATAGATTTAAATGAACTGACCTTCAGGCACAAAGACATGAAGGTAAATTAAATGCATTTCTCTCTCTGTCACCTGCTCCCCACCTAAAGCAAGTTGCACTTGGTTCAGAAGGGGTCGTTCCAATCAGCAAATTCCGTGTAAACAAGAGGATAGAGGATATGCTGGTAACACCAGCATTGCAGTGTTGGGAAAGTGTCCACTGTACATGCCCACGACCTACGGGCTATAGCTAAATGAGTGTTCTACATTTTCAATAATTTAATAGAAAAAGCACCTGATAGATTGCAGGTTTTATGTTAACAAAATGATTGGCTTAATATATGAGTGGGATGTCTATACATTTTAAACTCATTTCTTGATAAATGCTTTTTGTGTTTAGTTGTCCTTCCCACACACCTCCGATTATCACGGATGGCTATGTACGGTGCGAAAGAAGTTCAACATACATATATACGTTGCTCAGCATGTGCCAGTATGGAAGGCATGGGGCGGCCTTCATTGAGTAGTGGATTGACAAAAGGCTGTTGATTATTGTTTTTTGTAAAATTATTAAACAGCATGGTTTTTACACAGACAAAATGTTTACAACATTTGCATAAATACACACACTAAATTTTAGATGCAATTATAAAAAAAAAGTATGCATAAATACACGACATGTTTACTGCCTGAAATAAAAGCTTCTGAGATTTCTCTATTTTACTTCCACTAAATGAGTACGTATTTAAAAGACTGATATTTCTATTGTTGCATTTCCATAATGGCCAGCACTATAGCATGTTCCGGTGCAGTTTTAAATGGCGCCTTAAAATTGACACTCGTCATGTTCACTTAATTGGGGGATTGTGAACATGGAATGGCATTTTGGTAATTCTACGCAACAAGTTTTGCGAGCAAGAGCATACAAAACTAATTTGAAAGCAAAAAGTTTGGTTTTGTGTGATCTTTTAATTTTCTTTGGGGTGCATTGCTTTTGTGTGACTGTTCTGTTTGTGATGACAGACAATGAATGAACCTGCCTACCTCCTGGTGGGCACAGATGTGAGTGCCAAGTATCGGGGGGCCTTTTGCGAGGCCAAAATCAAAAGTGTAAAGAAGCTGGTCAAAGTAAAGGTGAGTCAATATATTTCTGTATATGATGGTTTTATATTTGGCTGTCTCTGGCTGTCGCCTGATGAGGCTGGTTGTAATTACCGGCGAAACATCGTACTCGAATTGGAATTGTTGTTGGTTTACTCTCCAACACACTGTTGTGCTGAACTAGTAACGAATTGGCATGTTCTGTTTACGTGACAAACCTTACTAATTGTCTGTGTCTGGTGGTTGCGGGTTTAACTAGACATTTATATGTATGTGATCTAACCCCAAAACCTCTAGTTTTGTATTTATATTACGTGGTCCTAGTACACAGTCAAAATGGACGTAAAGATGTAGCATACTATGACAGTGAAGGCGGCACACTGCTGTAGTCTTAACGCTTTGGAGGCAAGGGTTGGTGGGTCACAGTAGGTCGACCACTTATAGCGATTAATGAACTGGTCTTGTGAACCTATCTGTGTGGATCTTTGCATGTTGCCCTTCTTGTGTGCGTGTATTTTCTCCAGGCGCTCTGGTTTCCTCCCATGTGCAAAACACTCGCGAAATACGAATTGGCCAAATAATCCTAATGCAGCAAACGTGCTTAAAAATGTTTGAGGCTGTCTTGGATATATAGCAGCATTCATGTATCATATATAAATGATGAAGTGTGTTTTCTTTGGTCCATTGTTTGCTGTCTCTTTAACCACTTTAACAACTTACACGTTATATAATGATTGTTTGCCCAGGAAAGTCTCGCTTCGTCCCAGTTCTTTTTCAGAGGGTCCTGTCAGGTTTTTGCAGTTTGGGGACAATGATTGTTCTGTATAATGCATTTGAGAAAGATGTGCCATTTGAATGCTTTTCCAATTGTTTAATTTGTTATACATCTTATTGATTCTTCCTGTTCGTTCTAAAATATGGTCGATAGATACATGACGATTCTCTGAACCCTTTCCGTTATCTTGTTGATGATTACTTCTGGAAGTATTTTGGTCATTCAGGAAATATTTTCTGAAAGAATGTTAGCCATTGCAATCACTTCATTCATTCGTTAAATGTCTTTCGGAAGGTTGTTACAAATGTATTTACATTGACTTAAGAACGAAGATAATTTATGGATGACGTTTGTGGTATTCAGAATATAACTTCCATCATCTTCCTCCAAATGTCACATCCAAATGGTGAGTGGTGAGTGGGCCCTGGAGGAAGGGTTATCAGGGAAGGAAGTTGGGCCAAGCCGCACACAACAGGGCTAACGGAGAACGTCCACTTCGTAGGACGGGCTACCTTTGACTCATAAATATTTACAGCCTTTCCAAATCCACTGTTGAATGAAGGTCTCCCCACGCAGTGTCGCTCATGGGGATTGTTTGACATTGGGGTTGTTTGACTGTTCTTCACCACGCTGGTGACCATGGGTTGGTGAGAAAGGTGGAAGAGCATGACTGTTTCAAATATCACTCGCTACTGTTGTTAGTCTTGGGTGGGGATTGAACTCTGTTGCTGAGTTGATGCAGCATTCCACTCATAACTGTAACACAGCTCCATCCCTTTCTTAGGTAAATAAATCACTTCATTAATATCGTGTGTAAAAGTGTTAATAAAATTTTCCATTTTTTTCACCTTTTGTTTTGATGGCAGCTCAATTGCGCCTGCCCACATTGCGAGACCGTTACCTCTAATGCATTGTCTGCACGTTTATCTCAAAAGAAGGAAGTGTCAAGTCACCATTGTTACTCCACTGCTTTTCTGCAGGCTGCTAAGCCGTGCGCCGTTATTGAGTCTCGTCGTGTGACTCTATGCCAGGTCCTGTTCAAGCAAGACTCCTCATCACACGTTGTGCAGGACGACCAGATTAAAGGATGCCTCCGGGTTGGTCCCGCGATATAACGCACGCGCACACACGTTCGTACGGACACACGCACGTAAAGGGCGGTGACCTGGCCGAGCGGGAACACTTTCCCCGCCTGTTGTAGGGGTTTGCAGTTCGAATCCAGCGGCCAGCCTGATTATATTATCACTGCCGGCATAACAACCACAGTAATACTCTGCGCCGTTCTGCTTCATTGTGAATATTAAGAGATCTCCTAACATGAGTCACAAGAGTGGGCCATTGTGTGCTAGTGTCAGGATCCGAATTTGTTAAATTGGAAAATTGCAATCAATGCCCCCTACTGGCAGGCTAATGCCCCAGGTCATTTGCAAAATGGACTCGTTTATTGAAAAATAAACTTAACTTGAACCCACTTACACACATTCATCTGCTAATCTAACCTGCTTTGAATTTGCCGTTGTGCAACTTCACACTTTTATAGTGAGCTTTTAAAGTTTCGATGGGATATAATGAAATCATTTACAACATTGTTTAATACGCACACTCTCCTAATATCAATTTACGGCCCTGGACACATTGTTTCGCACAGTGAGCCCTTCGACCATTTGACAAAAAGAAAAGCAAGGGGATATTATAGGCTGCTGTGGGGTTACTTTGTGGCAGCAGAGGGCATTGAAGTAAAAATGCATTGTTGTATTGTACTATGCTACTACATATCTTCTCCTCACCTTTAGTAGCCCACGTAAGGCAGTGTGGTGAAGTATGGTCGGACAACCCCCATGGACTGCAGGGCTCGGGCTGGCTGCTCTGTCAGCAGCAGATTAACAAAAGGGTTGTACGTGTACATGTGCACACGTACATTGATAATTATATGTGTACCTGGGCGTTTTGTCTCTGTAAAGGCATGTGTTCACACATATGGCACATGCATTCGATGCAGTATGAACCTGGACTTTGTGGTGAGAGACAGATGTGGAGGAATGCGACCGTGTTGTTGTTAATAGATGGAGACCACATGGATGGTCACCGCACCTGACTTAGATGCGGTTCATGTACGTACGCAATACGTGACTGACTTAAAGTCGTGTGTCCTGTTCCTCCTGACCCATCTAGATCGGCGCTGCAGTGGAAATCAGGATGTCAGATGGAACTCTGCAGGAGGGCATGATTAGCAAGCTGACAGATGCAAGCTGGTACACAGTTGGTGAGGATGTCATGCAGTTGCACGCATATCTTGATTATTTTGTCATGATTTATTTTTCTTTATCCCCAATTGTATTCTGATTGTGAGATGAGCAATACATTCATACTGATGGTTTTTTTCATTCTCAGAACTGGAGATAAGCCAGATAAAGTGCCAAACTGATTTAAATGTGATGATATTTTATAAAATGATTTGGTGACTTGGCTGAGACCGTTAACTCACTACATTTTAGGAACCATTTTAATAAGAATCGGCTCCCTGGATTCGAACCCAGGTTATGAGCGCTCTGAACCACCGTGTCACTGTTGAATGAAGGGAAATTTGCAAAGGCTGTCAATAATAATTATTAGCCGAGGGCAGTTGTCTTATTGATGATGAGTATTTTCCCTGTCGGCTATGCTTTTCACCACTTGGCCCAAAGAACAATTATTAAAAGTACTCCAAATTGAACATAAACAATACATTCTTACACGGACGATTCTAATGCACGTCTCAAGAGCATAACACACGATTTTCATTGACAGCTTGTACAATAATTACATCCCGAGTGTTGGCACTCCCAACTGCTGCTTTACTCGCCAACACCTCTTCTGTATTGTCCCAGTTTTTGACGATGGCGACGAGACTGTGCTGCGACGATCTTCCTTGCGACTCAAAGGAGAGCGACACTTTGCCAAGAGCGAGGTAGGAGCTTGAGCCCGTCAGTCACCACTCCGTTGTTGTTTTTTTAACGCGTAGCCACTTGCGTTTGACAGTGGTACGGTTACTGAAAGTGCAGCAACATTTTTTTTCCCTCCCACCACCCCATCGCGTTGTGCTTGGCCCCGCAGAGCTTGGACCAACTCCCGCTGACACATCCGGAGCACTTTGGTACGCCAGTCCTTGGAAGAAAATCCGTTAAAGGCAGGAGGTCGGGTCTGACGTAAGTAATGCACAGTGCTCCGTTGCTAACCCAGGGTGTGCATGCTACTCGGTGTCTGCTCATGTTAAACTGTGTCAATTTAAAACTGGTCATTTGTCACATTTATTTTAAACTGTTCCAGTTTTCTCAGGGTGTCGCAGTGTAACTTGCGAGATCTAAATGGATGTGGAAAGATCTTTCTGTCCTCTGGCTCTGCTCTGAAGATGGGGGATTTGCTGGAAATGTTAGCCTGTTATTGAATTTTGTATTTAATAGGCAGTCCTTGCGTATGATGGCAATGCGTTCAGGAGCTGAATGGCATTGTTAAGGTCTGCTAACTACAAGAGGGCTTCAGGAGAAAGTTACGTAGTTTTTCTATTCCTCCATTGCAGGGGCAGTGTTAATAATGAATTCAGAATAATAAATGCGCTCAGATTTGTTTACTTTACCCCAGTAAAGACACATTGTAAAACACTTTTATTCGAATTAGTTAACTTTAAAAAAAATGCCAGTACTATATTAGCTTGCAACTCGTGAGTACAAAAGAATTGTCTATCTAACAAAAAAGCGAAATAACATTGGAAAGAGGTGAGCACTTGTGTTTTTTTTTCTTATATCGCCAACAGCACTTGCCACAACAGCTCATGCAGACTACATGAATGATTTTGTGTGTGTGCCCTTATAAGTACAGCAGTGCTTGGTTCCAGTACCATTAGCATCAGCAGTCTGCTGAACGAACTTCATTCATCCACAGGCCATGTAAGATTTGAGCGAAGTGGATAAAGCAGTTATACCAAATGGTAAGAGTCTGTAATTGGCAGATATGAATAGCTCAAATGGCCATGTTAAGGGTCCACTCGGAATTCAGTGCACAACATTAGTTGTGTACTTCGTTCTTAGTGTCGGGTAGTAGAGCATTCTACTTGTGATGTAACTGTCTCTTATTGCTTTTGAAACATAGCCTGCAGGGCATTGATTTTTTTTTTGATCCTGTGTGTTTAATGATTCAATATACCACCACGTTAAATAACAAGTCTGTCCAAATGTTTATTAAATGTGCTTGCAAAGGGTGGCATGAAACCAAATGCAAATGTCGGTTTGTTAAAATAGATGTACAGCATTCAGCAATGCTAATTCCACTTTTGTTTATCAAAGTACTGCTCATCATATAAAATTTGTGTTTGCATTCATTGCATTGACTTAGAAGTGCTGTACATGGAGCTCATTCACATGAGCATTGAGCCTTCTTGGGGAGAATACATCACCAAATTGTCCTTGGCAAGATATTGACAGAATTGGACCCTTGCATTGGCACACAATAGATTGTTGTTGAAAATTGTTGTAGCGCCTTCATGGCTCACTCCACGGTAGATACCTAACTTAACATATGCCCTTCACGGTTTTGTGGGTACTAGGTAGGGTTTCATCCAATAGGCCAGGGGTGGGAAAGTTTTTCCTTGACCAAGGACATGAATACGACTTTCATATACCCATATGTAAATGAAATAAGACTCATTCTGCTGTGGGCGCTTTGTTACACAACCATAGCTCTTGCTGTTGTAGCTCTTCAGACAGCATCACTCTGTTTTTTTTTGCAATACAAAGTTGCACATCTAATTGTTTATTATAACTGGGGGGGGGGGGAAACTACATTGATTTATTTAGTGATTGCATTGCATGAGATAATTTTATAATAATGTTATTTTCAATTGCTACTGTATAAAAGCCAGCTGAGTGCTCTCAACCACGCATAACCACTGCACTATTTACTTCAGTGTTTGAAAAATTGTCAGGCATTCACGTATTTTTGCAATTTGTACTTGTATGCTTTATTTATATTTAGTGACTTGCTTACCTTTCCTATACTTTGGACTCCGGTGTTTTTTTTATATTGTTGATGCAATTTCCTGACCCGCCCTGACTGGACATCTATGTAAAAGAGCTTCAAAGCTCATCGGATTCCTCCAGGATAATTAAAGATTCTGATTCTGTTTCAAACATGGCCCGCAGGCAGCATTTTTTGTTTAAAATTGCACACGAGCATTTTATCCAGCAACGCAGTGGCACGTCCATCTAAAAGCATATCCGTTATCGCCGTCTGCTTGCGAGGCTGCCGACACAAGATGAACATTGCTAATGTTTACGTATAATAGGAACAAAAACTATCGCTGTTCTCTGGCACGTTGGGAATTGGCATGGGTTTGGTGTTTGAAAGAATAGTGGCCTAAGGCAGGTGTCGCCGCAGGGTGCGGTGTGCGTGCCAGCATGCGTACTCTTTGTCATGCGCATGCCTGGTTTGGTCCTTCGTGCTTTCGGTTGGTGTTTGTGCAGAGACTCGATTGAAGCGTGCGCACAAAGTTTTGTTCGTGCGTTTTGGTGTGCGTGCGTGTGCAGTGCCGGAGATGAGAAGGAGGTGGCGGAGTGGAGCGAGGAAGACGAGGCGGAGCGAGTTGTGGCCGACGACGGCACAGTGGGACACGTGGTGTGTGTGGAGAGTAGCGCAGACGACAAGATGAAGGGCTGCCCGCTGTTCCCCGCCCTGGTCAGTTTCTACGGCAGTCATTCGAAATATTTTGGCACTTACTGCAACAGTTGCTTGATGAATGTAATAAAAAAATTTACCTTCCTTTTTCAATCCCCTTTTGGATGAAGGTCTCCCCACTCCATCTGTGATCATTTATAAATAAAACATTTGGTTTTACTTTGATGCGATAAAACGTGACTGCAGCAGAATGTTCAGGAAAGTGCATCGCCCACAGTGTGTGAATAAGAGGTCACTTGAAGGGATCTCAGAAGTAGTCCTGTAATGCCAGCTATTGCACTGCATCCTCTAACACATGGGGAGGCACTGCTCCACGACCATTTCAAAAGGATATCTTCGTCTCATAACGTGACACCAGTGGCACAATCGCAATACAATTTTGAAAAAAGGCAAACACGTGGAACATCCTAATCTACAAGTAAGTTCCAGGAAATGGTTTTCACACGTTCCAGTTTTTTCCACAAGTTGGCAGTCTTAAGTAAATCATTACATTGTAGCCGCTTGGTGTTCTCGGAGGGTTATAATTTATTGTGTATTTTTATAGAGGGAAGCGATGTAGTGTATCATCCTTCAATTGGTGTATTTGATTATTATTAAATTACTACATGTTTCTTTGTGCGTGATAGGTCGTGTCCCCTGACTGCAATGATGAAGTCACAGTGAGAAGAGACCAGTGCTTGGTTCGATCCTTCAAGGACGGAACTTTGTAAGCCGTTGTTTAACTTTTCGTTGGTTCCTTTTGCAAACCCACTCGTCCTGAAGATTCCTGTTTGGATTAGGGTTCAAAAGACCGTGCCAATTTACTATGCCATTTGGTCTTTTGTGCAGTCACTGCGTGGCACGGAAGGACATCCGCGTAATGGACAGGGAATCCTTCCCAAAGCCAGAAGCTGCATTGAAGCAGGGTGAGTGACAGCTTTAATTAACGCCAAGGTCAAGTATATATATTTTATTTCCTATTAAGCCGCTTTAACCTCAACTGTCCCACTTATTTTGGTTCCAGCTTTGTTGTTTTAAGTCTTAAACATGAATAGAATTGGCTGTGGAAATAATTGAGCACTTCATCTCACCTGTAGGTGATTCACAAATTGTAAGGTAAATATTGTAAATGGGTTTGATCTGCACTACGTTGTTTTATGTTCACACGAGGTATGCAATGCAATTTTCATTTTTCTCTAAATTTAGTGGTATGTGGTCACTCGTCCAGTATTTCTCGGGCCCAATGTTTAGTTACGCTAAAAAATGTTTGATATGATTGGACTACAACCTAGTTAAAATAAATGAAAAACGGTTTGCATCTGGAATAAACAAATAATCTCAATTATATTTTACTGGGTTTCTATGAATGAGTAGAAAATAACTTGGTTGAATCAAAATATATTTCTGGGAATTTAAATAAGTTGAGTAGCCCTTGCCATTTTCAAAATAGCCACTCATGGCTTCATGGACTGTGATCCATATATTCCGTTTAGAGTAGTCTCCCAAATAAACATGTATTCGGATAGAATCGATCACGTGTATCTAATTCGTCTTATGATGTATTGACTGTATTCTATATAGTTAGATTCAACAATATACAAAAGATGTATAGACTTTTATTTAAATAAACAATATGTAATTGGAAACCCAGTAATTTTTATTTAAATAAACAATATGTAATTGGAAACCCAGTAATTTTACCACACGTAGCACACCAAAGTGTATATGTTATTGGGTATGCCAGCTCATAATTGGCATTCGTAACTATAGCATTTCTTGCATCTGTTTTGTGGTGTTCATGGTTTTCACAGCCTTTGAAGATGCCCTGGGCTTCTTGGAGAGCAAAGAGTCTCCTGCCTCCTGGAAGAAGGATCTCAGCTCAGTCCACCAGGATGATTCAGGCAGTGAAAGTGGAGGTGATGAGCAGACGGTGGAGCATGAGGAGGAAGAAGAGGTGAAAGACCATTTGCCTCATTCAGTCACATCTGCAGCAGCCTCCTTGTTGATAGAAGCAAGCCTAATTTGTTGGGTCACGTGATTACGGAGGATTAAACTATAGTTATAATCGTGCTCTTTATTTAGTAACGCCTCTGAGTCTGTAGACTTTAAGGTCAGTTTCATTAAATTTCGATTTCAGTTTCATTAATAAGTGTAAACTGTGCGGAGAGAAACCATCTATATGAGGGGATAACACTGTGTTCTGCACAGAACCAAGAATGCATTTGCGGTACTGCTATTCTCCTGGCAGCCTCGCTGGTGTAAGGGTTGGGGAGCTTCAAAAGTCTGAAAAGCGGTGGATTATAGCCATGTGCCACCTCTCATCGCTGATCTGAAGAATAGCCATTGCCAGCGTTACACAAAGCCTGTATGATTTACACCAACATTTTGTATCAATTTAGTGTGTTTGTTTTGGAAGATACACTAAATATTCAAAGCACATTTTTTTTTACTTTGCTTACAACACAAAAATAACTTAACAAAAAGAACTGTTTCAAAACAAACCACTTGATTCAAATGATTCCAATTTGCTTGGGACAATATCTTTTGTTTTGTGTGCCATTACAAGAGTTCCATTTCTGTCTTGTTAAAGGCTGAAGATGAGTCTGATCCTGAAGAAAGGGATAACTTTCTTCAGCAGCTCTATCAGTTCATGGAGAACAGAGGTAATTGAAATGCTGTCTTGCAATCTAGAATGTGTTCACATAAGTGTGAGGACGGTTCGTTTCACCAAGTGTTTAAACAGGTTATTATTTTATTGTCGATCCTTTGTAGTCGTTACTATTAAGTAAAATTATCTACTCTTAACCAATAGACAGGGTGGAGTGGTGGCGCAGTATTTCGCGCACTGCGCTATGAATCCGGCGACCTGAGTTTCATTCCCGGCCATGGCTAGCATCAGTGGTAAGTGATATTTGAACCGGTTCTGGGCCCCTTCCCTTCCTCAACTCGCACTAACGAGCGTGGTGAAGTATGGCAAAACAACCCCCAATGACTGTCACTGCATCGGGGAGGCTCTCATCCAGCAGTGGAATTTTAAAAAGGACTGTAGGTTACTTGTATTATTGTAACGATGCATTGATTTAACATTGATGTTTAAACATCAATTCATGCATCGAATCACATGCACAATAATTCATGCTTCCAATTTGTATGCCTTGTATGTAAATGGCTGCGTGTGACCTGCATCCACTTGAAGATGCTCGCGTTCTCACCTAGTTAAACAAAATTCACTTTCTATAGTTGATGATTATCTTTCACCAATAGGGTTTGCGTCATTGTTATCGTCTTCGCTGGTTTTGACCGGAGGTTCCATGTGTGTGCGCTGTAGGGACTCCCATCAATCGGCCGCCAGTGCTCTGCTATAGGAGACTCAACCTGTTCAAGCTTTACAGGCTGGTGCAGAAGAGAGGAGGATCCACCGGCGTGAGTTTACACTGGCAGGCAGCCGAACCATAGTGCCATGGTTCGTACACTGGACTTGCGATTCGGAGGTCGACTGTTCGATTCCATCCCCCAGCGCGGCAGATTAAACAACTGTGCAAGTTTATTATATCCCCCCGGATCTGTCTACCCAGCGGTATAAATGGGCACGCCAGAGTTAGTCGGTCGGCAGAAGAGGTGGGTAATCCCACTTCTTCCGAGACGTCTGGCCAGCCTGGAAGAGTAGGCCAAATACCATGTAGAGCTGCCTCTATTTGACGCCCTACAGCTAGCTTTAATGTGAGCAAGACATTGCAAGGACTTTATCTTACCTAACCCTCGATTTCCATCGATGGATTATTCGGGTTGTGGATCCACCATGCTTCTGAAAATATAAATAAGGGGTCACTGACTCAGTGCCCATGTGACCACAAACATGTCAGCAAGTAAACCGCTTACTTTATGAAGGAATAAGAACATGGTATAGTCTATGTTTTTAGATATACGTGTATGTAAACATTAAGTGAGTATTTTAGTTTAAAGCTTTCGTGACTGCAGGGATTCTTATTTTTGGTTCTTTCGGTAAAGTCACGTAGAAGGGAAACGATAAAATAATAAAAATATAAAACATTAAAATTCTCACGACGTTTCGACTGCAACACAAGCAATCATCATCAGGTGTGAAAACCACAATAAAATTTTCTTGCTGTGGTTTTCACACCTGATGATGATTGCTTGTGTTGCAGTTGAAACGTCGTGAGAATTTTAATGTTTTATATTTTTATTGTATTGTTTCCCTTCTACGTGACTTTACCGAAAGAACCAAGAATATTAAGTATGTTTTAATTACAATATTTACATATTTTTTGCATTATATTTTATATGTTTGGGCCACCATATCCTAACCCCATTACCATGGATAATTGAGCATTGGCTATAATTCTGTTTGTATGCATCATTGTCAGCCTTGCTACGCAGGCATTAGTTATTCCTCGTAAGCTCTCAAGTGTTATAGGGTTTAATCCACTTCATGTTTTTTTTTTTAACAGATCCATACCCTCATCTGTCTAAGCCACTTAGTCAATGCTCATTGCTTACGTGGTGATGCACTGAGGTTATCCACCAGCTCTAAACCACCGTCATTGTGTTCAAAATAATATTGTCTCATGAAAAGCCTAGGTTGGAGCGGTGGCACAATGGTTCAGGTACTGCTCGATGGACCCAGCGATCTGTGTTTGATTCTTGGTCACGGCTGACATTGGTGGCGAATGATATCTGAACCGGTCTTGGCTCCCCTGCAACTGCTGCCCTTCTCTAACATGTGCTGTCCAGCGTGGTGAATTATGGCCAAACATCCCCCATGACCGACAAGGCATGGCAAAGCTTACATGCAGCAGAATATTGACAGGGATGAAAGTTATTATTTGATTACTATTAAAACACCTGCCTCATATAAAATAGATCATTAATTGCGATAAAAACAAAACTAAAACCGTGGCCCAATTACCTGAATTTGGTGTTCAATGTTTGAAGTTGGATGTTAGTCAATGGATGAAACCATTCGCTGATTATGTATCCATTCTGAATGGCTTTGTGCCTGTATCCTCTGCAGCTGCTGTCGATCGGGTCATGGCTAAATGTGCGTGATTATATGAACGGAGTTTTAGCCTAGACTAGATTTAGGACAGTTTTGAAAAGGTGCCTGCGTGTGTGTGGGTCCCTCTACAGATAAAGAGTGGGACCACGTGGAAGCAGGTGTACAAAGAGCTGGGGGTCCCCGTGTTAAACTCTGCTGCTTCACACAACATCAAGAGCACCTACAGGAAGTGAGTGAAGTACGCTGGCTGTAATAACAGTGCGAGTGCAATTGCAGCCTCTTAAGTCGGGGGTTGGGAAAACCTGTTGACTTCGTGTCATATGGACCCACGGCCATATAAAGCCTACCACTTGGAAACAGCACTCAAACGATTGCTTTTATCTATCACTGCAATCAGATTGGTTGCATTTATCAGGTACTCGAGGGGAATGTTTTTTTTTACCTGTGTTTCTATTTTTAGCACGCTTAGCCACTTGGAGTGACAGATGTGACAGAGGTCTGTCTTTAATGTGTGGCCCGGCAAAAGTATCTGATGGCCATATTCGGCTACGTATGGTGAGAAAGAAGTTCAACGTAAAATTCAGCTCTCGGCATGGAAAAGGTTCCCCATCGTAGCTGTAAGTCACGCTGGGTATGGTTGCCTCGGAGCGTAAATGTGTGTGTGCTCACATCCCTGTGCATTGGCAGACTGACACTGCAGGAGATAAGCAGCTTGCAAGTTTAACGCTGTGCGCTACACGCCCACGGACGTGGATTTCATTTTTAGAGATGCATGTAACAATTCGCGTACCTCTCGTTCTTTAGGCCAACATAAATTATCATAATTAAATAAAAAATGAATTAAATGAACTGGTAGCCCGAGCAAATTTTCCCTCATTCCATGGTCGACCTTGCATGTCGAGTGATGTCTGAATCGACTACAGCAAAATAACCGTGGTGAAATGCTTAGCTAGATTACCAGGTAACATCTATATGTAGGTGCTACATGTAGGACATTACTGATTTCTCGGGAGATTCCCTCCCTTTTTTTTTTGACGGCCCCGTTCCTCGAATCGATCGCGGTCGCAGGTACCTCTTCGGGTTTGAGGAGTACTGCCGCTCGGTCCGCATCCGCTTCCGGAGCGTGGAGTACGCGATGGAGGCCGAGGGCCGGCAAGTCGGACGGCGCACAGCGAGGAGGAGGGAGGCGCCCGCACCCCAGCCCGACCCCGAGGAGCCATCAGCGGCAGACGAGGCCCCCATGTCCGACAAGAGAGAGGCGACGACGACGAGGAGGAGGACCAAGGCTTCTGCTGCCACTGTTGCCTCCGAGGAAGAGTGCAGCGACGAAGGCGCGGAGAAAAAGGAGGAGGAGGAGATGGATGTTGGCAACGCGGCCGCAGTTGAAGAAGAAAGCGACAAGAAGGAGGAAGAGTCGGGCATCAAGGAGGAGCCCGACGGTCAGACCGTGGCGGCGGTGGTGGCGGCAACGGCGCCGGTGGAGGAAATGGAGAAGCTCGTGGAGGTGGAGGAGAACGATGAGAGGATGGAGACGTCCGTGGCAGAGGAGGCGTCCCGCAGCGAGAGCGATAACAACATCGTGACCGGCAGGCTGGTCGCCAGAGCGGAGTTAAATGCGACGCCTCTGCGGGTGAGTGATTTTTACAGATGTAATGTTTGCCATCTAGTGATTCTCGTGCAAGAGGTTTTTTGGGGCTCAGTCGGCTCTCCTCTAGGGTTTAAGTAATATTTTGTATACCTACATTCCGTGCATTAATTTTGTCTCTTCCTAAAAATGACCATGGTCAGCTTCAGTATGGTGACATCAATTTGTGGGATGCATTTTTTTACTTTATAAAAACATGCTAATTAATGTAGGGTCATTGAGGTGCATTGATTTTCATACACATTTCCCCGATGCATTTTAAGGGCCTCTCATTATTTATTCCATATCTTTGGCCTATTACCAAATCACCGTGACCAAATGGAATGGGCCCTATTTGATCAGATCCTGAAAAGCTAACCATGGTTTAGCCTAGGATAGTGCTCGGATTGGCTGTTGTCATAGGCTGCCGTGGGGCTACCTATTGGGTAGCGGAGGGCAGTGCAAAAAATCAATTGTACTGTACTGCTGTGCTTCCACATCTATGCTCCCCGCCTTCACCACGCCACACTAACGAGCTTGGTGAAGTACGGTCAAATAACCCCCATGCCCCGCACGGTGGGGGGAGACCGCATCCAGCAATGGATTGAAAAAAGGGACAGTACATCTTCCTGGTTCTTTCGGTAAAGTCACGTAGGAATGGAAATAAAATAATAAAAATAAAACATAATAAAACAAAATCCTCATGACGTTTCGGCCACAACACAAGTAGCCTTCCTCAGGTGAAGAAACAGGACTGTCCAGAAGACAGAGCTTGAGTGAACACTGCCCAGCATGGACAGCGTCTTTTAAGCTGTGTGGGAGGAACAGAGCGCCTTGACAAAGGAGTTTACATATAAATTAGCATGTTAGCATGAGGGACAAGCTTGTGTTCAGACGGACGAGTCCATCTATGTTCGGAACGGAGGAGGGGGGGGGAAGAGGAGGAAACAGCCACGGTGCGCTGCTCTGTCCTGTGTTGCGTTATAACTATGCTATAAACTGGACTAATATACAATACAATATTATACCTTCCAATCTAAACTACATGGTATAATATCGTATCCATAGACCAATCTCACCTTTGAATTATACAATGCGTTACTATACACTACCCTATACTTTAGACTATAAAATATTAGACTTGTAATATTACAATATGTCTTAGTCTACCAACCCTACTGTATACCACACTTCTGTATATTCACTATACAATTACGATACTATATATTGCCTTATGAATTATGTTAAACATAATGTTATACTATTCATTATTATACAACATGCTATAAACTATGCTATTGACCGTCGTGTGAAAGGTATTAAGAGGCAGTGCCAGCGAATGGACTGCGGTCTGATTGCCGTCGTGAGAATTTTATTTTATTATGTTTTATTTTTATTGTTTCATTTCCATTCTACGTGGTGACTTTACCGAAAGAACCAAGAAGATGAATCCCTGCAGTCACGAAAGCTTTAAATCGAAATTTAAGGGCGGTACATTTCCGCATGCACGCTGTACAACAACGCTCTTGCCGTTACTGTACGTGTATCTGTGCATTCTCAGATATACACGCAGGATTGTGCTCGCGCATGTTGAAGCGTGTGTTGCGCCCGCTTTGCTCGCAGGGACGCCGTCGGAGTGGACGAATTCCCTCCCCCGGCCTGCCGAAACCGACGGAGACGACCGAGACGACCGAGGCGTGCGAGACGACCGAGACAACCCAGATAGCCGAGACGTGCGAGACAGAAGAGAACAAAGGCACACCGAGAGACGTTAAACCGAACGTGGAAATGAAGGAGGAGCGGTGGACGGGATCGGAGGGTGGTGCCAGCAGCAGCAACGGCGGCGGCGGCGGCGGCGACGGCGGAAACGTCGGCAGCACCGCGACGACCGCCGTCGCTGCCGAGGCCGTGGACGTCCCGGACGATGAGGACCGCGAAGAGGATGACGACGAGGCCGACGATGACATGGAGGATGACGACGGAGACGAGATGTCGGAGCGGAGCGGGGAATCTGACGCCCCGGGGGTGCCGTCGATGCGCGCGGTGCACCACAGGGTGGACATTGATGAGCAAGGCGATGAGAAGTGAGTGCTTCTCCGTCGTGTCCACCACCACCACCGCCATCGCCACGGCACAATCATCATTACCATCATCATCATCACCTTTCACGTTTGTCATCTTCAGAATCGCCACTGTCACCATCATCATCACTGTCTGCATCATCATTACTGTCATGGTAGTTATTGGCATTGCCACCACAGTCATCGTCATCAGCAACGTCATAAACAACATTGTGGTTAATCTCTGTACGAAAATTGTGCGGTTTGGTTCATAGGATGGGAGCCCAGGACCGGTTGAGATATCACTCGCCACTCATATTAGCCGTAACCATGGCTTGAGCTCAGGTTGCTAATGTTCACAGTACAGTGCATTAACTATTGCTCCATCTATGCACCCCTTTAATTTTATACCACACCTTTATTGGCTTGAGGATTGCAAACCAAAGTGTGAATCCTTGCAGTCACAAAAGCTTCAAATCTAGAACGTAATTCTGTTATTGACAGAAATGTGACATGAGCAAGAAGTGTTTTGCCCATGTTGGCCTTCAAACTGAAAATGAAGGAGTATTATGTGAAAATAAATAAAATACATACATCCTTTGTGTATTGCCAGGACTACAAACACAATATTGCTTTCAAGCTGTGTAAGATGATGGTCTGAGGCAGTCTGAGGACTCCAAGCCCATTATTTCAAATCTTTTTTTTTCTTATGTTGCAATATAATTATGGAAATGAATAGGTCGATGCCGTATGCAAGTTATAAAGCGATAAACCTTGAGAGAAAATACGGGAGTGCACATAAGTGCATGTTTGGACAATGCGAGCAGAGAGAGAGGGGAATGCACACTGTCATCACCCAAGCATCCAGGGTGGGAAACGGACGACATTTGCAGACTCTGCTACCCTAGTGAGACAGCGTCAAAGGTGGCATGTTAGCTTGTTGGTGATGGGTGGCATGATAGATGGCTTGATAGGTGGTATGATAGGGTGGCATGGTCCTGGTTTGGCTGGGGTCGTCAGAGCCGCTGGCTGTCGTTGTAGCAGGGACTCGGATGGAGCGGACGATCTGGAGGGCTACCCGCTGGGCACGCGGCTCCAGGTGAAATACGGCCGCGGCAAAACGCTCAAGGTGTACGAGGCGAGCATCCGCAAACGTGGCGTCGAGGCCGGGGAAATCATCTACCTTGTGCACTACTTTGGCTGGAATAGCAGGTATGTGCGGCTTGCAAGTGTGCGCCTCTGGGTTGATGTGTGTGGGTGGATGTGTGTGCATGTGTGTGTGGATGTGTGGATGTGTGGATGTGTGTGTGTGTGCGCGTGTGTGTGTGTGGATGTGTGTGTGTGTGTGCATGTGTGTGTGGATGGGGAGCGGTAGTGTAGCGGTTAGCGCGCTGCGCTATGAACCTGGCGACCCGGGTTCGATTCCCGCTCACGGCCAACACCAGTGACGATTATCTGAACCGGTCCTGGGCCTCCCCTAGGTCGACTCAGCCTCAAATGAGTACCTGGTGCGGTGGATAAAAACATTGCCACTGCGGAGACTAAGGCGGTCGGGCGTGGTGCTGGCCACCCACCCCCTCGTGTACCGTTCCGGCCTTCATCGGTGCTCGCTAACAGCACTTGCCCCTACAGTCTGTTAAGGCTATACGGGGGATCTTTGTTTTGTGTGGATGTGTGTGCATGTGTGTGCATGTGTGTGTGTGCTGGGCATGTGTGTTTGTGTGCATGTGTGTGTGTGTGCTCGCTAACAGCACTTGCCCCTACAGTCTGTTAAGGCTATATGGGGGATCTTTGTGTGTGTGTATGCGTGTGTGTGTGGATGTGTGCATGTGTGTGTGCTGGTCATGTGTGTGTGGATGTGTGTGCATGTGGATGTGTGTGCATGTGGATGTGTGTGCATGTGGATGTGTGTGCATGTGGATGTGTGTGTGTGTCGATGTGTGTGTGTGCTGGGCATGGCTTTAGGCACACCACCCTCTTGTGTGCTGTGTTGGCCTAAAATAATAGCACTTGCTCTTTGTCTTGTGCAATTGCGCATCCATATGTGCGTGCAGGTGGGTGTGTGCGTGTGTGGGGGCATGTCGGTGTGTATGTGCAGGCTTAGGTGTGTGCAAATACATGGACGTGTCTGTGTGTGTGTAAATATTTGTGTTCCTTTGTGCACCTGAGTGTGTGTACGTGTGTGTGTGTGCAAGTATGCCAGAAGTAGTCGAGCAATGGTGAAGCACACTGTCCTGTGATCCCAGCTACCTGGGTCAATAATGGCAAAAGATAACTAAATCTGTCCTGAGCCTCCCCGAGGTCATCTGTTCATCTTTTGCAGTGTGAAAACATCTTCATTGTTGGGGGGGGAGGGGGGTGCTGACCATTACCCACCACACCCCCCTTGTATGCCAATGCTTGTCTCTTCATAGGTGCTCACCCAGCAGCACTTGCCACATTAGTTAGTCTTTAAACTTTGGGCGATCCTTTTGCGCAAGCTTGAATGTCACTTTTGTTCACTTTGCCATGTCACGTAATTTACGCGCAAATTTGTGTTTTGAGATGAAGTTTTAAAGGTTGGCTATATTTTATACCTGAATTTAACATCGAGTGTCATTGTTATTTTTTGGAGTGTTTTTTTTTTACCTCTTGGCTGATTTTAACAGGTATGACGAGTGGATTAGGGCCGACAGGATTATTCGGCCCATTGATAAGAATGTTCCCAAAATAAAACATAAAAAGAAAATAAAGGTGAGATTTTACGCACCTTTCCTGTCCCGGTTTTTGTTCAATTATAATAGACATTTTAAGACGTAACTTTAATTTCCTGTTATTTTGCCTTATATTTGTGGGCATTTTTTCTTCAAGGTAACAAAAAAAAACACGCGCGATTTGATGCACGTTTGTTTACGTTATCCGCAGCACAAGCATGACAAGGAGGAAGAGAAGGGCGAAAAGCTAGAAGAAAAGGCCCTCACGCCGGCACGCCGCGGACGCCCTCCTTTACACGCAGCCAATCGCGTGCCAGGGTCCGGTGCCACGAGGACCCCCTCGAGGACCCTGGGCAGTGGCGGCCGTGGCAGTGCCCGAAGCACTCGCAGCACGCCAACGTGGGACTCGCCCAGCCATACGTCGGAAGGTAAGACAATTGGGAACGTGAGAAAAAAATTGCCTGTCGCTGAGAAATATTTTAAATTTCAAGCGCGTACATTTGATCAGTGTTTATTCTTGAATGCCCTCCAACAGAAGGTCAAGAGTGTTGTTACATGAGCTATAGTGTCCGTCTGTCTCTGTGCCCGTCTGTGACGGTGATCCGGTATGAATGAGACTTTCACAAAGTTCCGTGGCCCGTGCTCTCTCCCAAGCAGAGCTGCCCTCCGAGCCATGTTGTCTCATTGCGGCATACCAACGTCGCACGAGCACGACTCTTTTTTCGCGAATTGCTCGCGTTGAAATTCATTGCAGAAGCCATGCGTACGCACGATTTTTCTCCCTTGTTTAATAACCAATATTTTGCAGGACATTTGAGGAGGCATGGTGGACGTCAAACTGCGACAGAATCGGAGAAAGGCTCAAATGGTGAGTACTTATTTTCTTAATTCAGTGTCATTCTTTTTTCCCCCTATCATGAGAAAAATGTATGTCTGCTCTTTAATATCCCAGAGTAATGACGCCGCTCGCCTCTAATCCAACACTTTGGAGATAAGGGATACATGACGATGTCAATTTAAATACGAGCATAATTCGTTCCGGAAACGTGCTTGTAATCCAAAGCACTCGTATATCAAAGCACTCGTATATCAGTTGTGATCACGTGACGCTCGGCAGACAAAGTGTATACGTACACTGCTCATATTGCAAGACCTCGCTCGTTTATCAAATTAATATTTATTTAAAAATTTAGCTCGTCTTGCAAAACAATCGCAGACCAAGTTACTCGCAATCCAAGGTTTTACTGTATCATCTAAACGTGACCACATCTCAAGATACTGTACAGAAGAGGTGGCCATATTTATTTAAAAGAGAGAGGCAGTCGGTCATAGGCCATGGTGAAAAGGAAACGGATGAGTTAATCTCTTCTATTTGTCATGGTTTTTAATTTATTAAGAAAATACATTTATTTCTGGTCTATGTTTTACAAGCTTTGAAACCAAACCAGAGACCTACGTCTTTATGACATTTGATTATCATAAACCTTAATTTACGCTCGTATGGAATGTATACCACTAGCTCTGTATCATCTAACCTTAACTCGAGATAAGCCGTGCAAGTCGTGATTATTATTTCGTCATATGTCACCATGTTTTTTTTTTGTGTTTAGTTGTCCTTCCCCCGCATTTCCGATTAGCACGGTTGGCTACGTACGGCGTGAAAGAAGTTCAACGTACATATGTACGTTGCTCAGCATGTGCCGGTAGTGAAGGCATGGAATATGAACATGGGAATGTCTCTGCGATGAATATTGTCGTGCGTGCCCAGACTCGGGGAGTTCCATGGATGACAGCGAGACGGAGGAGGATTATTCCACGACTGGCTCAGTGTCGCAGGATGGCGGCGGAAGCCGCAGCTCCCGTGGGCCCTCGGAGGGCGGCCCCGACCGCGCCCGCTATGCCGAGGATGGCGCCAGCGCGGCCTCCAGCGAAGCCGGCACCGCCGCGACGGACGCCCGGGGGTCGAGCGCCGAGAGCGGGAACGCCAATCCCACAGAGGAGGAGGAGGATGACGATGATGAGGACAAGGAGGAGGTAGTTACCGCCGAGGTGCGCACGCAAGTCCCGGCCTTGAACTGCGCCTGCTCCGAGGCCGAGCCGACGGAGGTCGTGGAGAAAGCCGATCCGTCTGACGAGCCGGCTGTGAAAAACGAAGTTCGGGTCGAGGCAGAGAGCAAAACACAGGAAGAGAAGGTGCAGGAAAAGGTGCAGGAGAAGGCGGAGGAGGAAAGTGACGTAAGGGCTCTCGACATAGATGATGCCCCTGATGCTCCGTCCCTCACGGAGGACGAGAACAGCGTCGCGCTCATTGAAACATCGGCCCAGGTCGCGTCTGCCAAGGGTCAAGAAGAAATTGAATCCGAGGTTTCGGCAGCCAAATGTGAAAAAGAAGAGGATTTAGAATCGAAGCTGCTGTGCCGCGAGGAGTTTTCTGACATTTTGGACGACAAGCGGGATAGCGAAGATGAGCGAGTTCCGTGTAAAGAGGAGGCCGTTCAGAAGAAGACTTCAAAGGAAGAAAGGAGGGGGAAAAGGAAAACGGATCAAAGCACAGTTGCCAAAAACCCCGTCAAGAAACCTCGAGGGGCTAACCTGGACGATGAGAAAGTGAACCTCAACAGCATTCCAAGTGAAGATGCCAAGATGCCGCTCTTGGAGGAGGAACGGGAAAATGTCTCCGATCCGAGTGATGTCGGGCCGGAGAAGCCGCCAGAATCGGGAGTGGACGAGAGCCCTCCGAAACTCAACAAGGCAGGCGGTGGTGCCAAAGCAGCTGACCAAACGGCACAGGCGAAGCAAGTGACCTCGCTGTCCTGTGTGAAGAAAGCGTGCGCCGAGGAGAAGCAGGCGGGGGAGGAGAGTGGCGTGGGCGCGGACGCCGCTTGCCCGTCGTTGCCGGTTTCTCCTGCTCACGTGCGGGGAAGCTCCCCGCCGAAGAAGCGCGTGTTTGTGTCGCTGCCCCAGTGCGGCGTGCTGGGCCTCTCGGCTGGCCAGGAATCGCCCCTAGAGGTCGTTGCCGACGAGAAGGACAGCGTGGATGAACCCCAGGCGGACGACAAGGTCACCACGGAGGTGGACACGCCCAGCGCGATGGTTACGGAGTCGGCCTCCACCAGCGCTCACGAACCCGAGGCTCAAATCGAAGACGCTGTAGACGTCAAAGAAAGCGGCGACGGTGTATCTGAGAGCGCGGGGACTCGGAAAGCCGACGAGCCCTTGAACGCGGCACAGGATGAAACAAGCGCTCCGAGTTTCGCCTGCGCAGACGAGCAAGAGCAGACCACTGACGAAGACAGCAAAAACTCGAGCGGCGGCACTGAACCCGAGAGCCGCAGCGACACAGCTGAGAATGAGAAGCAAGACTCGAGTCCCACGAATGGCCAAGAGGCCGGTAAGCAGAACTGGGAGGTCCGGGATGACAGCGGCTTCGCCAGCGCCGAGGCGGAGACATCCCCGCCGGCTGACGCAAGCGCAGCAGCGCCCGCAGTCGCTGTCTCGACGGCTCCACCTCCCGCGGCGTCCCCGGCAGCCGTGGTGGTGGTGGCGGCGGCGGCGGCGGAAACGGAGGCAGCGGGGCGCCCGCGGGAGGCTTCCCCCCCGCCGCCGCCGGCACGCGAGACGACGGCGATGGGCACGTCGTACGGGCGCCGCGACGTGACCGGTGCCAGCTCCAGCTCGAGCAACACTCCCGAGCCGGAGCCACCACAGAGAGGTGAGAGGATGGCGACCCCAAGGGCAGTGTTGTATGCGTTTTGAGTTGTGATAGCTCGTGTGTAAAAAAAAAAAAATTGCCAGTTATTTATACACGTCACGATGAGCCATGGCTTAGCCGCCACCTCGATGAAGGCCTCCCAATAGGAGCATCGTTCATGGTACTGCGGTGCCTGAAACCCATCTCACTATCTGCACGTGAACTCATCTCATCACTTTATCTCCATGGTGGCTGTCCTCTGGGGCTATGTTCTCTCCGTTGGCTGCCATTCCATCGCCAGTCTCCCCTGTCAGATATCCCTTCTGGTGCCTATTTTAAATTAGTTTTCTCAACAGTCACCGTCAGGTTTCTGATTTGCATTTGTTCCCATGCGAGTGTGCTCCTTTTTCTGCTTCTCAATTCAGATTTCTTCGTCAATGCCTTTGCTTCTAATCCGTGTCATTGCGGGTAATATGCACCGATTTAGTACTTCTTTAAGCACATTGTATGATGCTTTTCATTTTGAAGTTCAGTTTTCCAAAAACACTTAATCCTGTTCTTATCCGCCTCCTGTTTGCATCATTTTGAAACCAACTCGCCTTTTAATAACTGTGCTAGTTGTACGTAATCTTACGTCTTGTTTTACAGTTCTTTCCCTTCAACAGATATTGTTGTGTATCCGTTTTTGTTTTGCTCATTTATTGAATAAGTTAAAGATGGAGCACTGTCTTTACTTACTCGCAACACTGCTCACGGCAAGGGCCTCCACTAGAGGGAGCTCGAGACAGTCCCTCCTAGAGAATATCTTGGACTACCTTCCAGACATCTGTAAAGAAGTGGAAGTGGCCCACGCTTTAGCCGACCACATGCGAGCTGACGGTCGACTAACTGTGGTGAACCCATGTACACTTCTGGGTGGATAGAGGCGGCAGAGGGATTTAAGAAACTTGCACCGTTGTTTCAACTGCCTCACCCGGAGAACGAATCGAACCAGCGACCTCTAGATTGCAAGTCCAGTGTGCTCACCATTACACCACTTGTGCCAGCATAATTTATTGTTTACCTGCAGTCAACAACGTGTATTCATTAATTCAAACTTAACTATGATTCTTCGTTGCCCGGTGGGTGTGTGGGGCGGGTGGTGGTGGTGTGTCCGCACGACCCCTTGCAGAAATGATGCGCGGCGAAGTCGTGAGCTTCAAGCCGTCGTTTCACCAAGTGGACGCGGTGCCCCGCGGCGGGCCTGCCGCGTGGGGCATCTCCGTGCGCATGGGCTCCAGGCGGCGGGTGTACGTCGCGGGACAGAAGCGTGCCAAGGTTGGCGCCGCTGCAGCGGCCGCCGCCGCCGCCGCCGCCGCCAAAAAGCCGCGACTGAGCCCGAAGCACACGAGGAACAGCCCGAGAACGGAGCGCCACAGAGTCGGTAAGAGCGGCGCGGGCACGGTGGTGGTGGTGGTGGTGGTGCTGGCCGTGTAGCCGTGTAATGATGTAACGGTGCACGATTCCATCGACTAGGGCCAATTGTTACGTACGCACATATGTTGAACTTCTTTTGCACCGTACGTAGCCAACCATGCTAATCGGAGGTGCGGATTACACTCGCAATGCGTGCGTTGAATCGTGTGTGTGTAGGTGGTTCAATCGGCCAATCAATCTTTATTTTCCGTGCATCGCCCTCGGTAAAGTAGGCGTTAGTGCAGATTGCAGCAAAACGGGCATAGTGCAGCGATAGCAAAAACGAATGCCAGATCAAGTTGCTGCTGGCCGCAAGGCATCCCCACTAGAGCGAGCTTTAGAAAGCCCCTCTAGTAGAATTGTGCGTGTGTGTGTAAGAATCGGTAATTTGTGAGTCAGAACACAGAGTAACCACTGATGAGATTCTGGGTTTGAATCAAGGGAAGCCAATCATGGCCCCTTTTGCCAGCCGTTTGGTGAGCAAGTAAATGTAGGTCTGCACCGTTAAACAATAACGGTTGTGATGTTTAACGAGTTGACGATCTCAATCCAGTTACCAATGACTGCACAAAAACACTTGAATCCGTTTCATTTTTTCATGCAATTAAGCATACTTCAGGTCTGAGAACCAACATATATCTGGTTTTATAGCAGGGTTCGGTGGAAACGTGCAAATGCTGCACACAAAAAAAATCCGTGTCGTGATAAATGAGGTATGAGGACAGTGGACGTTACTAGAGAATAGACGCGGGTTATACGCACATGGAGAGAGAAAATCCAAGCAGCCAACCACATGGAATAACGGGACTTTCTGCTTTAAAGAAGAGTGAAAATTACAGCAAAATTTAAATATTATTCGGGGAGAAAAACATTCACATTTTTGACTCTTGGTCCATGGCAATAGGAATTTTTTTTCCTATTCTTGCGAATGATATTACGCAGGATTTAACATCCACTTGGCTCATGGACGAAACCAAACAAGAGGTGAAAACTGAGACGATACAAATAAGCCGCTAAAATTGAGACAAAATAAACTAAGAAAATGAAATGAAAGAGTCGATATTTGAATTGAATCACAGCCACGGATCATAACGCTTTGAGTCAGTCAGAGAGGTGGGGGAGGGCAGTGAGGCATTCCATGACTGACCAATACCAGTGTAACAAGTAAGGAAAAACTCATGCATAGGCAGGGTTTATGTAATGCATTCCAGCAAGCATTTGTTTTCAGAAATACTTAATTAACTGTTGGGGCAAAAACGCATGTGCAAATTTACAAATAGTCTTTTATGCTATGGTTTTGGCTCTACAAGTTTTGGGCAACAATTAGATGAATTTGGCCGGTCTTCCAAGAGGGTAAGTCTCTAACAGCAACACGGTTCAACATCTCGGTCCATGTTCGAGAGTCTGTGCGAGAGTTATCGGGTCCCCCTCTCCCGCAACGGATGGACGGAGATAATAAAAGTACTCATTGTTTTTTTCGGTAAAGTCACGTATGTAGAAATACAATAAAATTATATTAAAACAAAAAACAATCACGACGTTTCGATCACAACGCAAGCGATCTTCATCAGGTGTCAAGAACAAATCACGGAGGTAAATACAACAAAAAGATGAGAGACGAGAATTCAACAAACCTGAAAAAACATTATGTGAAGCACATCCAGTCAGGCCAACAACACAGACACTTCCTGGCAGACCACGAATTTCAGAAGTGTTAAATTTCGTGTTCAACCTTTGGATTGCACATACCAGCATAGATAGAATGAAAAATACGAGGTACACGGTCAGTAGAAATACATACACAAGTCCACCAAGAGGTAAGGAGGGAGGAAAGATGGACAGGGAGGCAGAGAGAGAGGGGGGGTGGCGGCGGATGGATGAACAGAAGCTTAAATAGGAAATACGGTTGGAGGGGGGGAGGGGCCAGAGCGAGAGCGGCAGCTCAAACACGCACATCTTACACATACAAAACGGCAGCTCAAAAAAGGACCACCTCTTGTAAATACAAAACGGCAGCTCAAAAAAGGGCACATCTTACACCTAATTACAACGGTAACTTCCCCGTAGAAGCGTGATAATCAAGTATTAAAGCTTTCGTAACTGCATAAAATTACTCATTGTTTTTTTCGGTAAAGTCACGTATGTAGAAATACAATTAAATTATGTCTAACTGTGTTGTTGGCCTGACTGGATGTGCTTCACATGATGTTTTTTTCAGGTTTGTTGAATTCTCGTCTCTCATCTTTTTGTTGTATTTACCTCCGTGATTTGTTCTTGACACCTGATGAAGATCGCTTGCGTTGTGATCGAAACGCCGTGATTGTTTTTTTTGTTTTAACATAATTTCATTGTATTTCTACATACGTGACTTTACCGAAAAAAAAACCAATGAGTAATTTTACGCAGTCGCGAAAGCTTTAATACTTTATTATGATAAAAGTGCATTCACCCTTTCCCACCTTACATTTAAAAACGCTTCTCGCACGTCAACGACGCAGGCCAGAGCAGCGACAGCGAGGAGCTGCCGCAGAGCGAGCCGATGGGGGGCAAGAGCGCGGCGTCTCATGGCAAGCACGCGCCCGCCGGAGTGACAAGCAGGAGCACGCGAGCCACGCGCTCTCCCCCGGGGGGCTCCCCGCCATCGCTGCCGCTGGCAGGGACCCCCCACGGCCGATCGGGCGGTGAACGCGGGACCGGGGAGAGGGTGGGACGACCGCCGCGCCTCAGCCTCCAGATCGGTATGCTGCCGCTGTCGTGCGGCCGACCGCGGCGGAAAGTCGAAACTTCTTTTTTTTACCCTAACCTCTGCTGAATCTCAGAACGTGCACACGGTTAGAGCCGTCGTTTTCTGAAGGCGTGCCGCAGAGAACTGCAGCGATATGAGCGCATTGTATGGAAGCTGGCACCAATCTGCGCCACACGCCCTCCCACATGGCTTTGTGGGATTCTCGGTACGTCTTCCGACCTGAAGACGTACCGATGAAGTTGTTAGTTTTTAAGGGACTTGCGTCCTTTGAGTGACCAGCTTGAAATAAGCTTGACTGGTAACACGTGAAAGGTAAAGTTTATGCAGGGATGTGGCTGTTGATCTCGTACGTGTATAGCGTTTGTGTCTGCACTGTGTGGGGAGCGGTAGTGTAGCGGCCAACACCAGTGACGATTATCTGAATCGGTCCTAGTCTGCCACTCGGTCGACTCGGCCTCAAATGAGTACCTGGTGTTGGTGTGTAAACATCACCACTGGGGAAACAAAGGCGGCTGAGCGTGGTGCTGGCCACCCACCCCCTCGTGTGCTGTGCCGGCCTTCATAAGTGCTTACAGCATTTGATTCTGTTAAGGCTATATGGGGGGGTCTTTGTTTTGTATGCACCGTGTATATATATGTGTACTTATTAGCATTTCTCATTTCTCCAGAACTGGTGGGGATGAACGGCGCGGAGAGGATCTCGTTCCTGCAGGAGCGCCTGCAGGAGATCCGCACGTACTACCTGTCCCTCAAGACCGAGGTGGCCACCATCGACCGGAGACGCAAGAAGCTCCGCAAGAGGGAGCGCGAGGGTGAGCTGTTTACACCCCCATCGCACCACATTTACCAACGGCAGCACATCCACTGCTCCACCACTTGAACTGACTGCAGGACCACACCCAATGCAGCATCTCTTCCACTGCAGCACCACATTTATCAGCCGTGGCACATTCATCCGCAGCAGCACGTGCACCTGCAATACATCATCCACATGAATGTTTATATTTGGTTAAGCAATTATGGCAAAATGGCCTTAACCACGAGGTTTCCAGTACTGACTGCCAGAGAAAAAAGAAAGGGGAGAAGAGAGGGAGTTGAGTTGACGGCAACAGGGAAATTGTAAAATACACGCACTCGCGTACAGGTGTCTGGGTCAAAGCTCGGGCATATGGGGGAAGCTCCTCAAATATTGGTTTGTAGACGCGTGTGCATCTACCCATGTGACACCACTTTTATATCAGCAGTGCCACATCCACGAGAGCACCTTCTGCTTGGGGCACCACATGCTTGTGTGTGTGTTTTCTGTTTGTATTAATCCTGCCTTCTTTCGGCAGCTACGAAGTCACTGACGTCATCCGAATCATGCACAGGATCCCTGTCTCCGGCCCGGCCTGCCCTGGCGTTGGAGCTCAGCTCGTAGCCGCGGCGTGTCGTCGCTGGGATATGCGAAAGGAAAAAAAACTCTTTAGAAGTGACCGTATCAAACGACAACAGCAACAACTATATCTATATATGTAGCACTTCGGGTGCGCGGTTCGTTGTTGCCAGAGACGGTTATCAGTGCCGTGGATTCTTTCACGGAACGTGTTGGAAAGTTAAGTTAAGGTTCAGAACAGCCAGTTCATTAAGAGGTGACGGTGACAACGCTACGTCTTCATATCGAGCTCATGATGCCAGGGGTGTCACCGGGAACGCTTTACTTCCACGTCTAATTTAAAACATTTGAAAGAGGGGACCCCCCACCAGTGGCAGCTGTCTCCTTGTGGGCACAAGGTGACTTCAGCACCTGGCTTGCAAACGGGCATTAGTCTGCCAAGTATGAGGGCGATGATTGCTTTGTGTAATCCCAATCGCGGTAGGTGGCAGAGATGAATTCAAAAGGGAGCGTTGTTGTGGGCGTCTGTGTACGTGTGTGGTGTGTGCGTGTGTGGTGTGTGCGCGTGTGGTGTGTGTGCCGTGTGCATCCTTCAGAGAAGGTGGTGCAAATGAGCAAACAGCCTCCGGCCAACGACAACCTGTTTCACCCGGTATGAATATGGCTGTGCAACTAAGAGCGCGGAACAAACGGTGACGCAAAAGCCGTGCAAAGTAAAAAAAAGGCCCCCTTTCCCTGGTTAATGCCACTGTGCGAAGGCTTTTTAAATAAAATGTGACATTTTTATCACGGTGGAACAAAACGGCCACGCAAGTGTTTAGGTGGTGCTCTGTCACCTTGAAAACGTTCCATTGCCGAGCGGTTCTTTGTGTTCGTGTGCACGTTTTGCACTGCCATGTTTGATTTTAGTGGGGGGAAAAAGCAAGGCAAAGTGTGTCTTCCTGATTACAGTGTGTGTTTGTATATGTATACAATATGTAGCTTGGGGTAAAGCGTTATGGCATCTTTGTAGCCTTACCCGAAGACGAAACTTAAACCAAAAGTGTGCACACTGCAATTTCGGACGACACCCATTGAACATTTTACATGCATTAAAGGATGGATTCTTATACACTATTTATACCCTAGTATTTATACAAACCAGTCTGGAAGCTATATGAACCTTACATCTCTTGATGCTTACAAATTTGGTTAAATATAGATAGGTAGTTTGGGAAATTAAATGATACATCGCAAAAGCCCGCGTGTTTAATGAAATGCTGTTTGGTTGCTTGATACACCGAGATTCAGAATTGTTTTAAAAAAGTCTGTTGAAATTTTTAAATTAACTAAAGTGCCACTGACCATTTTTGCTTAGTCTTAATGTGTTGCCTCTTTTACAATTAAGACCAAATAGAATATTTAACAGAATAGTATTTTTCCCATAATTCATGAGCCTAATGTTCAAAGCATGTGTTTTTATCCTAAGTTCTCAAAGCCATAATACATCCCATTGTTTACTTTGTTGCAAAGCTTGGATATGTTCATTAAAATAACACGCAATTTAACATACACTGCAGTAGATTGTAGTCCGAACGTATGTAGACTTTTTTAAAATCATGTACTTTTTAATCGTACAGAGTACCCGCTTACAAGTTAACGATACTTCACCATCAACCCGTGTGCGTTCGTGTAAGCGTAGGAATTTGGAGGAGTGAAATGGTGACAAGTGCTCATAAGTAGATCAATTAATTTATGAAATAGTATTTTATAGCAGTTTTTTTTTGCGGTCCTCAGAGCCTGCTGCTGGGTCTTTTTGCGATGCGACGCGTTATTTGAATGCACTGTCGGTCTCTCAGATTTGTAACGACGTGCCGCGTCTTAGGACATCCGGGTTGGTGTACGGTGCCATCGGCAAACGAACCGAGTTAGGACACCGCAGCTGTTTTGCAAAACCCAAAACTTTACCAAAAAATAACACAACTCAGATTGTTTGCATTACCAGGGTTCATCACTACCAACGATGCTTTATAAATGCATCGTTAATCCTTACAAAACCCAAAGTTCGCTACATTTCAATCACGGTAAGCTGATAAGGAGTGGCATATGCACGGTCTCTACATTTCTGTCTGGTTTACGTAGTGTTCTGCTTTGTTGGTGTTACTGAGCCATCTTTTGGTTTTATCACCCCAAGGTGCATTTTCCGTTCTTCTACAGGGTCCGGCGCTTCGAGTGATTATCGGTACCACATGCCATGCCACCATCCCCTTTTATTATCTGAAAACCTGCCTGAAAGCAATTATTTTGATAAATATAAGTATAAAAAACAAAAAAATTCATTCTGCAAAATGTATGACTTGAAAATGTTTCTTTCTATGGAGAAATGGTTTGATACATTTATTAAAAAAAAAAGTTACGAGAGATTTAAATGAACATTTAAACTTGCCTACGGTGAAATCTACTATAACGCATATTTATTCTAATAACGGTATACGTGTGTTAATGGTAGGGATTTTTTTTTCATGATGCTGTGCCGAGTAGAGTATTATGTGGCTTTGTTCAGGTTCTTCCACGTCTTCATATTGCATGTCCGCTTGTGCATGAAGCGCCACAGAAAGAGGTGGTCAAACGTAGCCGGTTTTCACATCGTGTTGTGGACAAAGCATGAACTAGTCTGACATCAGTTAATGCAAAAAAAAACCCCATTGTACTTTATCGATGTGCCCAAGTCATAGTTTTCAAATAAAACTATACTTAATCATACAAAAGATTTCAAAGACTCCGAGTGGGGTATTTATGACTTGTAAATAATAGTTTAAACTTGATTTTTTTGTAAAAGGCCGGACGTCCAAGATAGCATTCATAAAATATTTATGTAAATGTTGCGTCTATTTCGATTACGGCATGACATTAAAACTGGGGAACTCCCAGAAAAGTTTTTTCAATAAATTGCCTTCCCAGTTAAAAAATAAATACACTTGCAAAGTAGACACGAATGCAATCGGATTATGGTGTAGATTGAGGGCTTTTATTAACAATTTCAAGCAGGCAAAGGCATGAGAACGTAAGGTCGTTAAATTTAGTGGCAAGTCTGTGTGCTGTATACAGACGGACACGTGCTTGATGATGCCTGCAGTGAACACGCTTAAGGAACCGTGAGACGTTTTGATTTTTTTGCAAGCAGGTTTATTATAGACAAAATAATTCACCTTTTTGTACTATCATTGTATACTGTGATTTTTTTAATGGAATTTCATTGCTAGTCTTTTTTTTACTGGTTTTTATTTGTTTCATCGCGTACGAGTTTCAGGTATTTGATGATACAAGCATTTGTTTTCCTTCCATGGTGCATATAGAAGAAGAGATCCACAATGGTACTTAAACCAGACCTTTTAATCTTTGAAAATGCAGTTTGTAAATGAGTTTTAACGGTGCGTGTACTCGAATGAAGAGATAATGGGATTGTTTCATTTGCAGTCGGCGCTTGCCAACATGCTTTCTCATGCCTAGTCTCCCTCATGGGAGATGACAAGAGTGTCTTTATAGCTGATTGTACCATTTCCTCCGAAGCCACGGGCCAGAATTGTGACTTTTGAGCCAATGAGACGGAAATGTTGTGCCTCTGTAGAATGCGAAGTCCCAGAGTGTTGTGATCCGTTTGTATTTAAAGAGTGGGGGGCGGGGGGGAGTTTATATATGATAGGTGATTGAAACAATACTGTAATTGCAGTGCAATAGGCTTTTGTTCAAGAGAGAATGATATTAAGTCACACATTGTGGGCTCTGGAAGTATAGAATGGTGGCATATTGTTTGAGTAAATAAAATCAGCAATATACAGCACCGCAATGTATTTTAAATAAACATGTACAGTATAAACCAGCAGACGATGGACATTTGCAAAAAAACCCCAAAACGTTGTATTTTTATGTACATTATGACATATAAACCGAATGTGCATTTGAAACAATCCTTGTTGTAATCAGTGTTTCGACTTTGAATGGTTGCTATATTAAATGTGGTTCCCCCCAATGCGACAAAGTAATATCAGCTTGGGACGTGTTTTGCTCTCGTTGAGATGAACGCATTAATTTTGTAGATTCTAGTAACGTTTTCTCTGCAGCGTACGACATATTTGTAACGAGCATAGGTTCATATTAAGCACAATACATATAATTTTTAAAAAATACATACATTTATAATTCCTGCTGTAATCGGGAATCGCTTAACTTATAAGTACACGAAATAAAAAAAAGAACGAGATGACATTGTGTGTCGATGCGACTCGCGTTTACTCAGCGCCGTGCTTGGCTCGCACTTGGCACCAGAGGGCGCCAACGCGATTTCGCTGGTCACCTGGTCAACGTGGATTTGTGAGTGCTCCAGTTGATTTTCAACCAGCCGAGTTGTTCAATGACGGCAACAAGAGCATACCTGTCAACCCCTTATCAGTGCCTAACTTATTACAGACCAATTCAGACCTTATTGGTCACCCCGTGCCCCTTATAAATTTAAACGTTCATCCTACAAAGTCCCATCACAAGGGAGAAACACAAACTAATAGACACATTTTTTGCCCGTATTGAAACGGCTGTACGCCGTATGGACCTGAAAACTCAATTTCCCTGTACAAGAAAACGGTTAAACCGTATGGGTTGACAGGTTTGCAAGAGGCTCTCTGTTTTCACTCTTGTTTCACATCTGCAATGTATTATCGCGAAGTCTGATTTAAAAGAAAATCTATCTACAATTCACCCGGAATCGGGTTTGAGCGTGTATAGTGATGGGTTGGGTGGCCACGATGCACCAAAATACGTGCCGTGGTTTTCTACAGGGCCACACGCTGTCAGACGAGGGCAGTGCAGCAACATGTTGTACTGTAGTTTGCTCCCAACGTCTATGCTCCCCGCCTTCACTCCACCCGGCACGAACCAACATGGTGAATTATGGATCAGGCGCGATCAGAATCGGTGTCTTTATTTGGATTGAAGGAATCCGATACGCTGTGAAGCTCGTTTTCACAGATGTCCAGCACACGGTCGGGTCCGCAACGCTACATCAACAAAAAATGCAATGAAGGATACAAGAGTAAGATAGAGAAAATGTAATCAAGTCAAATCAGGAATATAAATGAAGCGTGGAAGTACAAATTTCACTCGGTACATTCCTGCACATTTTGTCAAAACTTGAGCGCAAGCTTACAATCCACACGGCGTCGGGAGGAGGTGTTCGTCCAGCAGTGGATTCACAAAAGGGCCGCACTTTTACACAATGCGGCAATCCGTGCGGTGGTGCGGGGTATGACCGGTGCATGCTCACCGTCGACTCTGTTCCGCACCACCACTCCCGTATTTGTGATGCACTCCGCGTTTTTACAATCCCGCCTCCCACTGGGGGTATTTTAACCGCAGCATTTCCGCTCAATGCACGCGGTAAACATTCGGCAACGCCGCAGCTGCTGGCCTCATCCAGCTGCCGTGAATTTCGTTGTGGCATCGCTGAGCCACGCACAGCGACAATCCATGACCACCGTTGTTTTTTTTTAAACCTTCATCTCTCGCCCGGTTTAACCGAGCTATTGTCTATAAAATGAACAAGCAGACACTCCGCCTCATTCACACGTGACCCCTTCACACAACCAAGCAAGAACCCATACACGAGTGTGTTTTACACATCCCATCGGCTGCACGTTTTCTGAGAGTACATTTTTTGAGCAGTAAAGTCTGGACCGGTTTCTGATTCAATGTCTCGTCAGGCTTGCTTGTACCAATGCTGGTGAACTGCCAGATGTTTATACTATATAGGCAAGGATCCTCGCTTGGATACGAGTCCTTAGTTCGATGTAAAACTATAATATTTAGCATGTCACGATATAGTATGCGTTTAATATGAGCAAGTGTGTGTGACGTGTTGCGTACCGAGGGTGGAATCGCAGTCATTTGGAAATCCACTGCTGGACGGATGAAGGCCTTCCCAAATGCGCGTTGTTTGGCTATACTTCACCACACTGGTCAGTGCGAGTTCGTGAAGGGGGCGGGGGAGTGGGAGGGGGGGGCATGACCAGTTTAGACATTGACTCGCCATGGTGGGGAATCGAACGCAGGATTTCGTGCTTGGAACTATCGCGAGCAGGGGACACTTCAGCACCCACCAGGAAAGCCCACGAGGTGCTGACATAATTGACTGAGCGCTCTACAAAAAAATTGAAACGGCGTCGTCGCAAGTTCGAAAACGTGGCACTCGAGTACCCGATTCGTACGTCTAAGATGCAGTGACGGACACCCATCGAAGTTGTGCGCCACGCCGCGTGGGATTGTCGGGTTTATTTGACCATCCATCAGACGCCATCAGAGTCAGTTGGGGCTGGTGCGCTCATGCATATACAATGATTCATGAACTGGTATACGTACAGCACAACAGCAATTGGTTGTACGGCACTGCCCACAACTTAGCCGAAGGCACGACGCAGACACACCACGGACATTACCACACTTACGACACGCACAAAAGACAAAGATACCCCGTATATAGCCTGCAGACTGTAGGGGAAAACGCTGTGAGTGAGCACCTATGAAGGCCGGCACGGCAGACGAGGGGGTGGGTGGCCAACACCACGCCCGGCCGTCTTTGTCTCCCTAGTGTCGATATTTACACCGCATCAGGTACTCGTTTGAGGCTGAGTCGACCTAGCGGAGGCACAGGACCGGTTCAGATAATCGTCGGTGGGTGTTGGCCGTGAGCGGGAATCGAACCTTGGTCGCTGGGTTCGTAGCGCAGCGCGCTAACTGCTACACTACCGTCCTCCACAGCAAAGATCCCCCGTATAGCCTGAATAGACTGTAGAGGCAAGTGCTGTTAGAGAGCAGCTACAGCACACAGACAGACACACACAGACACACACTGACACACACACAGACACACAGACACACACTGACACACACAGACACACAAACAGACACAGAGCCACACTGACACACACACAGACAGACACACACACAAACAGACAGACAGACACACACTGCCACACAGACAGACACACAGACAAACAGACACACAGACACACTGACACACACTGACACACACACTGACACACACACAGACACACACTGCCACACACACAGACAGACACACACACAAACAGACACACAGACACACACTGACACACACACAGACACACACTGACACACGCAGAGACAGACACACACTGACACACACAGACACACACACAAACAGACACACAGACACACACTGACACACAGACACACATTGACACAGACACACTGCCACACACACAGACAGACACACACACAAACAGACATACACTGACACACACACAGACACACACTGACACACACAGACAGACACACAAACAGACACACACTGACACACACAGACACACACTGACACACACACAGACACACACACACACAAACAGACACTGACACACACACTGACACACACTGACACACACACAGACACACACTGACACACACACAGACACACACACAGACAGACACACAGACACATACACAGACACACACACAAACAGACACACTGACACACACTGACACACACACTGACACACACTGACACACACACACAGACACATACACAGACACACACACAGACAGACACACACACTGACACACACACAGACAGACACACACTGCCACACACACAGACAGACACACACTGACACACACACAGACACACACACAGACACACGCGTGCATCGCGCGGTGACGTCAGGGCGAGGCGCTCCGGCCGACCCTACGTCACGTCTCCTCTCATCCCGAGCGCGAGACGCGCCTTGGCTCGCGAGAGCCTCAACAGCGAGCGGCGAGAGACGAGGAGGTGGAGGATTACATGGGAGGAGTAGCACCGACAACAATAATAACATCAGCAACGGAGACACGGAGACAAAGAGTAGAATACCAATTGCAACAATAGCGACAATATTAAGCATCATAGTAATCATTGCCAGCATCACCACCATCACCTTTATCACAGCAAACACCACCACTTTTTACCATTTGCCCAGTGATATTATTATATTAATCTTGGGCTCGTTCGTGTAAGCGCGTGGCTTGTCCAGCCGTTACTGTAAATCGTCATCATCGCCTTCATGAATCCCGAGAGATAGTCACCCGTGCATTCATTCATTGCGCGCGATCGACAGTTTACATAGACTGCACAACTTTACGCACACATACACATATCCAGACCATTGTGGACAATCACCATGGTTGTAAATCAATTCGAAGACACTCACCAATCGGAACGAATAACAACGCATCGGTGTTGCCATAGCCTAATATAAGCGACGATACTACACCAGCATCGAAAATAATACCGATATATATAAAGTCAGTGGATGACACGGACATCGACCGGACAATACATCCTCGCCGCCGCTGTTAAATCATTCTAGGCGGAGTGTAGCAAGCACGACGATGTCTTCGTCTCCGCGGAGGCAGTCGTGCTACCTGTGCGACCTTCCCCGTATGCCGTGGGCCATGGTGTGGGACTTCACCGAGCCGGTGTGTCGAGGCTGCGTCAACTACGAAGGAGCCGACCGGGCCGAGCTGGTGATCGGCACGGCCAGGAGATTACGACGTGCCCACGGACTCCCTGTCCCAGGACCTGATCTCTCTCATCACCACCATCAACAACATCATCAGCAGCATCATCAGCAGCACCAGCAGCAGCAACATTCAAAAGCGGAGTCGCCAGAAGCTACGGCGGATGGAGCGGAAGCAGCGGAATCAGGACGAGAGGATGCGCGGAACAGCAGCAGCCTTCATCAGCAGCAGCATCACCAGCATGTTCAGCAGCAGCAGCAACATCGGCAGTCGCCAGCTATGATCAGCAGCAGCAATTGCAGCTACGGCGAGGGACGTGGCGCGTTTGTGCTGCGCTATCCCAGCGTGGAGCGCGGTGGTGCGGGTGGTGGCACGACCTCCACCATCGCCACCACAGCCCACCCACGCCAACACCCGCTGCATGGAGCCATGCCTCTGTCGCTGTCTGGATCTGTCGCCTGCTCTTCGTCGACCTCGTCTTCCTCCGTGCCCTCCCCGCACGCACACGGGCGAGCTTTCAGCCACGCTGCGGCCGAGATGGAGGAATCTTCACCCCCAAGGGACTCAAGCCTGGATCAGTCGAGGAGACACCTCCTGCATGCGGCGAACTCGACCAACAGCGGCAGCAGCAACTGCGGTATAAACTCTTCGAGCGCAGCCGCCACCACCATCACCACCACTTCC